TTGTAGTAATACTGAAGCCATCTTCACTCACTTGCATCATTTTCGGCAACAGCAAAAAACCACCACCAGCACGATCACAGCTATACCAGCCACACCGCCAAGCACACAGCCTACGATCAGTCCGGTTTTGGATTTCGTGGCAGCCTGCTTTTTAGCACCACCAAGTACAGGTGGCTGAGGATCACCATTGCGTCCTTGTCCAGCACCTCCACCGCCAACTCCTCCAGCAACAACTACAGGTGGTTGAGGAGCATTGCTACCTCCGACGCGCGAAAGAATGCCGGTTCGTCTTTGATGTAGTTGAGCACGTTGATACTCTTCCTGCTCTTGCGCTGCACGCGCAATCGCCGCATCCTGCTGTCTCTGCAGTTGTTGTTCTTCTCTGTGCAGATGTTGCGCTAGCTGTTCTGACCAAGCGTTCGCGTACACGTTCCAAGCCTCCTGGAGGTCGACACGAGCAGCAAACTGCTGGTCTGACCGAGCGTTAGCAAACACGTCTAAAGCTTCCTGGAGGGCTACATACGCAGCAATATCCTGGTCCCGCGCAATTTGATTCCGGCGTTCCTGTTCGCGTCTGATCACCTCCCCGAGTTCGTCAGCATTCATACCTGCGGCAAGCGCGCTGTCCAAGGCCACGATTTCCGGATGACCGAACCATCCACCCTCGTTAGGATTAACGGGAGCACCAGCAGCTGCAGAGACCAAATGCACGGTATTATTGCCTCCACCAACGACCAAAAACATCAACAACGCACCAAGGCGTCCCGCCAACACGAGAGGACCTCCACGAGCCATCTTGTTGAAAGAATGCTTGTTGTTGAACAGGAAGGAGATGATGTACTACTACTACATACACTACTACTTATTTAAAAGTTAAAGTATTTTTATGGCGAAGAACACTTCCAGATGACTCAGATTTAGATGAAGAAATTACGGGAGAGCATGCAAGGACAGCTCTTCTCCTTTAGAAGTACTCAAAAGTAGAAGAGCCAACTCGTGAGGAAGAAAAAAAAACTTTCCAAAACAATCAAGCAATTGTAATATGCTTGTTAAATTATGATCTTCTTGAGTTCGTTTTATCTGTACGCTGAAATGGTAAGAGAAAAATTTTCAATATAATTCAGAGGTAATTCTCAATAAAAGTATGCACTACTTGTCTTAGACGAGTCAAGCAACTGGGGTTATCATGGCCAAACATCAAAGATCTACTGAGCGGACTTCCGTGAGCAATTTGCAGATCTTGCGGTTCGGAATCTCTGGATCTCTAATACAATTCAAATTTCATATAATTCGAGATCGGGCATCTAAGGGATGAAGATCGTGTATTTATGTGATCCTCGCGACACTGGCAGCATCAGGCTGAGAAATAGTTGATCCTCACGCGGCTCGGATGATCCGCCCTGTAATCAATTTTATCATATGATCTATGTATGTATGTGTGTATGTATGTGTGTATGTATAGAAGGGTTAAATGATCTATGATCTCAAAGATCTATGATCGCAAGAACATTTGAGAGTTTGTTGATCATACCCAGAATTAAACTTCTTAGAAGGGTCCCAATCAACGGCAACACCTCCTCGTCCTCTCGCAGGGCCGCGAAAGTAAAACTACATCTTCTCATGTTTGACTCTCTCTGGTCCAGTCTGAGATCATCCATGCATCTGTCTTTGATGATGTGCCACAAGCAAATCAATCCCAAAAAGAAAAGCCAAATATATAAAGAAAAAACATCATAAGAATAAGCAAGTGGTCGAATGTCAATCAAAAAATACAAATATCATCCTCATCGAAGATATAGATATTGATATTTTTCATTACAGTTCGTTGTGCCACGACTTGTTCTTTGCTTCTCTTATATTGAATAAAATCCTGATGGATGACGTTAGTGTCGACTTCTAAGATGGCTTTTGCCTGCACTCCTCGTGACATTTCTTCTCGCGAAGCGACATCATATTACATCTATTATATTTACAAACGGACAACTTAATTGAACCACGAGTCAGTCACGTTGTCCGTTTGTAATCTATCAATATGCCATGTTGACCTTATATATGAGTATTGGCAGCTGCCTTCTATGTTCTTAGTCCTCTTTTATAAGTATTGGCAGCTGCCTTCTATGTTCTTAGAAGTCCTCCTCTTTTTAAGCAACTAAGTACAATATCAATATGGCCTCTTAGGCCATTTCTTCATCGTGGTCCATAACATCTTCTTTTCAAAGAAATAAAACGATAACGAAAACATATAAAAAACCAAAACGGCAAAACCAAAGAACCCATACTCATTCTGTCTCAACAGCATCCCGACTAGTGCAACACATGTAGCTTGTAGCTCCTCCAAAACAGGAGTTTCTACTTCGTTTCTTGTAGTAATACTGAAGCCATCTTCACTCACTTGCATCATTTTCGGCAACAGCAAAAAACCACCACCAGCACGATCACAGCTATACCAGCCACACCGCCAAGCACACAGCCTACGATCAGTCCGGTTTTGGATTTCGTGGCAGCCTGCTTTTTAGCACCACCAACTACAGGTGGCTGAGGATCACCATTGCCTCCTCCACGAGCAGGCGGGCTACGACCGTTGCCACCCCCTTGCGGTGGGTGAGGAGGACCTACATTGCCTCCTTGTCCAGCACCCCCACCGCCACGGGCTGCCTCATCTTCTTGGGCTCTTTGAAGCTCACGGGCCATCTGCTCATCCGCGCTTGCTTGACGGCGTTGCTCAAAGTCCTGGTGTTGAAGCCCATGGGCGAACTCCTCATCCAGCGCAACTGCTCGCGCCTCCATTATGTGCTGGCGATGAGCGTGGAGCCCCCTGCGTACCGCCTCAGCCTGCTCACGCGCTCGCTGCGCTCCTGCACGATTACCAAGAATCAGCAAGCGCCGCCGCTCCGCTTCGAAAGCATCCGCACGAGCAGCTGCGGCAGCTTGCCAGCCATTATTCCAGCCATGGACAGGCCGATGATCAATTCCAACCGGGTCTGGTCCTGGCCTCCAAAAGACCCCAGAACGGGCAGCAGACACAACATCCAAAGTACAACTCGAACTGCCTCCGAGTAAAAAAGCCATCGCCACAATGCGACCGGCCAACACGAGAGGACCTCCACGAGCCATCTTGACGATTCTAGAATTTCTCATCGTAATGAAATTATTCTATCGATCCGTAAAAAAGCCTACTGGGTTGTTCTTGTGAGTAGTTATAAGAAACAAGTTCTCAATGCGTAGAATAAATGCGTTGTACTTGTGAGTGGGTATATGTTGTCCTTGTTGTAGCTACAACCTAGTAGCGAGTCTTGTTTCAGGAAGTAATCGTAATGGTCTACTGTTGTAAATGCAATGCCTTACTCTTACTTGGTTATTAAGTTTCGTCTTTCAAGCGGTAGAAGTACCTTTATTTTTTACAACTTGAGGAAAGTCGATAATCAGAACGGCGAATACTAGAAATAATAAATTACTCTTTGTCTTTCAGAGCGGTCTAGTGTAAATTCAGCAATTGTGACTTCGGAGTGAACAAGGTTGGAACACTTGAGAAGAATGAGATGAAAGTCTTAAACTCGTTTCCAAAACTCTGCGGTTGTAAGCATAGGTATTAACAGATTATTGTTATAAATATTCATCAGGTATAATTGATACACAACCATAATTAGAATTATAGTGCTGTTCTCGCACTCGCAACATTGACATCTTTATCTACTTTCTTATTCACTAATTCTAATAGATACAGGAATGGTGGAGCAACGATCTTTCATGATCCTATTGTATGATCCAGAGAGTGCATCTTCGATTGGGATCGATTGATCTTACGCCACGACATTAGGATCTTAGTTCGATATGGATCTTCCTTCGATATGGGTCTTTCTTCGATGAGGATCTTCCTTCGATGAGGATCTTAGTTCGATAAGGATCTTCCTTCGATATGGATCTTAGTTCGACGAGAATCTTAGTTGGATCTTAGTTCGATGAGGATCGATTGATCTAGAAGTGATTGACCCACAGAGCGGATCTCCGATTAGGATCTCGTACTCCTTGCTTCAATACATGATTAGGAACATGCGTCCCTTGGCCCGCCCAGGCAGCCACGAAAGCAATAAACCCACAAGTTCAAATAGCACGACTTTTCATAAAATTTATTTTTCCATCATACCAAGTCCTAAATCGGAAAGACAAAACGCAAAAACTACGGCTGTAAATACGACTCTAATGTTCTAAAAATAGTCTACAAGTATTCCAAGAATAATATCTTTATGTTGTCTCTGTTACCCTGAGAATCCTGGATAGGATAGGATCAGATGCCTCGACTGCGTCTTCACACAAGGTGCTGACGGCAGCTCCGACGAAACGCCTCAAGGAGGACATATTGTACCATAAAATTGAAAATCCTGTCACTTGTAGGTATTTGTATTATACTTACAATCAAGTAAACCTTGATGTTTTGTCCAATATCACCACTTACTCCTAGACTCTTTTCATCCTACTTCTTTGATCGGCCGCAGCAGATCACAGCCAGGAGGTTAGGTTGGGAAGGCGATCATGGTTAGGCTAGGGAACCATCATCCAAAGACTGTTAAGTATGTAAGCGTCGTCCAAAAATTATCACATCATTTTTTTCGGCAACAGCAGCACCACCACAATAGAAGCACAATGAGAAGTATACCAGTGACGCCACCAAGCACGCAGCCTACGACTAGTCCTGCACTGCCTGAGGCGCCGTTTCTGTTTTAGAGCTCAAACACTGAAGTAGTTCACTTCTTGCCTATGCCTGCATTTCTCCCAAGAAAGAATCATTTCTTCCAAGAAACAATCCTAAGAAGAACCCAGCAGGGAGAAATGACTAGAAGTACACTTGATTGTTGTAGAAATTATGAAATAAATGAATTGATTTTGATGGTGCATTGACGAGCCTTAAGAACTGTTGTTTGCCTGCGATCCTTGTGCGGCCAGTTTCTCTTGCGCAGCTTGAAGTTCTCGCTTTAGATATTCCACCCACAATCGCTGAGTCCAGTGCCCACGCGTTTCAACCTCCTCATCAGGAATTCCCGACGCACGGGCATGCGCTTGAAGAAAGAGTGTGAACGAACTCCCTCCCGTGTCACGAGCATGACGGTGCTAAAGGTTGGCGAGTTGCATTCTTCAGAGCATCCTTGACCTATTTCCCCCTTGTTGAAAAGGAGCCAAAGACGGTAGTGAGGGATGTAATTCGGAAACCCTTAACGATTTCGTTCACGCTCGAAACCCTGTGCTCTTTGACCGGCCTCCATTTGTTGCCATTCTTCTGGATTTTCTTCTCGCTCTCGTCGGTCGTGCTCTTTCTTCAGTCTTTCAATCCACTCCTCTCGCGTTTCGTTCTCCTTTTGAGGCATTCCCCATTCCCTCGCGTGTCCTTGAAGAAAGTCTTCGAAACGCATTCCCGGCGCAGGTGTATGAGAACGAGCACGAGGACTAGCAATAGTACGACCAGGGAAAGTTCTTCTTGCAGACACCAGCTGCTGCTGCTGCTGCTGCGACAGTAGATAGAAGTAGCTGCCCGCCAACACGAGATGAACACCCGCCCAACGAATCATCTTTCTTTCTCGAAGTGGTTAGAGAAGTTTAAGATGTCACGTCATGGAACCTTTTTTTCCGTTTAAGATGAAGTGATAGATATTGGCTACAAGAAGTTGTTAGTACTAAGAAGCTAGACTTGTTTCTTGTTGGTTAGTAGTAGTAGTAGTGTACCCATTCGTGCGGTATGGTTCTTGATGGTCTTTCTTGGCCGTGTATGAAGATGAACTACAACCTTCTGAAAGAAAGCAACATATAATTAACGATTTTAGGCAAACATACAATAATGTTTGAAGAAGTAGATGACTTTTCTTGTTCAAAAGAACGCAAAATATTAAACAATCAAGCAGCAGAACGATTCCAAAATATTGCTCAAAACTCTGTGGTCTATATTATGTGCTAGCCTCTATGGCGATTATCATCACAGTAAGCTCCTCGTTCCTTTTCTACGTAACAACAAGACCTATATGTTCTTCACCTCTCTCAAACGGATCATCTTCATTCGGATCAGCGATCACTTAGTCTTCAACATCGAGTAAATACTCAGAAGGAAGTTACCGAATCCAGCTCCAGATGATTTTTTCACCATAGGATCCGCCTTCTAGTCAACGTCTTTCTTGATAGCAGCTTGTGGATCAGGATGTTTCATAGTGGATCTTCTAGGAGTAGCAGGAGGTTATGAAGCACGCGAACGCAACTCGACACACAACAATGTGGGTGGTCGACAGGACGGTCAGCAACGCCAGTCAGCAACACTCTTAATAGCACTGTGACTCAGCACTGAAAAATAAATATCATCTGTAATGTACGCCTGACACCATAATTAATTCATTAAATTATTAGTTTTCAGAAAAAGCAAGCGGATCAAATAAATCAAAAATCAGTCTACTTACTCAACATCACGATGTTCATTTAGTGTTATAAAAGTATCGAATGAATCTCGCAAGCGCGCCTGGACCTGGTTCTGGGAGAAGTGGTTTCGGGTTCTTTTCGTATACTGGGTTCAGCCAAGACGTTTTCTCACAGCGTGTATCGGAAATTAGAAAGACGAAGATGACAGACTACTCTCTGACAGCGTGTATCGGAAATTAGAAAGACAAAGGTGACAGACCACTAACCTCTGAAGAAACTAGTTCTTGTGACAGACAGAGACTACATCAATCTTTACCTCAGCATTTGAAAGTTGATTTTTAAGTGAAGAAGTGGTACTACTAGTGCATTTTGACAGTATACATAGTAAGTTCTGCGTGTAAAAGACCTAGTTCATCGATTTTGACTTCTAAATACTTATACTATAAGTTGCTTCCGAGCCACCTTAACGGAAGATACACTGCCGCTGTCCCGCTCCCGGATGTTGCGTTCCACATTCTTTGGTTGTGTGCTTTAAAATTCCCCTTATCGTCTGGGATAGCTTGGCATCCTTCGGAACAGAACCTAGTGGTGGACAGCTTTTACGACAGCTTTTTTACAACTTTCTTTTCGGTAGGACTAATGATGATGATGATGAATATTACTTCTGTTTTTCTTTTTGATGAGTATACGAACGTCGCTGACGATGAGGATGTATGACAATCTCCATGTATTTAAAGATCATGGGGACAGATACTCAACAGCACATCAGAAACGTCAATGGTGTATCTTCTACCACAGTCTTCTTCATCATCAGTAGAGTGAGTGTAAATATAAAAAATATACTGCTCCAACGTTAGCGGAGTATCCATTTTCCTTGTAGGGCCCATAGTCTTCAGCGTCTCCGGTGCTGGGGTACAAAATGCGTTATCCTCAAACATACACGTAGGCGACCCTTGCCAGTGGTACCTTGAAGAAGTCACAAGTTGAAATGATTTTGATGTGACAGAGACCAGGCCGAGGGTGTTGACGTAGCAGAGCACTAGGAGATCAGGAGACCACGCGGTTGTACTACAACTACTAGGTAGTCATCAAAACTAGAAAGAACTTCTTCTACCTGCATTCCATCTGTGATTTCCCTGTGAAACTGCTTTCTGCGGGTATCAATGCACCTATACAGCAATCTGCGCACTCGCAAACCGGAAAGGCATCGGTGTTGATACTCTGGATCAAATTCTCCTGGATGATAAAGCCAAATGCAGGAGTACTAGAAGAGGCCAAATGCAGGAGTACGAGAAGTGATGTAATCAGTGTGGAGGAGGAGAGTGCTTTTCTTCTTGTTTTGGTGCTTTTCTTGGTGGTGGTAGCGGAGCAGCTCCTGGCAGAAGTGGTCTTTTTCTCATTCTTGTGATGTTGAGGTATTCGTATCTTTCCTGTTAGATTTTTTGTTACAAAGTCGCCCTTCCCAATCTTGCTGTTCTTGCTGTGATCTTTGTCCTTTATTTTGTAGTGAAGTAGGGACGACAGCAATAGGCTAGTCGATGAACTTCTTGACGTGCTGGAAAGTAGAGGTGCAAGACGGCGTTCGTGTGGAGCGTGAGCCTGTTCATTTTCTGCTTCGTTAGGTTTGTTACTTCTGTTGTTTGTCTTTGAACTGCTAGGGTGAAACACATACTTGTTTCTGTAGTAGAAAATCCTAGAATTCCATGATTTTGTTTTTGTACTGTAGTACATCATAGCTTTCTTCAATATCCTCCTTCTTGCTCTTCGATTCTGCTGCGGATCAACATAGTCGTGGCCACCTTGGATGTGCCTATCCTTCTGCGACGATTCTGGCCTCATCGAGGAGGAAGATGAAGTCGTACTGGTAGTGATCATCTTCGAGACTCACTGGTCGTGGTGCTCGTTTATTTTCTCGGTTATAACTTTGCCGTAAAAGAAGTAAATCACAATGCCTTCTCGGAAGGTCCTGTTAAGCACTTTCGCTTTCGTTGCTACAGACTGATTCTCAAGTCCTACTTGGTTGAGATGCAAGTAAGAGTGCAAATCTTTCACCACCCTTCACCAGCAGACTCTGATATTCGTGTTCAGTCGTGTTTCGCTCTGCACCAAAGCTTTTCTTCTCTCTTATTTTTCCTTCACTTACACTTTGATGAATTGCCTCCACCTCACTTTTCTTGCAAATCCAGGGCCACGAGCACTCGACTTCTGTTCATCTCAAGGAACAATCACAGCAACTGCCACAAAGTCGTTACAGTTTGCAACCAATCCGACTGAAGTCTTGTCTACCAGTATCTGTTATCATGGTGAACATTATGTCTGTTAAAGCTACATATTCTCCTCTAGAAAGTTCATCATATCTTTCCTAGACATGCGTCCCTTTCTAAAAGCTTCAGGGTTTGTCGCTTTCAAGTCTTCTAAAAAAAGAGACATAGGGTATTCACTCTGCAGATCGCTACTCACACATATTTTGTAGGCTGCTTCTAATGAGACAGGGGTAGACTCGTCGTTGGGAGGTATGATGAGGGAGGACGCGGGAGAGAGCGAGTAGTTAGCTGTCCGCCCCTTGGCACGGTAATACTCATCTACTATCTGACGAAGTCTTTCTTGAAGCGCTGCGTGCGCGCAAGCGTCACTCTTTACTGTATCCTCCAGATCATGTTCGCGTTTGAATACCAGCGTATAATAAGAATTCGTCGTGGCTTCTTTCGATGAAGACTCCTGCGAACCTTCTGATTCGGTTTCACCATCCCTCTTTGTAACCATTCGAAAACATCTCGTTGCTTCCACTATTCTCTTCAAGAACTCTGGGTTCCGAAAGCTGATCAGCACATAAAAGTAAAACCCCCCTCCACTACCATTTTCATGATCCGTCTGAGACTGAGACCGAGTCCGCCTGGCAACATGGTCTAACAAATAGGTAGCCATTGTTTCCACCTCTCCACACAGGAAGTAGTCCAAGGTGCCTTTATCGAAAGTGAGCCAACTCCTGTCAGCAGGAGCAGGAGTAGTCTCTATTGTTTTCGTCCCCAAGTCCACACACTCCCAGGATACGTGAAGTTGTTCTAGTGTCTCTTCAACATGACTAGAAGAACCTTCGTTTGGTCTTGTTTGTACCTGTAGTCGCTCATACCTTTCCTTAGCTTCGTTTATGGCACTTTCGTCTACGTCTGCGCCGAATATACGATATAAGGGTTTTTCGCACTGATCACAACGCAAGGACAATTTCCAGATATCTGAAGTACCACAACCGGGAACAAACATTACAGGACTGACTGACACCGTCTTCAGGGTTCGTCCGTCTTCAGGTCTGCTATCGTCCATCAAACAGTCCCTGCTCTCTGTAGAAGTTGCATTGAAGAGTTGACAGGTTTCACAGAGTACTACTTTGGCTATCCTCTCGCGTTCACCGTCTTCATGTTGATATTCCCGCCAGCACCACTTAAGTGTGTCGACAAAGGCCTCATTGTCCGCTATCCACTCAAAAGCGGAGAGGGGACAAGTGTCTTTGTCGTTGTTGTTGTCGGTTTTCATTTCGTCCTTCATTTTTTGAGAAGCATGATGAGTCTATCACCATGAAAGAAAAAGGTAGGGACGACTACATGTGCATGCTCGACTAGAACTAGTAAATATTTTCTCCATTATGATTACTCTAGATAGCGGTCAGCGATAGCGGTCAGCATACAACCGCGGGATCTTACCTGAAGAGAAGATAGAGTTAGAGAATATCAAATCAATAAGGTCAGAAATGGAAATTGAAGCATCAAAAAAGATCACTCCTTGTAGATCTCGGCGAACTTCATCTCGACCCGGTTGTGATCTCCTTACGGTCACGGTGACGTGCATTATTTTGCCTGATCTGAGTCTTCGCGTAGACGGTGGATCCTAATGAGCGGCTCTCTTTCTGTGCTGTGCGCTGGATCAGCTTTCTTCTAGGTACAACTGCCGTTATCACGTACGAAATAAGGCTCACAGTCACAAGTCTTCTTTCTGATCGCGAGATCATCGTCCCTCCAAAGTAGAAGATGTATGTTGGTGAGGAGAAAGCAAAGACGAGAATAAGCCAACGCATTGTCGATCGTCCCGAAGCATCGCTTAGAGACGCCAGCAATGAATGTGATATTAACAGATTAAGCGTGGTCCGCTAATTACGTTTACGGTTTGTCAGCCCAAAAATGAAGAAATGTCAACATGGAGCATATCTATACGATGACAACCATCCGGATGTTAGATAAGCGCAATCGCTCCACCGGTGAGCGTTATCGCTTGTCGCAGTTTCTTCCCCAACTCTTGTTCGGTAGGATATCGTGGCAAGTCGAGGCGGTGGAAACAGACAGAGGTTAGAACAACAGGATAAATAATCTTCCTTGGATAGCGATAGAGAATTCTGCTACTTACTTAGTTTCCTGGAGGATTTGGTATTACGTACAGCTTGTCGACAGTAGTCTGATGAAAATCTACTAAGGCCTAAGTACAACAGGTGAGGTTGTCCTTGTCGATAGTAGTCCGTATTAACTGCAACAGGCGACGTTGTCGAAAGTAAGAGCTTCATATCATCACTGTAGCCTCAGTGGCTTCTATGTATTATATTAATTTTATCAAGGTGGATACTGCACGTGCACCAGTTAGCGTGAAGGAAGCAACAGGTGAGGTTGTCGATAGTAGTCTGACTCGGATGAAGATCTAAGGACTACTAGGTGAGGTTGAAGATGTCGATAAGTCGATGGTTTGAAGGGATAGACCTAGAGTATAGACAGAGGCGAAAACTAACCGGCTGCTTTACTTAGTGCTTTAAGCGTCGCTGGAAACCTTATAGCATAAAAAGAGAGAAACCAGTCAGAATTTGCAGAACACCTCTAAGCCAAATTGAGAAGAGAGGTGAGAAGATTCACGACGGACAAACCTTTGAATCAAAATCATCATCATCAGCAGCCATAAATGCGCAGTTGGTAATTTGTGATGCTTTTTGGGACCCAGAATGGCCAGCGTCACTCGCGGATACAAGCTGCGGAAGCCTGCGGCCGGCACTCGCGTTCGGCCCAACCAGAATTGAAGCAAAGAGAGACGCTCACGTTCGGCGAAGCCATTTAACACCATTAGACCTATGGTGCATAATTCATCATCATCTTTATGCAGCTGCAAGCATCCTTGAAGAATATCAGGAGGAAGATGATCCTTCTTCAGGTCAGGGATGCAGAAAATATAAATATTTGTCAAACAAGATGAATTAGCAGCTCATATAAATATTTGTCAAACAAGATGAATTATCAATATCGAGCAGTGCCATAAAACAACGTTCTTCAACATTGCCTTTATCCTCTCTGCAGCTTCCCGGTGTTCCTGCTCTTCTGCTTTTGACGAAGCTCGGAGACTTGCGCTAGTTCCTTGCACGTGCACGCAGCTGAACAACTCTCGGATTTGAGTGTCCGAAACACCGGCTCTGCCTTCGAGGAGCCAGCGGAGACGATGAGCAGCTACGGTGTAGTCATGATTAAAAATGTGGCTCTTCCTGTTGTCCTCACTTGAACAACTTGAGCCGCCAACATTCGTCGAACTAGAAACCTCAGAAGTAGATGATGTTCTTGTTGATAGATGAAAAGGCGCGAAGACACTCTGCACTTCCAAAACATCATGGAAACCTGTGCGGAGAGCGGTCAATGAATTCTGCACGGACGTGAGCAGATGGAATTGACAGACGCGATAGACGTATTCGACCCGGTTGTTGAAGGTTACTGGTGGAGGGTCCTCAGAAGATGTAGAAGTTGACGTCAGAGGTCCTCCTCGTGCGTCATTTCCCCCGTCTTTTGATGCTAATATCCCAGATGAAGTAGACCACGGTGGACTAGTATGAGCGTGGTCATCACCACCAGTAGCCGCACTAGTACCTGAAGCGGAAGCACACTGCTTCAGGGGAAAGAACACCCTCTCTCCTATGCATTCCATTTCTATCGAAAAATCCAAGCACAACGTATCTTCTAAATCGCCGTCTCGGTCCTCATTCCACGATATGATCTTCTCCAGACCCTTAGCCATCTCCGTGTCGACAGTTTCCAAATCTCGTAAGGCGTCATTCACGGTAGGCCAGAGTAGAGATGATGTTGCTGTTGTTGATGTTCTTGAACAAGATGGAGATGCGATGGAGGTTTCTCGAAACTCCTTACCCGACAACAGCAAGATCTTGTACAAAAATAGTGCCAAAGGGTGTTCGATCTGCACCAATTGGTAGATGGAGTACGCGAGAAAGCGACCAACAAATTCGTAGAGTGCGCGCATCTGAGAATCCGGATTTCCCATTAGGCGGTGAGCAAAGTCTGGCATTAACCAGAGGGCACACCCAGCAGATGTCGAAGAAGGAGAGGACGGAGATACCTGGCGCGGGTGTAAGACAAAGACAGTGAGGAAAAAGATTCGAGCTAGCTACACTCGTAAAAGCAAGGAAGAGTTGTGCAGGAGCTAAACCATATCATCTGCACCTAAATGTTTCTGCTTGCGCTGCATCTAACCGAAAGTGCTGGATGTAGAACAAGATCAGATGTTACTAGGAAGAACAATGACTACACATTGCGACACACATGAAAACCAAATCCCAGTACCGTCACCCCCGACCGGAACAGTCCGCTTTCTAGCTGTAGGAGGTCTTTGGCTAGAAATTGAATCCACCCCTTCGTAAGCGCTCCCCAGTCCATTCCGCTATCTCCAATGTACCCGACTATGAAGCCTCGTAGCCAAAATTCCCCAGTTTTGAACCCTGCGAAACGGAAACTAGGTAAGAACGTTGTCAATGTTGATGCACTTGCTGTGGAGGCCATGGTCGTGCCTCCAGGAGCATAGAAGCCGGCTGAGGACTTGTTCGCAGAGGATGGATCCTCATCTACTTTGTTGATGCTGCTCAAAACGGAAGTACTAGAATGAAACGGAAACCTCCAGAGGCGGTCATGAAGAGGGCTAGGACCCTCTTCATCGAAAAGCAAACTCGTGTCGTCTCGCAGTATCTGATCACGACCTCCACAGTCGTGAGAACTATCACGTATCCGGCTTGCTTGCGAAGTTGATGTTGTTGGAAATAGTCCTCCTCTGGTACTTGTTGCACTTGTACTACTTCCTAGTGCTCTGTCCTCAGCGCCTGCCATTCGTCTTGATGAAGGGTAAGAAGTGGTAGAAGAGCTCGACGAAGTTGCTGCACCGCCTCCAAGTCCAACAAAGGCCGCGTCTTCTCGGTTAGCCGCGCGTGTTGTCTTTCCACCTCTGGAGGTTGTCCTGAATATGCTGCTCTTGCTGTTACGACAATCGTCAAAGTCTTCATCTTCCTTTAGCAGGGAGTGGCTATTCGACGCCCCATCGTCCTCGTGTTCATTCAACGCGTTCCGTGTTTTCGCCGAACAACAAGCAAGAGCACCAAAGCTCGTCGTGGTTGAACTTTTCTTGCTATAAAAATGATCATGGTCATTTTGTTCCTTTCCACTCCGTCCACCTCTCGTCCGATGCTGATCATGAAGGCCGCGTCCCCCATGGATCAAACCACCTCGTCCATCGAGATCGGTATTACTAGAAACTTCACTAGGCGCATCCTCACTGACATCGCAATATTCATCATTGACTAAAAGGTTTTCGTCCTCGTAATCGCAGAAGTCAGCACCGCCATCGGATGAATCCTGCATATAATCTATCTCCTTTATCTTCCAGGTTCCCTCTTGCTGCTGACGTTGGCAGTTGATCTGCTGCTGTCGCAATCGTCGACTAGCATGTCTCCGAGGATCATCGTCGACTAGCATGTCTGAAGTTGTGCGATCGTGTGTTCGGCATCTACCTCTTCGATTCCCCGCATCATGGTCTCCTTCTTCTTCCGCAAGGTAAATCTCCTCTTGCAAAGCAGCTCTCTTAATTTCCCTCAGTCTTAGAGTTCATCTTCTTGCTAAGTACTTCTATTATTGCGAGGACCCTCTTCATCTGCTATCTAGATGAAGACCATTTTTTCAGAATGTAATTTCTTTTTGTTAGAAGTAGTAGTCCTCTTCTCCTTCTTCCTCTCAGGTGGTACTATTGCTGTTACATCCATTAATGAGCAACCCAAACAGGATCAAGGTCCCTGCTTCCCAGCATAACAACCTCTCGCTTTCCGCTCTCAGCCTTTGTTCCCGCCATACCCATTTCGCCTTCTTTCGCCGCTCTCTAAGTACCCGACGCCGCTGAGCGGTTCTTGGGGAAAATAACAGGTTCATTTGGTTTTGATCCGGTCTAGCAATAGTCAACTTCGGCACTCCATCTGGTGGCTTAGCTCGATGATTATGCGCGGGCCACCCAAAGCTACGACGCAAGACGTCGAGGTTTTTCACGACCTGACACATAGCTCGTTCGTCGAGGATGGTGAAAGCGAATTGAGATGTATGATCTGCTAAGACTCCAGCGCCTGCACCTTCTATAGATGAAGAGGACGAAGAAGAGCTCGAGGTGGATCTTGCTTCATCAAGAATCGGATTTATTTGGCACTCGTCATCTTCATCTACTGGCGCACAAAAGACTTTCCGCAGATAGGCATACAAAGTTTCTCGGGGAGCCCCGCTGATTTCCGTTGAGGCGCCAGACGAGGTTTTTCTGTTCTGCAGGTAATCTAGGCTGTCAATCCGAAGGAGCAGTGATGAATCTCCAAACTGCAACACCTTGCCACTTCGCAAGCAGCAAACCTCTGCAGCAGTCGATGATGAAGATGCAGCAGAGTGTAAGACTTCGTAAATCTTCGCGGTGTACGAGGATCCAGAAGCAGAAGTGGACGAGGAACTACTAGATCCACCTCTTTCCACCACTAGAGACCCTATCGTTAGCTGATGTGCAGAAGAAGATGAAGATGGTTTTGCTGTAGTTTCATTTTGTCCATGTTCTTGTTGTACTGCAATTGGTGCACGACTTGCTGGTTGGTCTCGTATCCAATCCGTGGTCCCTCGTCTAAGAAAACACTTTGTGCCGCTTTTCGTACTACTCGTCCCACCAGAACTAAAGTTCGCCGCTGATGACAAAAGAGGTGCTCGTCCAGGATGCCCTACAGGCAGTGCCCGTTCCGGAAAATATGCAGCATCTAAGAGCCCAACAGCGCCGTCCCATTCCCCAGTGGGAGCTTGTTTCACGACTGGCGAGTCGTTCCAGTAGAGCCAACCGTCTGTGCGCTGACAGCAATTCAGTTTCCAAGTACCCGACCAATAAATGATGGCGCCGGTGGTTTCGTTCCGATACAAAGGCCGATCGCGGTACATCAATTGATGACCGACTTCCTGCTGCTCTGCTCCTAGTTGCTGGTGTGGTTGTTGCGCTTCAGAACTTCCTCCATGCTGTTCTCTCACTGGAACTGGACAAGGTGTGGTAGCAGATGAGGAAGCTCCACCCGAAGATGAGGAAGCTCCCGAAGATGAACCGCTACTAGCAGCAGCCCTTTTTGCAGCCCATCGTTCTGCTCTTCGTAGGCTCCCTCTCGAACCTATTTGTGGCGCTGCTCCCACAGAGGTAGTAGTAGTAGTAGTAGCAGTACTAGCAGTAGTGGCCGATGTATAATTAGTGGTACTACTGCTGCTACTACTACTACTGCTTGATGATGAACCCCCACCACCGCCTACGACATTACTAACCCGCATCCACCGGAGACGACTAGCTGGTCCATCTCTAGTACTTCTTGGCACCTGAGTAGATGTAGAAGATCCACTTGAAGTAGGTCTACCATCCGACAAGTTTGCAAATTCGAAAAGTTGATTTGCCAAATGCGTCTGATGGTTATGCTCTTCGCTCATCGGACCCGTACTATTATAATTCGTCTTATAATCATTCTTCTTCATCATCACTATTATTGGTGAAAACACCCCATTGCACAAACTCGCATTCGCACTACCGGAACAACCCTCGACAAAAACAGCCTTAGGATTTTGCGGAAATTCGTGCAGACAATATCTAGCGCCAAGTGTTTTCGGATAGAAGGCGCACAGCCGATCGGCAGGGATGTTGCGAATTTCGGAGTTCCATATTACACCAGAGAACTTGCCAGAGGAGTCGTTGTGAGGGAAGGACGAGGAGGAAGTTGTACTAGTTGCGGCGACACGAACGTTGTATAAACGCCTCTCTGTATCGTACGACAATACGGTTCCTTCTGCTACGACATGACTAAATTCTCTAGAGTCTCTGATGCTGTTCATCTTGTAAAGTCCGTCTTCTTCTTCTGCTTCCTCTGGCAAGATCCCAACTCTTTGTCCGCAAAACAATGGTCCGTTATCGAAAATCTCGGTTTCCGTAAGCGAGCTAGGCCACCCTGCCTCAACTAAAAGCGATTTGATAGCTACTTCTGCGGTAGTTGATGTTGATGTTGCTTTTGCGTCAGCAACTACATGGTTAAAGAAGGTATAGGAGATTGCAGAAGCGATGCTGTCGAGTGATACCACGCCAGGTACATCATCATCTTCTACTTCTACTCTCAAAGATGAAGAGGTGGCCATTTTTCCCGTCTCCTTGTAGTTCTGCGCTTTGACCACGTTCCCCTTGTAGTTATGGTCAAGAAACTGCTTCAGCCATCTGCGTCCATCAGAACGAAACAGGTGAAGAAGCTTTGACCGGTCAATGCCGAACTTCGAGACTTTACTCGCCAAGGACTTCGCTAGAAGTGCTGGAGAGGACGAGAAAGAGGATGCCGTAGATGGCGCAGTCAGCGTCGCAGTCGTTGATCTTGATCCGGTGGCCGTATCGAATTCGAACCTCTCTTTGAAAGCAAACAAATGCCCTTCACAGTGCTCCCTTATCCACCACACAACCCCTTCTGTATTCATCACTTTCAGATTCTTTTTCTCTCTTGTGTTGATTGTTGTACTAGTAGTAGTGCCACTGGTGCTGCTCGTTCTCGTAGTAGTCTGCAGCTGTTCATCTAGTGCTTGTTGTGCACTTTCATCATCTTCGCAGCTGTCCTCTTGTATGATCAAGCCTGTATCATATTTCCGCAATGGTCCTTCATCGTTGAGTAGAACGACTTCTCTGTACAATGTTGAAGAATCCTGCATATGGATCCTAGAAACTTCAACTGGTCTCAGTTCCTCTAGAAATCCACGCCACAAGGGTTGCGATGGGAAGGCTACTATGACTCGATCCCCTTGCAGTTTTTGTACTACGCCGATTTCCAGCAGGACATTTACATCTCCAACGCCACGGGCTAGCGTATCTGGCGCTGCGACGATGCGGACCCAGGAATGGACACGGATGAGAGGACCTCTTAGGCTGCTAGACTTCATCGGGCTCATGATTTCAGCCCCTCTTCCTTCAGCTCCTCCTCTTCCTTCAGCTCCTCCTAGTCGTGCGGCATCAGTGGCTAGTACATCCGTAGTATCCAGTGACAACTCCCCAATGTCACAAACGACAAAGTCTTCGTTTCGCCGGTCCTTGTTTTGATGCAGGAATTCCACGTAGACGCGGTCGTCGTAGCTCTCGCTAGCCTTGTTCTTGCCCCTTGACCTCAGGATCGTCGCCGAGAGTAAGTCTTCCTCCATCTGCTCTCCGATACGACCTTGCACCGTGCCTCCTTCGTCCACGTAGCCGCGGATGAGACCTTGTTGTTGGGGACGAGGTCGCTGTTGACTGTTTTACTAGTGCTTATACTAGAGAACATTATATATTATTGCACGGGATAAGTCTAATATGGTCGAGGTGACTGAAAGCTAACCGGTTCCGGTTGTCTTACTTAGTGCTTGTTATACTAGAGAACATTATATATTAATTTAGAGAAGTTTGATAGTACTAGAGGACCATCTTTGTCGGTGGTCTTCCATGTCCTCGAGAAAAGATTTCAATGTGACCTCTTGTTGAGTGAACATCCAGATAACAAAAATTCTATGTACCTACCCCTTCGGTGTGGTGCCGGACTCGGAGATGGAGTCGGACGTCTTCTTTCCGTACTTTTCTTTGTCCCCCAACTTCATCGGTTTCAGTTCTCGGAGAAGTGCGCCTGTAAATATCCCCGCCTACAAGACTGGTGGTCGTGTGCACGTCAGGAGCGTACGAGTCATGCTGGTTCTTGTCCGTCGACTGTGCTAGCGCCTCCTCCTTTACTTCTAGGGTCGATGTAGAAGAGGAATAGACCTTTTCCACCGCACGCCAGAAATTGTTTTTCTCGCATGCATTCGCTTCTGCGCCATACTCCACATGGATCACGATTTTTCCTGCATAAACACGCTCGAAATCTTCAAAGTCTTGGGTTGTTGCTCCTCGACGTGTTGGCGACGAAGATGAAGACGTCGTAACAGGTGCTACAGTTGCAAGTGCAGGTTGCCCAGCTACAGACGCTACAGCTTCGCTTTCAGTTCCTGTGGTTGCGTCAAACACAGCGGATGATTGGCGCGAGATATCTCCTGGAACTTCCTCGTCAATGAGATTTTCCCTATTTTCATGCTCCTCGACGGTAGGTAAAACTTCTGATCCAGTAGTTGGGGCAGGTACCTTCGTTGTCTTAAAGGGCGCCATGACAGCCCTGGCACATCGTCGCTTCCTCGAGATCGGTTGCCAAAGAGGATAAGCATGTCGATGCCCTACACGAAAAGAATAGACGGGTGGCAAGGAAATCCGACACCGTCCTATGACTTGACGCCCTTCTGCTCCGAAAATCCGCTGAAGAAAGCCAAAGGGGACCACGCGGACTACCTGGGGTATGGAACGCGAATAGGAGCGGAAGTGCTTGTAGTTAAATCTTCACAATCTACTTACATTATGATGACCTGAGAGTGGAGCCAAAGGGTAGAAGAGCAGCGAGAAACTTAGGACTAGATGAAGAAATAAGAGGGATCAAAACTGCAAAAATCAGTACTGTTATCCCGATCTCGACAGGCTCTCGTTGGTAGGCCACTTGAAAACAGGCTTCCTGAAACTTGACTTTGTTGACCTTTTGTTCGCCACAGCCAAAGCATTTTCTCGGTTGTTTTTAGAAGGCAGAGGAAAAACCAACTATGAGTCGACGCCACTTGCTACTGTAGAATATGTTTAAGATTGAATGAGTTAGTTAACTACGGGTCGTTATCAACGAGGATGCCACTCCATATCAATCATAGCCATAATTGTCTTCTTTGCCTGCTTTCTCTCTGAGCAAGGAATACGGCGAGCTCTGAACTTCTTCCATGAGCTGTTTATAATCCTCCTGAAGATAAGCACCATTCCGAGTTTTTGCTTTCAGTTTCACCTCTTCTTCGTGTAGAAGTCTTCTTCTGCTCGGCAAAGATGTGGATTTAGTCCTTCTACTAGTCCCAGAGTGCACCACGTACTGTCTTTCTGTTCTGAATTTCCGATTAGCCACTACGAGTTCGCAATAGATGTAAGAGCCGCCTACCAGCCGAGAAGGAAGGTTTCCGAGGTCAGAAACGCTATGGACGCGTACTCTAAGAACTCTGCCACCCTCTGCAGGAGGCGCGATCTCCTCGAACTGCATCGTGCTCGTGGTATTCGCTTGCTTCGTTATTCGCGTTCGCTAGATGAAAATCTGGATTGGTAACGTCTGGTTTGGCCTCGGCAACCGATCGATACCGTCGCAAAGAAGAAGTGCAAGAATCAAGCACATGGCCGCATCCTAGCTGTGTTCTTGTATGTTCGTTCTGGGTTCTACCTAATAGAGTAAGTACTCAAAAAGTCAAAACTACAGCTACCCCGCGACTGTGTGAATGACTTTGTTCACTACTGCATTTACAACAACTTCTAGTCTTCCTAGAAACTTAGAATCAAACGAGCCCATCATGGATAAAATAGCATTTATTCCAGGTGCTCATGAGAATCACTCTTCTTCTCGTTCTTTTAGAGTGTCTGGATCTACTCACGACCTTTCGCTTTCGGATATTCTCTCGATAATTCTTGTAGCAGGTCCTCAACACGTCTCCTCTGCTTCATGTCAAGACCTCTTCAGCCCTCTTGCTAGAATCGTCATATCTATGCATCATGGGAAAAAGGAATGTCGTCGTATGATTTTCGCAAGCTCGTTTGTCTCTGTGCGTGCGTATCGAAGCCTGGTTGAATACTATCTTCTCAGCCTGACGGACCTACTTCGACTTGTTCTTGCAATTGCATGTTATTCTCGCCTGTTCTTGTGCAAATGAAACTGAAAAATTGGAATACTATTCCAACAAACATTTTGATTTTATTTTAGTTACTAATTATACTATTACTAGCAAAAGAATAATCCTGCACGGAATTACTAGATGAGTAAAACACTGAGGACAAATAAAGCAATGAACCAACATATTGAGTGAAAGAACAGAAAAAGAGCTTGAACTAGTAAGAAGCACAACTAGATTGATTGACATGCTTCTATTGCTATCTATAAGCGTCCGAGTATTTTCCGCCTCCCTTCTTGAAAGAAATCTTGTCTCGCAGCATCACTTGATAGTCAGGAGGAACTATCATCTGGGTCTCATCTTCTCTATCCCAATCGATGTACCAAGGTAGATGTCGCGCTTGATAATCGATACCTCCAAAGCGAGCCACGCGTAATCCATATTTCACACCCCTCACGCAGACTGGATTGTTTTCGAAACACACCTCTCGAAACAGACTGCCTGCTGCATCGATGCGGGCTGCAAAAACCTCATGAAGATCTTCATCCAGACGTGGACGAGACGTTGAGTTCCTGGCGTTGTGGTAGTCCTTGTGCTCAACATAGTCGTGATAGTCCACATTCGCTTTCCAAAAGGAACTCCTAAACTTAGACTCCCAAGGTGTAGGTCCGCTTTCCCGAGACACCCACTCTTTTGCCTCGTCCAGTAAGGATGCTTTCTTCTCGGGAGTGATTCTACTACTCGTTCTTGCCCTAGAGCTAGTAGAACTAGAACTAGCTGCTTCCCCCGAAGATGAAGAAGGAGTTGTACTTGAACTTGCACTGCTATCATTATAAAACATCTTCGAATCCCATTCTTCCTCTACCCTATCTGTCCAATGAATCGTAGGTTCTGTCCACGAGGTCATGCTAGAAGAATTTAAGAGTTGTCCAAACAGAGATGCTGTACTAACTCTATTCTTCCAAAAGTTGTGTTGAGACGCGAGAGTGAGTTGCAGCAAGTCTCGTCGTTTTGATTCTTTCGCGACATCCCATTTCCGTTTTACTAATGAGGCTTGTTGATGGGCATCTCCACCTCGTGGTCTTGGCCTGCAAGATGAACTGGAAGAAAATTGAAATTCACCTTGTTCGTCAAGACTTCGACATTCACCTTCACCACGAGCACTACTTCGACTTCCACGTCTAGGACCTCCTGTTTCTTCTGCGTGTTTAATCATCGTCCACTTCTTTCTCTTGGCCCTCGTCCTCCTGCAACTGCTTCTCTTCCTCCTCGTGAGCCTCCTAGGAGTATCAACAAGTTCAAGCCCCCTTTCTCCCAAATCATCAATCCGTAACGCAGGCCCAGCCTTCAAAATCCTAGGATAATGATCCAATAACGCATTAAAAACTTGCAACCACTGACTTGTGGCTGGGAAGATTACGTCAGGGTCCGTGACAACAAACCGCTTCCCAGGTATATCCAGAGCATAGATCAGCCATGGCACTTTCCAAAGCGCATAACACCCATGGTTCTTCGAAAGACGGTACATGTGGAAAGAATGATCTTGTTCTAGAAGATGATCATTGATGTGACCCTCAAAGTAGAATCGAAGCAAAGGAGCATAGCTCGAGTTGTTGTCGATGATGTGTATGTTCCTGAAACCGTACTTGTATAGGTTCTGGAGTTTGAGACGCAGGAAATACAGCAGATTGAAATTGGTTATCACTATAGTTAAGGCTCAGCATTCAGTGGCCATTGACTCTGAACGGAAGCGATCCCCTTCAAAGCTCTCCCCTTTCCCTTCGTTTCCCCCTGTTCTCTCAAGGGGTCGCCTCTTCGATCTCAGTGACCAACCCCAATGACCACTGAAAGCTGAGCCTTAATATAGGCACTTTGTCGGGAGACCGGAAATCGTCTTTTCCGATGTTCGAGTGCAGAATTTGTTTCGCTGCGTCGGGAACTGGGCGAGATTTTAGGCCTGCTAGAATTAGAAACAGATGTTCTCACGCTCATCATGTAAAAAAATGGTGTAAGTTTGTTAGCGTTACATGTTAGTGCTCCCTGAATGAACTGAAGTTTACTTCTTGAAGGCGTCATATAAATGATGAAAAGATCGCTGCATTATAGATACTAATTCGTGCCAGAATACAACCTACCAAATCGTAAAGTAAGACTCCACAGTCTCGGAGGTGGCGCGCCAGGTGGCGGATAAGCAAGGAATGAGAATGAGAGCTCGCCGTTCTCATCTACTTGGCCAAACGAGTTCGGAACAGCGATCCGGAATCCCCGACGTCTACTGCGGATAAGACCATGACGAGATGGATGAGAATGGGAAGAATGGGAATGGAATAGCCTTCTATCCCTAGAGGGACGAGAGTGATCAACGAAGAGAGGACCCAGACCACTAGGCTGAGCGTCACTGTAAGATTCTTTCCTAGTATAGGGAGAGAGACCATCTTCTTTCCTATAGGAGAAGGTTGTTGTTCTTGGTGCTGTCTTTGTCCTTGTCCTTCCTCCATCTTGTTCCTCGACTTTCGAGACTTCTTGTCGCGGAGGTACAAGTTGTTGTATGACTCTGTTACTTCTGAAGGAAACATCCTCGTGAATGATGTTCGAGGAAGACGAAGATATCACGAGGAAGTTGAAATAAAACAGTAGAACTACGAATATCTTCATCATCCGTGCTATAACTTTCCGTAAAACTCGTTCCTATGACTATCTCATCTGTAATCACTAAAAAAATGAGGTAAAAATGAAATAAATCACAATAAAAAACTTCAGCGAAAAGACTAAAATGCCATAGAAGTTAGATCATCGCCAATACCATAGACCTCTCACTTTTCAACCACAGTTGGATCATCCCAAGTCAACAGCTCAATCCGGAGATACGCAAAAGCACCGATCTGTGATTCTTTTTTTTTACCACAACTACATCAACACCCTACTACAGCTTCCACCAGCATTTGGCACAATGAATCGTTCGCGTCTGTCCAAAGTCGGGCACCATGGTCGACGATTGCCAAATACATAGTGCTAAAAATACACCCATTCTTGGGGTGAGAAACAAAGGTTACGGCGGGTCATGGGGCCCGAAAAATGGTGGCATCAACAGCATATCAACAACTACAATCATCCATTTTCATTTTACCATGTCTCATGCTGGTGCCTCTGTTTTGGTTCCCCTTAAAGGCAATTTGCCAGCCGACATCACAAGCTGTTGCCATATAATATTTAATGTTCTAGCAAGATGATACGTTTTTTTTTCCCGTTGTCGTTCATGTACTTCGCGCGAATTCGCACTGAGAACGAGGCAGGTCTCTGTCCTACGTCTGGTTAAGTAGGTTAGGTCAGCATGATTGATATTCAAAAAAATTTTACACAAAAAATATAACTTTCCCACGAAAGAAATAATAAATTTTGTCCTTTGTCACAGCACTGTGCTTGGCCAAGTCTTCTGGACGACAATGTGCTGAAAGATAACCCGGCACTCGTCTGGTGAAGTCCCCAGTCTCGAGAAAACGCGCAAAGACGCGAATTGGAGTAGATAGAGTCAGCTTCTATAATTCATCTCGACCCCTCTCTCTTCATGCAATACAAGGGAAAAGGGTACGCGCAAAGACTTCAATTATACAGTCAGCTTCTATAATTCATCTCGACCCCTCTCTCTTCATGCAATACAAGGGAAAAGGGTACGCGCAAAGACTTCAATTATACAGTCAGCTTCTATAATTCATCTCGACCCCTCTCTCTTCATGCAATACAAGGGAAAAGGGTACGCGCAAAGACTTCAATTATACAGTCAGCTTCTATAATTCATCTCGACCCCTCTCTCTTCATGCAATACAAGGGAAAAGGGTACACTGATTGTTGAGATGCTGAGCCTCCTGAGCCTACTGAGAAAGGAGAACGGACACTAATATAAATATAAATAATGTCGACATTAAGCGTAATTCAAATGGCGCCGGAAAGGTGTGGTTAATACTCCCGAAATTTGAGTACACCAACGCCACCGAGCCGAATTTTTGACGGTTACTCGCGTTCAAATTCACAAACAACTCGTATGTGTGTGACTGTCGGTCGCCCAGCATAACGGTCCCCAAATGAAACCGTTTGTCAGGCGGCTCGGAGCCCACGACATGCTGATGTTCTTGGTACGAGGAATGTTCTTGATCTTCTTGTATTTTTATCAGATCCCAGTAAAGGACGCCTTTTCGCTGCAGATTCAGCTTCAGAGTTACCCCTTTGCGCAGCTTCCACACGGGGGACTCTCGTAGCATATCAGCCAGCAATGGCGGCAAAGCCAAGGAAGGCCCTAAGATAGCTAGCTGCGCCTCTATTTGCTGGACTAGCATCTGACCATTGTGCGCAGCATCATGCTTTCGAGCCCACTTGTGCTGGTGCTTTTTATCCTTGCTTCCATTACCAGTAGTGCCCGACCCCATGTTAAGATGCTGCTCCCTTTCTTCACCAGTTGTACCCGAACTCGGAGTACTGGCATGATCGGCAAGAAGGTGATCGTTGGCTAAGATATGGATGACGCCTTTTCTCCCCCCTAGAGCCAGACCATCGAGGCCCCCCTTCAGCTATACAGTTTGAAGAGGAAAAAGGCAGCCCCGATGGTCATCCGGGTGGAATGAACATCGTCCATATAAGAGCTTGCGCATTTGCCCCATCGTAAAGCCTGGTCGAACCACCAGACCCACTTTGACCACTCCGGACGCTGGTCTTTTACTTTGCTCAGCAATATCTTTAAGCATTCTTTTATCTGCTTAGAGGACTCTAAGAACTTTCCCGTATGATAGTTCATCTTTCATTTGCATGACCCTTCAAAAGAATACTATAGCACGACGAGGGAGAATACTCAGGCTGCATACGTACTTACTTTTCAAGGATTCACCATCAAAGAGATTGATCATGAACTAATCAGGTGCGTCGACCTTAGACAAAAAAGGATTTGAAAATTCCTCTAGATGTCATCTGGTGTTCTAAAGAAGTCAACTCTTCTTTTGTCTAAGGTCTAGTACCTGGTTCATTCCTCTAGAAGTACGTAGAACGCGTCATGTGTCCGCTTCATGTTGCGAGCCTTACTCGATCACCTAAGAAGGCCTATAATTACATTCATTATGAAGTCTAACTATATTCGCCTTAGTATGATGATGAATGGACTAGTAGATTGTAGGTTGTTTTAAAGCCGGCCTACCTTATAAATATAATATTCCTCTAGATCTAGAAGCAGAACTACCTGAATGAAATCTACGGTCCTGTATTCGCTTTAATACTTCCAAGAAGGGTCCTCTTTCACATCTTGTGGCACTTCTGCGTCGTTGCCAAAGAGTGCGAAGTCCTCTGCCAAACGCGTTGAGAGATCGGGCTGCTCCACGAAAAATACACCGTCAATAAAGGAGGAACCACGAAGATCAGGATCATGCTCCTCTTCTGAGGGACCGTCATGTTGCTTTTCCATTTCCTGCTTCACAGGATACAAGTCGAACATTTCTGGAATGCAAAGGTGCAAAGGGTCGTAATGCTCAGACAGAAAGTATCGCGCATCTTCCACCGTGAAACATTTTGCCCATTCAGGTTTGTGAAGATTACCAAAACGTCTATTAGAGCTTATAGAAGACCTACGAAGTCCATGATGGCCATGGCCATCATTCAAGTTTGAGGTCAAGTTTGAGGACTTCATATAGCTGCGCTGTCTTCAATTTCAATAACGTAGCCACATCTACTTAGCCAATCCAAACTAGTTGGTGGGAGAGGGAGGTTTCCCGAGAAGCAGTACTTAGATGCTTTTCTTTGAACAAGATGGATTTCTAAAACAAACAAATCTTAAAAGATTCGAATATCTCTTCGGTTATCTCAATGGCCTGCACGTCTCCGCTCGCCAGGTGTACCTCAAGAATGCGCGCAGCCACTCGCGGTTTAGCGCTAAGAGATGACGAAGAGGAAGATGCCGCCAAGGTCGAGGACGACATTTTTCAATACTCATCCACGCAAAAAAGTTAGTACGAAAAAGTACTGCAACTAGTTAAAAAACTTGATAACGTCCACCTTACACATATATTTATAGGTTCGCATGCTTACGCAATTACCTCACGAAGCACAAGTACTGTCTGAAAGGATAAGCCTAAAGATAGAGGGAAGGCGAGCCGGCTGCTTTGCCTTAGTGCTTTAAGCGACGCTGGGCCTCGACCTAAGCCCCATCCTTATACAAAGGAAGGAGCCGATCAAGATTTGCGGCACACCTCCAAGCCAAAGGGGAAAAGATTACCAAGCTGTACCTACTATGGGAGGAGGCTGCCCCAATACTCATCAGATGGGTTTTTTGCCTTTTTAGCTGCTTAACATCCTTAAGCCACTACCCTAAGTGCCCACCCCATCACGCTTTTTTACTCAAAGCTTGGGCTTTACACTCCCAGAAGCTTCAGCACAGATGTCATTTTGTCTTACTCACTCAAACCAAAGCCACGAGCCCCAACAGGAGCGACGCGCAAGCAGAAGGCAACACAGAAGCCCGACGCGCACAGAAGGAAAATTTTTGGCGGCGTCCTGTTTCACTGTGGAACACAGACAAGCATAAGACACAAGAAAGAAAAGCACCCACCAAATGGCTGCCCTGTCGTCTTGTGTTGAGATGGTGTCTGGCTATTTGATTTTGCGAGAAAGTGAGTATAAATAATATTACGGAGGCCCGCAATGTGTGTGGTGGATGTTGTTGTTGTGAATAGAAGCGAGTGCTTCTATGTTGATGATGAAGGGTCGCAAGATGTATGAAGGACATTGAGGCAGATGCAGTGACTGTGGACAAAGTTGAATCGTGTACTATGGTCATTGTCGTACCGCATTAATGTCCCCAAGTTAAAGTTTCCTCTTGTGTAGTTGGTCGCTTCAAGTTTTACGTTGACTATGACGTTCTTAGAAGCATCCACATCGCAACTGCCGTTCCAATCTTCACGATTACAGCTACCAGCTGTACTATGGGCATTACAATGGGCACGACATGACGACGCTTGCCCTATTATCAATGTAGAAGAGGAAGGGGATGATATTATATCAACGTCAACGCTGAGTTTTCTCAAAGGCGTCTTCACGGGGAGCCGAAGAGAGGCGCCGTAGGTGGTGGGAGTGAGAAAGGCTTTTTCTACTGCCATTACGATTGCCGGCAGATCCTCTATGCAAGTCTTCTCTATCTCTACCAGTGTTTTTTCCTGTAGGGCTATAATTGCTAGTAGTATAATCTCCATCGTCTACTGGAGTCGTCAATGCACCTAGAAATTGGTCTGCAGCATGTAACATTAAGTCGCCTAAGCTTGAAGCCTCCTCAGCGCGACCTCTTCCATCCAGGGCGTCCTGCTCTTTCTTTCGAGGGTCGACAGCTGCTTTCCTTTGTCTCCTTTCCTCCATTCTTTCCGCAATGCCGCTGTTTCTCACGGGTGGAGGCGTCGCAACTTTGTTACTTGAGAAGGGACTAGGGAAGGAAGCTGATGCACCCTTTCCAGATCGGGCCTTTGAAGTAGAAGCAGGGAGTCTGCTTAGTGTACTAGTGGCCGCAGAAGTCGGCGCGGTTCCCTGCATATTTTTTGTGGCTCTAGAAAATGGCGGAGGGGATGGCGATGATAGTAGCGGCCCAGCTTCCCTCCTACTAGTGGACGACGGAGAAGGTGGAGGGCTTACTATTCCATTAGTAAAGGCTGTGACAGAAGGCAGCCGCTGTAGTTGTGCCTGTGGTTTGTTGTTCCCGCCACCACTTGTTGTTGCTGCGGCTTCAGCCTCAAGCGTTGCGGGGAAATGGCCACTCTGTCTGTGTTTACGAGCCACTCGAAGAAGCTTCCCCACCTCTGATTTGCGCTTCTTTTCTGCGACAGTCGTTGTTGGGCCATTCTTCTCTGTCTCTAAAGAGTTAGAAGACACCTCTACTCTTGGCATCTTCCCCGACCCTGCTTCGTTCCCTGCTTCCCAAATATCCATACGCGCGTCAGCATCGTCCTGAGCCACCACTCGCGGCCGTGGTGTCATTTTCGGAAGAGAAAGAGCCGCGTTTATATACGGTACACCAGCGCTATCTTCTGGGACTAGGTCATCTTCTACGCCTCTTATACTTTTTTTTCGTGCATCAAATGCGACGCCTTCATTTTCATCAGCATCATCGGCTCCTTCATTTCTATAGTTTCGGGCACCAGCAGGAGCAGCACACGCATAATCTTCATCCCATTCTTCGTCCACTTGATCAGCGTAAATTTGGACACTAGGAGAGCTAAAATCCTCACCGTAGCTTCGAAGCTTTTCCACATCTTCTTCTCCTCCCCTCTCCGATGCGGAGTCAATACTCAGCTCTTCCATTGCGATTGCCTCGCCCTCTTTTTTTGGACGGCGTTTTTTCTGCTTTTCACCTTGGCGCGATGCCTCGCTAGCTTGGGAAACAGAGTGCCGCTGGTCTGCAGGTAGGTGCACATCGTGGTCTTCGTCGACGTACAAAACGACCTGGTTCCTATCGGATAACCGCTTCTGTTGGGCTTGCATCCCGGAGACTATCGTATAAGAGGTTCCTATCGTATCCAGCAATTTCTTATGGGCTTCCGACCTTTGTAAGTCTACCATCGGATTCGACTCATCGGACCAAGGATTAGACATGGACATCCATATCTGTCACCATTATAGAAGTCTATTTTCTATACATGCCTGGGTCTATCATAGTTTGACTGCTGGAGGGACTAACTCAGGATGAAAATGAGGGAAAACTTACCGGCTACTTTAGGGCATCATCATAAAGCTCATCTTGTTATACTCATGCATCTATCTTGGCTCTCTCGATATCTCGGTAGTAGTGCCTCCTTTTCTTCCTTTGTATTCACTTCTATTGGAAGAAAGAAGCATACATAATCGAGGCGCTGGGAATGAGACTGAGAAAGATGTGGACAAGAAAAAAGCTGACGACCAAGAACATAAGCGGGGAGTCGTTTTTCTTCTCCTGTGGCAGCTTCGAATATTGGAGCAATAGGATTCTTCTCTTTTCTCGCTCAGCATTCTCAGCATGCTCGCGGTCGCGCATTAGTTGCGCAATTGAAAAGGCCTCAGGCTCCTCGTCCTCGGAGCTGTCGAGGCCGAACCGAGGTATTAGAAGTTGCTCCCACATTTTTCCAGTCTTCAAAACGTGCTCCCTGAACTCTTTAAAATACTAGTGGTGGAGCCAGGGCCAGCCTAGCTAGGACCAATGACCAAAAAGGACAAATGACTCGGAAAAGAGCCAATATCCCTGCGCCCACCATTCCTTCCTGGGGTTGGGGAAAGAGTCCTCAGGAGGAAAGATGTGTGCTAGTGAAAAAGATGTAAAAGCTACGTGGGAACGGGCCTTAACATTACCCCTTCCAGGTGTTCCAGTTTTGATTTCGCTGAGCGACCAGATTGGTAACGAGCAGGGCCTCCGCTTGCTCCACCTCTACCGCCATAATTGCCCTTAGCGTTATTACCCTTACCTTGAGCTGCTCCGCCGCCTCCTCTTCTGGATGTAGAAGTATGGCCGCCACACAATTCATCCTGTAGGCCTCCACCAGCACTTCCACCACGACCCTCCCCCCTTCTGGATGTGGCACCAGTATGCTCGTCGGCAACGCCATCTAATTCACCGATGCCCATGCCATCGACGTCCACGCGACCCCGAGTCGAGGGCCTCTTACTTCCATCGCGGGGACATGATTAGAACTCGTCTCTCAAGACAATTCATTTCTTGCCTCACACACTTCTTGCCCTTTCATTTCTTCAGAACGACCCTAAAAAGGAAATCGAAGAAAATGCTGGCCACTGGTGGATGAAATGAATTGACTGAAACCGAAGAGGGCCAAGATCATTATATTAACGAGATCTCGCAAACAAAAAGAAGAATTGTATTGAGCCCTAACCTGAGGAGGAACCTCGAGGGCGGTCAAACTCGCCAGCACGTCCGCGGGCAGCACGATTCTCCGGACTTGATAAAGCCCCATCTGCTTCAGTAGAACGAGGCTCCTTACCTGGGATTACATCGTAATCGCTTGCTGGGAGACCAGGGACATCCGGATCCATCACGCCCACAAACCGGCTAGGCGTTTTCGTTCTACCACTAGCTCTCGAGGGCACGACGCTTGGCCCATCTTGCGCCAGAAAAGGAGACGAGGGCGTGCCTTCATTTGATGGTCCTTCTACGCCTGCTCCCCCAAGAGGTTTGGATCCGCGAGAAGGCGATGCTGAAGAGGATTTTCTTCCTGGTGCCCCTCCTTTCCCCGCAGCACTACTATCACCACCAGTAGCATCTTGATGGCCCCCAAAAGTGCCTCCCTGCGCGCCACCACTCTGGTTGCCAACAGTGCCCCCACCACTGATGAAGAGCGGCGCATCTCCATGCCCAGAAGCAGCACCAGCAGATTTTTGTATATTTTGAGCCGCAGACCCATTTGCATCGCCAAGGGCTCCACCACTCGCACCTCCAAGAGCTCCACCACTCCCGCCAACAGCTCTGTCACCCCCATCAGCCGCTCTGTCACGACCACCTGAGGCGGAACCTGCTGCGCCGCTCGGTCCACCTGCTGGGCCGTCGCGTCCATTACCGCCGATGTCTCCCATGCCATCTGGTAGCTTCATGCTAGAGGCTGCGACATTGCATTCTTCAGACCATCCCTGGGCCTCTTCCTACTGGAAACAAGTCAAGAATGGTAAGGACGAACGCAATGCGGCAACCCTTAATTATGGCGCCGTCTATCAGCGTGCTTCCTTGCAGAACACGCCGCCGGGCCTCCGCTTCTTCCTGATTCTCGTCAAGTAAGATCTTCTCCATATCCTCAGGCGCAATTGTCCCTCTATTTGTCGCAGGCGTCTCTTCAGCACCTAGGAGAGAGAGTTTTGCTGGCTCGTCAAGTAAGATCTTCTCCATATCCTCAGGCGCAATTGTCCCTGTATTTGTCGCAGGCGTCTCTTCAGCACCTAGGAGAAAGAGTTTTGCTGAGACTGGGAATTTAGGTAGTTCCCTAGTCTAGTTTCAAGATGGGAGTGAGGCTAGGTTAGGTTGGGCGTTGGGGTCTACCTATGCTGTAAAAGTTAAGACAGAGGTCGCAAAAGTTTAAGTTACGCTAGGTGTCCGCAACCGGGGATGCGGAAACGCAGGGCTTGTAAGAGTTTCAGTAGTTCCCTCGTGTAGTTTCAAGATTCATTCCTTCGCGGGATGAGTATCTATCAGTCTTCCTTTTTGCCAAAGGCTCATCCTCCTTCTCCTGCTCTCTCCCTTAGTAGTTTCAAGGGTAGCAACTACTTCTGTAGTTTCAAGATTGGCTGTCATCAACATTAGCTGCAAACAGGGGAAGGTCCAAAAGCGCCAGACCCTTCTTTTCGACTATTAAATCTAGCAGGTTATTAGGTTAGGCTGTGAACCCTGCACATCGAGTACCCCCGGGGCCTACTCGACCCCAAGGATGGTGGCAAAGACTAACACACACTCGGTTAGGCTTCTAGCTAGTATAATATTTAGTAGCTAGCACCTACCAACTCATCTGCACCTAACTAGCAAAGACGCATCCCTCCAACTCATTTTTATCGTTATGGGCTATGAACTACCTAGTAATAATGATTCAGACGGAAGAAAGGAAAAGCCTTGGCATTCTCTCGAGCAAAAAAATATGCGCCTATAGAATAGAGCCAGAGCGCAAGTCCTTCCCGCAGAGGCAGGTATGGTCACAGAAGTGACAGAGAGGGCTACCTGGTAACAATTATCTAGAAAGCTTAGAACCATGATGCGAAGTAGCAATTACCATCTTCTCGTCCCGCATCATCATCGTCCTGTTCCTTATTCCGTTCATCGTTGGGGTCTTCGCTGAACGGACACCGAAATAGTTTGCCGCATTCCCCACATGTCAAAGGCTCGCCAGGCTCTCCAGATGTCTGTAGGGTTGGATCGGGTGGATTGGATGTCAGTATCTTAGGATTGGACGACCTTGGTTTTATTTATGTAGGACACGGGCAAATTATAGAATTGAGAGGTTTTCGAGTAAGATACAAGAGGACTTACTAGGGCTTTTGAAGTACCCCAGCTCCGCAGTATGGGCATGAAGTCCGTACCATGTGGCTTCTACCACACGCAAATTTGCAAAATTCGCCGCAGGACCACCGGAATTCCTCGTCGACGAACAGTCTCCCCATTTTTAAAGCTATGTACCGAAATCGAAAAGAAGATGCTCCTGAGCTATCATCTACCGAAAAGAACCCTCCTCCACCATGTTCATTGCTTGATGATGATTGTGCCTAGTTACGTTTCATGCTGGAGGTGGTACTTAAATATAAGCGCTTTATTCAGCTGTTTGCTCTCTAGCATAACACTTGCTATGCTTTTTCGGTTCAGGTGACTAGTTGACGGAAGAGACTAACTACAAAGGAACAAAAGATGCATTTCTTTATGTGCTCTAAGTAGCCGTAACATAGGCGGGCCTTTTTCTCGTGCCAGCTCTCCCAACAAGCCGACACCCGTTCCCTTAATTTTTTTGTCTTTTATTTTCGCCTTGGCAAGCGAAGGCTTTTTAGTAAGCGAAGGCTTTTTAGTACCGCCTCCAGGAGCTTTAGGAGCATGCTCCTGTTGAGTATCTTCCCCTGCAGCTTTCCTTAGAGCCTGCACGATTACATTCTTTAGACCATCCTTGACGCCTTCCTTAGTGGGGAAAGAGTCGGGGACGTTAATGCAGAATGCAATTTGATAGCCCATAACTTAGCATCCTTTGTCATGCTTGGCGTTGGTGCCTGTTTTAACAGGGTGGGGCCTGGGTGGTCTTTCTCCTGTAGTGGCGGAGTTTCTTCCTCTTGGTCGGCCGGCATTTCACCTTCCTCCTCCAGCGAGAGAGCATTAAACTCGTGAACTTCATCCCCAGGCAGTAATTAGAGGCCTGCTCGCAAGAGTTTAATGTTGTATCTTGAAAATAAACAGCCTGTTTGGCGACCACGCGTTTTCCCCTTACAAAACGACAAGCCAAGAATATAACGCCACTCGCTGTGGCTCGTTTGAGTCCTTCTGTTTGCAAAGGGGACCAAAGAAGAAGCTTCTCCATGATGGCAACATGACAACAATAATATAATCCATTATCATTTTTATCAGCATCATCCTCATCAGCGTGTCTCAAGTGGTCATACCGGACCACCGGCATTAAACTAACAACTACGTAAAAGGCTTGATAATGATAAGAGACTTTCTTGGCTCCAACATATCTTCTCAATCTCAACAAACATGAATTGGACTTACAGCACAAGCCTTTAAAGTTACAGTATATTAAGCCTTAAAATAAAGGAATTTCTTCAGGCAGGGCATGGACCGTAGTTGCACCGTCCACAGGTTTATCTTCGTGCGCTCCTTTCCGCCCAGCTCCTTTATTACCCTTCTTCGCATTGTCTTTAGGCTTTGGGAGTGAAGGCTTCCTCACGCCTCCAGATTTGTCAAGCCTATATTAGAAGGAGTGAAAGAGAAGCGAAAGAGAAAAAGAAGAGAAAGGGGAGCGGGATGAATAAAATCACGAATAAGGGGAGGATGAATGGTCCACGAATTAATGACGGCGAATAATTCTTCACGGTGATCATTTGTGGGAGTTATTAGTACGCAGCCTCCATATTTTTTTAGTCGTCAAATTAATAAGTAGATGCAAGAGTTTATACCGTACTACTTTAAAAGAGCTACTAAAGTAGTATCAATCTACTTCGTGGAGGAATAAAGCAACGTAATTAAAAGTCTGGATCTCTCTCCTCTGTGAACAACATCAGTGGGGATAAAGACGAACTATTCTTTGCCGGTAGTTGAGTTAGGGACGAACTATAATGTCACAAATAGTAATAGGATCTACTTGCTTTGCCTTAAATAATTACTATAATGTATGTATGTAGAGCAAGTTGCGCCAATGTTGACCCTTGATCTTATCTTGTTGAGCAAGTTGAACAGGCAGGCATCTAAATAGTAAAAGAGTCTACAACTCGTTGCGCCTTAATTATATGAAGCCTTCTGGTTCGTCTTTGGATCCCCAGGAGCAGGAGGAGGCGCCTTCGCACGCAATACTATAGGTGCAGACATGATCCGGAAGCTCCTTTGTAGTTTACGACATGATGTTGAGCTCGGTGATCATGTCGGAGTTCTCTCCGACATATTTATTTCAAAAAAAAAGGACGAGAACAAGTACTAGAGCAGAGCTTTTTCCAGATAGCATTACTTAACACCAAACTAAAACATGTTGATGCTGTAGATCTCGAGACGAAGGTCGTCATAGATATCGTCGTAGATACGAGGGAACCAATGCAGCGAAGGTAGAATCAATCGCATCGGGTAAAAAATCAATCATGAAAATAAAAAGCTAAATGGTTGCCTGTGAATGGGAAAAAGTCATCATAATTTAAGAGACTTTTATAAAGAATTAGTTTTTTCTCACGTTCCAGGAGGAGAAACGCATCTTGCATTCGATGTCTAGCATAGACCCTCACTTTTCGGCTCTATACAGATTGATCGACCACTCCGCTCTACACAAATTGAAACAGGTCTATCCACACAGATCATAGGTAGGTCTCTCTCTACTGTATCACGCAGACAGGACAAGCGTTTCGCCGTCTCGCTCAGGACAGAATTGGTAATCCCTCAAGCGACGGTCGCTGACCTATGTATTCAAAACAGGGTCTACAAATCACTCAGCTGATAGACCCACTCAAAACAGATTGCGCCAACCACTCAAATTAGCGCTAAGAGTAGGTTAGCGGTGCTTCTGTTGCCGTTTGTGATGACTCTCCTAAGGGGGACAGCCATAACAAGCGGGATAAACGAACACCAAGAACCTACCTCGGATACCACTGACAGACAAGCATCACAATCAGAACCAGTTTTCTTTCTCCTTTATTTTAACAGAATATTATGTTGAGCCAATCCTTGAGGCTTAGTTCATCAACCCTGCGCTTGACACAGTGACTACGGGCGGCTACGGACGACGACGAGCACAGACCCATAAAGGAAACATGATCTTCTTCTCATCTGCAATATTACTCTTTTTTATCGTGAGAAAAAAATTTTTGATGATATATTTCTCAGCTTTTTCATGTGGTTTCATCTTGAGTAGGATCCCTCCCGTAGATGACTACAGGTCAATGAAGTAGATGAAGAAGTGTCTTGCTTTGACAGGCAGGATGAGCGGACAGGCTCTGTTTGCCGAAGTTCCTCTTGTATTACAATACAATACAAAGAAAAGTAGTTTATGTCCCAAATCGATCCAGCCTGACATAAAAACCTCCACACGTCTGAGAACGCACTAAGTCGGGATAAAGATGCAAAAGAGCACTAGTAGTGAAGTTATGAAAGAGCTGCGACCGTTTTCTCTGGTCCGGCCTTTGAAAATTGCAAGAAGATTTCAAGACTTGATAGAATTTGAGAAGTGGGATGCCACGATACGACGACCAGCTTCGTAGATCCAAAGGACACAAGCCCGCTATGAAGGAGCGAGTCCGAGGATCAAAGGACAAGACAATTTTAGATTTCAGAGCAAGCATGGGATCTCTCCACCCAAACAGGGATAGCATGACTATCCCTCCCATGGAAAGCTGAGGCTTGACTGAAGAAGACACTGGAAGGCGCCGGGGTCTAAACCTTTTCACGACAAGAAAGGTTTAAATTACAACACTGCTAAGCTGTAGGTCGTTCCTAACCCATACTAAAAGATCTCAGAAGTGTAGAGCCTTAATATCATGGACGTTAACACTTAATCCAATGTGGAACTGTTCGGTCTGGTCGGCCGAGTGATAGATTGATGAAAGTTACTCCTGGGACTAGCAGCAGCTCTGGCACATTTAGTTGATCACGCGCAGCTTCAAGGTCATCAATCGAGGTTATACATTTGGTCACCCAGTTTCGGTCACTCATCGACAATAACAACAACTTTTTGTATTACTAGAAGATCATGAGCAAAATACTACGCTAGCACTATAGCCAATTCTTGGGATGAGTCTAAAGCGGCGAAAGAAAGACAGGCGTTTCATGAAGGAGCGGCTGCAACAGAATGTTAACAAGCGTAGGTAGGAATAGGATCATACCAACATGACTCAAAACTATTTCAGAATAAAACACTGTAGCAGCTGTCCTCTCGTGCAATAAATCAGACTTGTTGCGGTCCTACAAGAAATCAATACTTGTCAGTGCTAAAAGACATGTCTCCCTTCACCCGCCCTCATCATCTGACCTGTACTTACTATGTGATGAGTGAATGAATGTGCCTAGCGCGAGGCGTTGCATGTATGTATTATATCATCTTCGAACTTTTTTGTATAGAATCATTCCGGTGCGCGCATCTCTTTCACGAACAAATGCCTTTCCCATGAACGAAAAGGCTTCTGCATCGCCTTTTCCAGCTCTTTGCATCAGCCGCAAATAGGGATTAATTTCATTCCGCGCTTCGAACAAATTAAGGTCACTCGTTTCGAGGAAACGCGCAAAGACCTCAAACGGTGCTGGCCAGGACCTGCGCACCTTATTCAAAGGCCCATCCTCATCCTCTTCCTGAGAGTCCGACTCAGCATCAACCGACATATCCTGAGTAGAGTACAACGAAACCGAGCCGAATTTTCGACGCTTACTCGCGTCCAAATTCACATACAACTCATACGTCGTTGGAACGTCCTTCTCCTCGCGCACAACAGTTCCCAGGTGAAACAGCTCGTCCAGCGGCCCCCCTCCGTCCAGCGGCCGCTCTTTGTCCAGCGGCTTCCCTTCGTGTTGCAGCTGCGCCCATCCAGACGTTGTATCTTGCTGTCGTCGTAATATGCACCCAGATCGATCGACAATTATTCTGCGCTGCAGATTCAGCTTCAGAGTTACCCCTTTGCGCAGCTTCCATTCGGGGGACTCTCGTAGCATGTCGGCCAGAAAAGGCGGCAAAGCAAAGGAAGGCCCTAAGTTAGCTAATGTTGCTTCGAGCTGCTGGACTGTTTGGCCGTGCTTTGGAACACACTTGTGGAGCTTTCTACGCTTGCTGCTGTGACTAGTTCCGGATCCCAAGTTACCTCCATGCTGCTCCCTTTCACCAGTTGTGCCCGAACTCCTGGCACTGGCATGAAGATGCTCGTTAACTAACAAGCTGCGCATTTGCCCCAACGTAAAGCCTTGTCGCACCACCAGACCCACTTTGACTACTCCATTTGCAGGTCGCTCCTCAGTCTGAGCCCCCGAGACTACTTTCGCAGTCATGTTGCTAGTACCGTCTGCACCAGAACTACTACTACTCGGATCTGATGGAGGTGCTTGATTCAAAATCTCTTCAGGCATCTTCTCTGTAAGGCGTTGCTTCACAGATTCAGGCACCCCGTGTCTACGAAAAAGTTCGAAGTCGTCCGCGAAACGCGCTGAAAGATCTGGCTCAGCGAAAGAGACTTCCGGTTCAGAAGAAGGGAGACCGCCGGAGGAGGAGCGACGATGATCCTCTTGCTCTTTTGTATCGTCTTGGTTCATCTCTTTCATAGGATACAAATCGAACATTTCCGGGATACATAAGTGCGCGGGATCATAGTGCTCAGCTAGGAAGTGTCGTGCATCATCCACCGTAAAGCCCCTCGCCCATATAGGTTTATCGCCGCGAAATGAACATGATCTGCATGCCTCTTCTGTTATCTCGATAGGCCGCACACCTGCGGTCGCCACAAGGTGTACCTCAAGAATGCGCGCAGTGGTTCCCGGCTCTTTACCACTAGGAGACGAAGCGGGCGGCGCCGAAGAAGACATCTCTTTAGTGTATTTGTAAGGTCCGTTTTTGACAGAAAGATGAAGAGGAGTGAAGTAGAGAGAAAACGTCTGAGAGTACTCAAAGATCATTCAATGCGCTGAAGGAAGTTTGTCTTTCTAGATTACTGACCAGGCTAAGTACTTGCTGTATAGTTTCAAAATATGCAAGAAGTGCTCGATTATATGACGATCATAAAAAGTAAAAGATATTATCTTAATGCTAAGAACTCGAGGTATTGCTTGCTAACAACAGGCGGTAACCTTGTGACTTTAACGAGTGACTTCCAACAATTTAGAACAATACGATATGACTGATAGAAAAATATAGTCCCGCTGCTGTTTCGTTTTCGGTGAGCTCCGCTGTTACGACGTCGGTCTTGCGACGGAAAAAAACATGCCTTATAACGCGATTGAAAAGCCTGAAGATTCAATGCCTTAAGATCTATAATCGGACTACTAATGATTGACGATTTAATGATTAAGTTGCTACGGTCAATGAGGTAATGATTAAGTTGTTGCTTGATGAAGTTATGATTTAGTTGTTGTAGAACTTATTCTTTTGATGAAATTGAGAGACAGTAGTTCTTGATAGATGAGATGAAAATGATGGCAATGCTGTTTGTTAAGAAAATCCTTATTGGTTCAACCGTTTCCGGATCGCCGTCGCCGTCGGTCTCGGTGCTGGTAAAAAAAATACAAAATATTTTGTTGTTATAAATGTGTACTGCTGTTCTGAATAAATCAGATGTCACGAGCACGATCAGATCATTGATAAGGAGAAGTTCAAACATACAATGAAGATAACAAGAATGTCTTAAGTTGTAGTGTCCTTAATGTTTCGTCGTTGTTTTTAATCCCTTAAGGTGTTGTTGTATTCGAAGGTGATTCGTGAAAGGATGATCAAGTTGTTGTGCCGAAAAATATTCTATGAAGTTATGCAGAAATTGGTGATAATCGAAAAAACAAAAAAAAACCTTAAGATTCTTGCTGATAAGATGATTGGTTTTGCTTGTAGTTCTATCCGGTCCCCTGTCGTTGTCCGCTCCGGTTTCGAAGGAATAGCGGAACACTAGATACTGATGATTGAACAAAAGAGCATGATGATTGAACAAAAGAGCAAGAAGTTATAAAAACAGAACACAAAGGAGCCTCCTTACTAGTACTACCATTAAATTGAACGATTAATTTGATGATTGAGGAGCATATAAAATCTGATACGTTACAGATTTTCCAACCTGGTTTCTTTTTAAACCTGCAAAACAAGAACAAGAATATTCTCAAACACTAGGGAGGAGTAAGGCTATAATAGACCTAGATTCTATATGTAAAAGTTGAGTAATTAATTCTCTTGCTGCTTATGAAATGACAGAGACCCTTACGACTATTTTATAATAGCGCGAGGAAGGAGTCACGTCGTCTCTGCTACGTAAGAACACCACGCAGGCCCTAAGATGCCCCGGGGCTGTGGTTGTTTTTCTGTCACTTGACTCAAAGGCCGGCCCTGCACAGGAAAGATGTCCAGGCAATGACGTCAGTGGTGTCAATGTTCAAGTTCAATGCGGGGAGTCGTGCCATAATATAGGGGCACGCTCCTATTCATTGTCTCAAGCCTCTCCAGTTTCTTATTCTTTGCCTAGGTCGTTGGGTCTCGTTCTCGTTAAGGCGAACAGAGTATTACTCGTACAGAGATGATAGACTTTGTCGTCATGCATGCGTCCGAACTTGAACATTCCAGTACTTTGTCAGGGTTTGGCACCTCAGAGTTTGGCGCCTCAGAGTTCGGAAGGTCAGGGTTTTGCACTGTCAGGGCTTGGCGCCTCAGAGTTCGGAAGGTCAGAGTCTATTTTGCAATGTCAAAGCTTGGAAGCGCCCGCGCTTGCAAGTAGCCAAGGCTGTCAATGTCAACGCTTGGCGCCTCAGGGTTCGAATGACTGTCAAAGTTTGGCGCCTCAGAGTTCAGAAAGTAGTCAGAGTTTTTAGAGCCAGAGTTTGGGAGGTCAGCGTTCCAGCGAGTCAGGGGCGGAGTCACGCGGGCCACTGGCAGCGCTGGCCGCCTCCTCGCGCTGAACGCCAGCGGCCTTGGTGGCGGCGCGTGCACTCAGTGGCTGACAGCGGGAACGCCCGCCGCCCAGCCGTTAAGTAACGGGTTGAAACGTGGCCGCCGGGCGCGTTTGGGCCGGGTAATGTTAGAGGCTTGGAGACGTTCACCCGGTGCCCTGCCTGGCAATGTAAGGGCTTGGCGCCTCAGAGTTCCAATGTCAGGGTTTGGCGCCTCCGAGTTCGGAAGGCCAGAGTTTTGCGCGTCAGAGTTTGGGGCGGGACACGCTTGCAAGTGGCTGGGCCTGTCACTGTCAAGGTTTGGCGCCTCAGCGTTCGAATGTCAGGGTTTGGCGCCTCAGAGTTCGGAAAGTCAGAGCGTTCAGAGACGGAGCTTGGGAGGTCAGCGCCCCAGCGAGTCAAAGGCAGAGGCACGCAAGCCAGTGGCAGCGCTGGCCGCCTCTTCGAGCTGAACGCCAGCAGCCTTAGTGGCGGCCCGTGCACTCAGTGGCTGACAGCGGGGACGCCCGCCGCGCAGCCGTTAACGGGTTTCAACGTGGCCGCCGGCCGCGTTGGAGCCGGGTAACGTCAAAGCTTGGGAGACGTTCACCGGGTGCCCTGCATGGCAATGCCAGGGCTTGGCGCCTCAGCGGTGGAATGTCAGGGGTTGGCGCCTCAGAGTGCGGAAGTTCAGTGTTCTGCGCGTCAGAGTTCTGCCAGGGTTTCGCGTGTCAGGGTTCGGCAATGTCAAGTTTTGGCGCCTCCGTGTTCCAATGTCAGGGTTGCACGCCTCAGGATTCAGAAGGTCAGAGTTTTGCGCGTCAGAGTTTGGGGGGGGACCCGCTTGCAAGTGGCCGGGCCTGTCAAGGTCAACGTTTGGCGCCTCCGAGTGCGGGCGATAGGGTTTGGCGCCTCCGAGTTTTGCAATGTCAGGGCTTGGGGGCGCCCGCGTTCCAGCGAGTCACGGGCGGAGCCGCGCGGGCCAATGGCAGCGCTGGCCGCCTCCTCGAGCTAAACGCGCCAGGCGCGGAGTCACGCGGGCCAATGGCAGCGCCGGCCGCCTTCTCGAGTTCAACGCCAGCGGCCTGAGTGGCGGCCCGTGCACTCTGTGGCGGACAGCGGGGACGCCTGCCGCGCAGCCGTTAACGGGTTTAAACGTGGCCGCCGGGCGCGTTTGGGCCGGGTAATGTCCAGGCGCTGGAGACGTTCACCGGGTGCCCTGCGTGGCAATGTCAGGGGTTGGCGCCTAGCAGCTCCCTCTTCTTCTTCTTCTTCCTCTCTTCTCTCAACCACCGCTGAACACACGGGACACGACTAGTAATTTAAGAGACTTTTATAACGAATTAGTTTTTTCTCACATTCCAGGAGGAGAAACGCATCTTGCATTCGATGTCTAGCATAGACCCTCACTTTTCGGCTCTATACAGATTGATCGACCACTCCGCTCTACACAAATTGAAACAGGTCTATCCACACAGATCATAGGTAGGTCTCTCTCTACTGTATCACGCAGACAGGACAAGCGTTTCGCCGTCTCGCTCAGGACAGAATTGGTAATCCCTCAAGCGACGGTCGCTGACCTATGTATTCAAAACAGGGTCTACAAATCACTCAGCTGATAGACCCACTCAAAACAGATTGCGCCAACCACTCAAATTAGCGCTAAGAGTAGGTTAGCGGTGCTTCTGTTGCCGTTTGTGATGACTCTCCTAAGGGGGACAGCCATAACAAGCGGGATAAACGAACACCAAGAACCTACCTCGGATACCACTGACAGACAAGCATCACAATCAGAACCAGTTTTCTTTCTCCTTTATTTTAACAGAATATTATGTTGAGCCAATCCTTGAGGCTTAGTTCATCAACCCTGCGCTTGACACAGTGACTACGGGCGGCTACGGACGACGACGAGCACAGACCCATAAAGGAAACATGATCTTCTTCTCATCTGCAATATTACTCTTTTTTATCGTGAGAAAAAAATTTTTGATGATATATTTCTCAGCTTTTTCATGTGGTTTCATCTTGAGTAGGATCCCTCCCGTAGATGACTACAGGTCAATGAAGTAGATGAAGAAGTGTCTTGCTTTGACAGGCAGGATGAGCGGACAGGCTCTGTTTGCCGAAGTTCCTCTTGTATTACAATACAATACAAAGAAAAGTAGTTTATGTCCCAAATCGATCCAGCCTGACATAAAAACCTCCACACGTCTGAGAACGCACTAAGTCGGGATAAAGATGCAAAAGAGCACTAGTAGTGAAGTTATGAAAGAGCTGCGACCGTTTTCTCTGGTCCGGCCTTTGAAAATTGCAAGAAGATTTCAAGACTTGATAGAATTTGAGAAGTGGGATGCCACGATACGACGACCAGCTTCGTAGATCCAAAGGACACAAGCCCGCTATGAAGGAGCGAGTCCGAGGATCAAAGGACAAGACAATTTTAGATTTCAGAGCAAGCATGGGATCTCTCCACCCAAACAGGGATAGCATGACTATCCCTCCCATGGAAAGCTGAGGCTTGACTGAAGAAGACACTGGAAGGCGCCGGGGTCTAAACCTTTTCACGACAAGAAAGGTTTAAATTACAACACTGCTAAGCTGTAGGTCGTTCCTAACCCATACTAAAAGATCTCAGAAGTGTAGAGCCTTAATATCATGGACGTTAACACTTAATCCAATGTGGAACTGTTCGGTCTGGTCGGCCGAGTGATAGATTGATGAAAGTTACTCCTGGGACTAGCAGCAGCTCTGGCACATTTAGTTGATCACGCGCAGCTTCAAGGTCATCAATCGAGGTTATACATTTGGTCACCCAGTTTCGGTCACTCATCGACAATAACAACAACTTTTTGTATTACTAGAAGATCATGAGCAAAATACTACGCTAGCACTATAGCCAATTCTTGGGATGAGTCTAAAGCGGCGAAAGAAAGACAGGCGTTTCATGAAGGAGCGGCTGCAACAGAATGTTAACAAGCGTAGGTAGGAATAGGATCATACCAACATGACTCAAAACTATTTCAGAATAAAACACTGTAGCAGCTGTCCTCTCGTGCAATAAATCAGACTTGTTGCGGTCCTACAAGAAATCAATACTTGTCAGTGCTAAAAGACATGTCTCCCTTCACCCGCCCTCATCATCTGACCTGTACTTACTATGTGATGAGTGAATGAATGTGCCTAGCGCGAGGCGTTGCATGTATGTATTATATCATCTTCGAACTTTTTTGTATAGAATCATTCCGGTGCGCGCATCTCTTTCACGAACAAATGCCTTTCCCATGAACGAAAAGGCTTCTGCATCGCCTTTTCCAGCTCTTTGCATCAGCCGCAAATAGGGATTAATTTCATTCCGCGCTTCGAACAAATTAAGGTCACTCGTTTCGAGGAAACGCGCAAAGACCTCAAACGGTGCTGGCCAGGACCTGCGCACCTTATTCAAAGGCCCATCCTCATCCTCTTCCTGAGAGTCCGACTCAGCATCAACCGACATATCCTGAGTAGAGTACAACGAAACCGAGCCGAATTTTCGACGCTTACTCGCGTCCAAATTCACATACAACTCATACGTCGTTGGAACGTCCTTCTCCTCGCGCACAACAGTTCCCAGGTGAAACAGCTCGTCCAGCGGCCCCCCTCCGTCCAGCGGCCGCTCTTTGTCCAGCGGCTTCCCTTCGTGTTGCAGCTGCGCCCATCCAGACGTTGTATCTTGCTGTCGTCGTAATATGCACCCAGATCGATCGACAATTATTCTGCGCTGCAGATTCAGCTTCAGAGTTACCCCTTTGCGCAGCTTCCATTCGGGGGACTCTCGTAGCATGTCGGCCAGAAAAGGCGGCAAAGCAAAGGAAGGCCCTAAGTTAGCTAATGTTGCTTCGAGCTGCTGGACTGTTTGGCCGTGCTTTGGAACACACTTGTGGAGCTTTCTACGCTTGCTGCTGTGACTAGTTCCGGATCCCAAGTTACCTCCATGCTGCTCCCTTTCACCAGTTGTGCCCGAACTCCTGGCACTGGCATGAAGATGCTCGTTAACTAACAAGCTGCGCATTTGCCCCAACGTAAAGCCTTGTCGCACCACCAGACCCACTTTGACTACTCCATTTGCAGGTCGCTCCTCAGTCTGAGCCCCCGAGACTACTTTCGCAGTCATGTTGCTAGTACCGTCTGCACCAGAACTACTACTACTCGGATCTGATGGAGGTGCTTGATTCAAAATCTCTTCAGGCATCTTCTCTGTAAGGCGTTGCTTCACAGATTCAGGCACCCCGTGTCTACGAAAAAGTTCGAAGTCGTCCGCGAAACGCGCTGAAAGATCTGGCTCAGCGAAAGAGACTTCCGGTTCAGAAGAAGGGAGACCGCCGGAGGAGGAGCGACGATGATCCTCTTGCTCTTTTGTATCGTCTTGGTTCATCTCTTTCATAGGATACAAATCGAACATTTCCGGGATACATAAGTGCGCGGGATCATAGTGCTCAGCTAGGAAGTGTCGTGCATCATCCACCGTAAAGCCCCTCGCCCATATAGGTTTATCGCCGCGAAATGAACATGATCTGCATGCCTCTTCTGTTATCTCGATAGGCCGCACACCTGCGGTCGCCACAAGGTGTACCTCAAGAATGCGCGCAGTGGTTCCCGGCTCTTTACCACTAGGAGACGAAGCGGGCGGCGCCGAAGAAGACATCTTTTTAGTGTATTTGTATGGTTCGTTTTTGACAGAAAAAAAAGAAGAGGAATGAAGTAGAAATATTAGATGAACGTCTTAAAGCAGTGAGTACTCAAAGATCATTCAATACGTCCGAACCTGAACATTCCAATACTTTGTCACGACATCAAAAGAATCACCTAAAGGTGGAACACGTACAGAGAGCCTGTGAGATGACGTGAGAGAGCAGTAGAAGGGGACGTCATCGTTTTTACACCTCTCTTTTTCCCTTGCCTCGTGTAAAACTGCTCTCACTCTCAACGACAGAAATGGAGGACTACCTCTTGTTCTCGTCAGAGCCAGAGAAGATGACAAGTCGACAGAATAAACAGTACCACAAGATCAACCTCAATCGATCATGGGATTTGGTAAATCTAAATTTTTCTCAAATCTCAAGAAAGGTTCGCAGACGTTAGCTTTACAACACGCAAGCAGTATCAGACAGAAGAAACGCAATGGCGATCAATATCTTGTCATGTCATGTAGTTCCCTCATGATCCGTCCTATCAAATGACAGAATAATAAACCCAAATTTAACTTCATTATAACCATATTATTTTGTCGCAACGGACACGCGCGCGTTGGAGGCGGAGGGCACGCATGAGGGATAGGATCGTCTACTAACAACATGTCATGTTTGTTGCCCTCATATCGCCTTTCGTGACGACTGTAGGGTATCAGTCTGCAGCTGATCACAGTCGAAACCGAGACAGAGACAGCCTACCCAAACCAACAGGGAACACACACTAAAGGGATTTTGCATGCGCATGCCGAGATTGCAATACACATCATGGAGACAACGTTGCTACAAAGTTCTTGTTAGACTTGAACTTGATGTAAAAATTTGACGCAGGGGGAATGGGGACCATATCACAAGATGAAAGGGACGAATCATCAAGAGTGAGGAGGATTAGAACTACTTTGCTAAGTCCTTGTCATGTCATGGTGCCTCTTTTGTAGCTAATAGAAGTGTCTACTTGTGAGGCCACACAGTCCTCCTCAACACCTTCAACCTTGTTGACCAGGGACGACGTATGTGTCCCATACTGCCTGTTCTGCAGCAAAGAGCTTATCAAATCGCATCTGTGAAGGACAATTATCCAGCGATTCTACGTCCACAACTTTTACTTTCGTACTATCATCTTCTGTGCTGATAATTTTGAAGCAAAAGCGCTGAAGACGTAGGTACAAGTGTCCTCTGCGTACCCGCACCTCCTCATTAGACCCAAGAATCGGAGTACAACTATCAGTTCTTGTACTAACATTGCTAGCACCAGCATTTGTTGAGAAATGCTCAACAATCTTTTCAGCCATCTTTCCACACTCAGTGAGGCACTTGACGTCTGTTTCCATCTCTAGTTCAGAAATGAAGCCGAAGCGCCGACTTGGTGTTGTACGGTGGATCTTCCCCAGTTTCAGTCTACTAGTTGGGAAGATCATGCCGTGGTCATCTACATAGACATCATGATTTTTAGCCTCAATATGCTTATCATGATCCCCAGTGGACGTTTTCTTCAAGAACCACGCATGCTGGGCATGATCTTCTACGTGTTGTAACACAGCTCGCCAAGTAAGCGATAGTGAGGCTGCTGTTGAGTGTGAGACGTTACAAGCTTTCACGAAATTCCACGCAACTTCTGCGTCAGTCGCAACAAGGATAGGACCACTGACAGCTTGTGGTAGAGTGTTGAGACACGCTCCGAACGGAATGCTTGTAAGATGTCGACTTTCATCCATTTTTTCAAAAGACCTGCTTTGGTCTTCTCGTTGCACTATGGCTGCCGCGATATTTTGCACCGTTCTCAGCCCGCCATGAACTGGCATGCCCGGAGGTTTCTGTATAATAAACCATCCACGTCCACGTGCGAGAACAGGAGCCTCAGCTTCTACATTTTGAATTCCTGGTCTGTATTCTTGACCACCAGAAGGAAGACTTGGGCTTAGTTTATTTGAGCTTTTGTAGGGTTCGCGCACCGGGTAATCAGGGAAAAACAGCAACCTCCTCTTGCGGTTACCTAGGGATATTTTTCGGCAACTTCCAAGATCATCCTCTTGAAAGAGTACATTCTGTGCAGTCTCCAAAGTCAAAGGAACAACTTCATCTACAAGCGCTTGCGTTTCCTTGTTTTTATCAGCAGCATTCATGCCAGAACGCACGCTGTAGTCCCTGCTTTTACCATCGTTCACTATAGCCGTAGAGACGTGGTCTACTGACTCGTGGTTCGTCTCTTTGACAATCCAGACCCTGCCTCGTTTCAGTGTCTTCTTGCATGCTGCAGCTGTCGGAAAGTGGTCAGGCCACGTGTCCATCAAGAAGTCTGTGAGGGAATCCTCCGCTTTCGAGGGCTTTCCATCGGTCTTCGAGGAGCACGAGGATGAGGACCCAAATAAGAAATCCGCTACCACAGCACAGTCCATGCACTGAGATGAAGTGTCGTTTCGTTTTTTCGAGCAGGATTTCGTATGCGTTGCGCAAGTAGAAGAAGCTTGGTGTTCCTGCTTTTGTTCTAATCGTGCACTTGCAGCAACATCACTTCGTTCCAGCACCACCACTGCAGCTGGCCATCCTCCTATGATGACTGGTCGCGCTTGCGCTTCTTCACCATTCGAATTAGGGATGCAGGAGTTGAATATATTTGTGTTACCAATAGTCGTGGAGCTTGAACTGGGGACGCTTTTAAACATCATCGCTGATTCCACTTTCGCTAACAACTGCCTCGCATGCATCCTCGTACACAAAACGCATAATCTACCAAAACGTTTCAAAACTCTGGCCGCTTCTGCAAGAAAATCAGCCAAAAGCGACGACAAAGAGGCAGCGCCGATTAGCTCATGCTTATTTCCGAAAGGGAGGTCAACGACTAAGAAGTCGAAGGCTTCATCCGGATAGGGTAGTTGGCGGGCATCTGCTGTGTGGACTTCAAATAAGGGTGCATTCCCATTTCTTGAAGGGACAACAGCTGCTGCTGCATTTGAAGAGGGAAGATCTTCGTTTTTAGGAGAATTAGTACTAGTACTACAACCCAAACCAATCCTGATACTAAGTTTTTTCGCAATAGCTGATTGTTTCGCATCCGCATCTGACGTCACTGCGCGCTTGCACAAAGGATATTGAAGAGCCGCTTCCATAGCTATAGTTCCTTGGCCCCCAAAACAGTCAAGCACTGAGAAACCCGTCGTGCAATCCCCGCAACCCGCTGCCTCCAGCAACAAATACGCAGTAGATGGTCGCAGAGTGCAACCTTTCGTTGAAGAAAGACCACTCGTTTGCTGAGAGTGAGACTGAGACTTAGACTTCTTTGTTGGTGAAGTTCCTGTAGTTCTCGGTATGATCTTCTCGCTTTTTTCATGCTCTTTAATTGGTAAGCAAGTCGAAGGTTCAGGAGCAAGAGCTTCTGATATATCGGAAGAGCTGGCGTCTCCATTCACCTTTCTTGGTGGAGTCTTCAGATCCTCGTCTTTCAAGTTCAAGCCTTCAACGTTTAGGTTCATGTCCTGTATTCCAACATCAACATCGCCAACGTCCTCTTCCTCTTCAACCTCTTCCAAAAGATGGTAGCTCCTCCATTCACTCGGCAGTTTTGAGAACATCTTCTTGTTTCGGACTGCATTCGCTTCTCCTTTTTTTGGCAACCTCCTCAGGACTAAATCCGCACACCAGGAGGGACCACGAGAGGGACATTTAGGAGTCTGTTGAGCTTCTTGAGTAGAAGAAGAGCTAAAAAAGACGAACCACACCAGCTCGAGGTCGGGTCCATCCAACGACAAGTCCACTTTCCATCGCGGAAACTGCTTGGTCACATGCCTCACGGCTGCCTTGATCAGAACGTCCTGAGAAGTCAGCGCGGCTGTTGTAGTAGCAGTAGGCCTTTTGGACTCACCCGAGTTGTTGCCTCCTGGAGCATTCGCATTGCCTCTACTTCCTCGCCCTGGCCTAGAAGAGGACGAGGAAGAAGACGATGCAGAGACTACTGAAACCCGATAACGGATATTTCCAATTCCAGACATCAGGCGTTGATCATCCTCAAGATCATCCTTCAAAAGTCCTCCTATCCCAACATCAAGAAGTGCTTCCACGGCTGTCCTAAGTCGAGTTTGGAGGTCCTCCACGAAACTTATATCGTCACTCGATGAAGACACCGTCGTTAGCCATATGTATGGTTTTTCGTGCATCGCCCATGGTTTTGGAGTCGACAGTTGTGAACTGGAGCCGGACGAAGAGGAGGAACCCTTTGTTCGTGGAGCTCTAGTATTAGAGCTACCGCGCTCGCATCCCCGAGAACCTCCCTGGTCCCTCTTTCTCCTTGAAAAATGGGCCAAGGATGATGTTGAGGATGGTCCAGCGGTAGCCTTAATAGTACTTCTGTCTGCCACATCATTGTCTTCCATGTCTGCCACATCTTTGTCTTCCATTACAACGCGCGCCAGGACCTCAGGAGTTCCACCTACCTTTCTGTTTCCTCCATTTTGTAGAAACTTTATGTTCGCATCGATAAAGCCCTTTCTCTTCGCATACTTACGAACCTCATCCTCGAATCCTGGTGCGGTCAGGTAATAGAATGCGATATCGCGGCCTGAAGATGATGGTCCTCTATCATCGACTCCCCCAGGCGCCATTTTGTTGGTGAAGTTGATTTAGCGTAGTAGATGTAGAATGACGGACCACGACGATGAAGAAGTTGTTAACGTGTAGAAGTAGGTGTCGTCCGTACGTCTAGCTCCTTATACATAGTTGTTTGCCTACTTCGCAATCTTTAGGTAGCCATTTGGTCTGACATCATAAGGGAAAACAAGAAGAGAATCCTTGTGATCAAATTCAGGTTACCAAATACCGGAACCATTCACTTTGTCTTTGACTCCTCAGGACCTGCTTCGAGTAAGTAAAATCATTACAACTTCTTAGCAGTTGTAGAAAGCTTGTGGAACTAAAATAGAGTCGTTTGGAACTAATAAAATAGAGTCGTTGTGGTTGTTCATCTTCAAGCCCTTGCTTCGCGATAGAAGTGCTACTGATCAAATCACAGCTCCCTTTTTTTTCAGTTTCAAAGTCTCTTTATCTTCCTGGGATCTTTAAGGGGTACAATAACGCAAGAACAACATCTTCCATGGCAAATGAGAGCAGACTTCACGAGGACCTTGGCATCTAGTCGACGAGTGATCTTCTTGCAATTTTTGCATCCTCATGACACTTTTTTTCCCGCATATATTTTGGATGATTCTTGAAGTATTACTTGTGGAAATATATCATGAGAAAAAACGTAAACGAGAAACTCGGCGAGGACTGTCTGAGTCTGACCGATTTTCAAAAAACATTATTTTGAAACAGCTGCGTCATGCGCTCGCGGCGCATCAAACGACATCAGCCAAGAAAAAGCATAATTTTATGAAGACAGAGAAGAAATTTAGAATGATAGATGCTTTTCAAAAAAGGGACACACTAGTAAAGTCTTCAAAAGTCCAAGCACCTTCTAGCTGTTCCATCTTTCTTCTCCCCGCCATTTTACTTCTGACTATAATGATGTAGTTGTAGTCTTCTTCGAAGATTTTTTACGGTAGCGGTTGTGCTCGGCCCTTCTACCCTAGTACGAGAGTCCAGTGGCGGTGGGCACTACCCTCCTCCAACCTAATCCGGATAAATATGCGAATAATTTTTCTTGTGATAATTAAATCTAAGTCTACTTAACTCCAACTACCATTCTCCGGAGATGATGAATACCAGCTAACGTTCGGTGAAGGACAATTTTTTTCCAGCAGCTCGTGGAGGAAACAGGCCAGCACTTGGAGGTGAATTTCTATTACCATTACTAGCAGTAGAAGCTGTAGTTGTACTACTACGATAATATTATGCTGTGGAGGTGCCACGTTGTCTAGAAGCCGCTGTTAAAGACGGAGAGTCTCCTGTCGGAGGTGTGGCGCCACTTGATGTTGTCGCGCTCTCAACATTCTGACTCCTGCTAGTGGAAATCTTCTTCTTGTTACTCATTGGTCTACTATAGTTTTCGTTCCGATGGATTGGAGTTGTATTTGACCAAGACATCAACTCATGAAACTCTACTGGATGATGATCTACTGTCGAGGATGTTTAGCTCGTACTATACGTATTGTTCTTATTCCCCTTACCCTCGTTAGGATTAGGGTTAGCTAGAGAAGACTGCAAATAGGGTGACGGAGGCACCAGAATTGGAGTATTCGACTTTCCACCCCAATCACTGCGACGCCATGGACCTTTTCCCTGCATACTCATCGGACTCATATTTCCTCCTGTAGTTGCATAGAAGGAGGTATATGGCGACGTTCGGTCCATAATACCCATACCTCCTGCTCCACCTTTACTAGTACCATAGGAACTATTATATGGCGAAGTTGAACCCGACTTCTTTCCACCTTTCCCACTACCGGCGGTGGCGACACTCCCACTCCCATAGCTGGCCGCATGGTAATTATCGCAAGCGGCATTGTTGTCCCAAGAATAAGATACGTGGTTGTTGTTGTGGAAAAAACTATTTGTATTTTTATCCTTGTTCATGTAGATGTAGTTCGACGTCGATTGCACTTGCAATTCTACCAAGTTGTAGTAGTTATTGTCCTTTCCACCGTCTTTGCCCATCGCAGCTGCACCTTTCAACATTGGACTCTTCGAATAACCCATGTTATAGCCTTTCGAAATAGAAGATGCTCCTTGCAAATATGGTGACCTACCGCCTCCTCCTGGACTGCCGAAGCTTTCCCTTGAGTCAACAAAACGACTATTGTTCCTGCTGATTTCACTCTTTTTAGTAGTGATAGTTGAAGCGGCCTTCGAATTTTTCCTAGCCACACTGCTATCTCTATCTCCCTCTCCTGCCCCTTCCTCCTCCTCGCGAATCAATTTGCACAATTTAGGAACGAAACTGCGTTCTGCCATGACCGGGTTCGGAATTGCGAGAAACGGAATTTGATCTCCCACATCTAAAGCGTCTCGGAAATCGAAGAACCTGAGAGTGAGATAAGGTGGATGCAAGACAAAGATGTTACATTATAATTTTAATTGGTAAGCTTGAAAGTTTGAATACAGTTGAGGCAAAAGGTCCATGACTGCAGCTACTCCTAATTACTTCACAAGAAAAGCAAAGAGGGGGCCATAGGAATAGCAATCAGGGTGGAAATACTAATTTGTTATGCTTGCGTCACTTACAGTTACACATTTCCTGAGACGAAAATTATTACCCGCCACGCACACCAAAGGCGATGAAATCAAAACAAGTACAATATCGTCTCCTTCAATTTCGTTTGCGTTGGCTCCAGCTTCTCCGTTAACTCCAAGTCGGCATCGATTTTACACAAATGTCCGTTCTTGCTCGTCACCTTTCCTCTGAGGTATTTCTTCCGTACCAACATCGAATTCCAGTTCTTCACGACGCTGGTATGCGGCAACACTATGGGAAAACTCACGTGCATCGCGTTCACAAACAGTGCTTCTTCCGCTTCGGTCAATGACTCAGGAACGTCGGGACCCACAGTGAAATAGTTTCTTCCGCGTAAAGGCATCGGCGCTGGTGGGATTTCAACGACCTCGGAAAGGAGGTGGTAATCGTCGTACCAGGAATCGTAGAGGCGACAGAGGATGTCAGCACGAGATGGTAATGCGTGCTCTCCTGAGTCTTCTCCTGTCGTGGTGTCTTGTCTTTGTCTTTCTTTCTCAATGGCTTCGTGGGCGTTCAGTTCGAGAACTCGGCGACAGCTCGGACAAAACGAAGGAAGCATGCTCGCTGTTAACTGTTTCCACTTGCGACGGCATAGAGGGTTACCTGGAAATGGGATGGTGCTCGACAAGCGACAATTATTTAATCGATAGCGGCGTCAGATAAAGATTTGAACAAGAATAGCATCGACAAACTACCTTGTTCAGAAACGAACTGTGCACAGAATTACAAACAATCAAGTTAGAACATAAAAATTGCACAGGCACGCCTCAACTTATCACCGATGAAATAAGCAAGTAACTGATCAGAATAACCGAGATACTGATGAGAAGGAAAGGCAGCCCTGATGTTAAGAAGCTACCTCCCTTATTTCAGTCAGTAAATCGGTTATTTTGAGTTTTCAAATAGTACCGCAAACTCGAAATTGCGGCTCAAAAGGCGTCGCCTTTTTCGCATCTCTAGCCTCCAATGCTTCCACCGCCTTACTCGAAAGCTTCGATATCCTTTTTGTATCATTCGCATAGGTCTGCAGGTTTTCCAAAGTTACAACCTCTTCTGCTTTTTCCCGTCCTTCAGTGCTGTCGGCAGCTTTTTCTTTCCGCTCTTTTATTTCCGTACTCAATTTCATGATTTTTGGCGTCCCATTGTTCGACCCAGTCGACTTCTTGGATTGCGTCGGCGAGTTGGAAATAGCCGTCAATAAAGTAGGCCTTTTGGCCTCATCGTGGCCATGATCTGGTGGGAGTTGTGCTGGTGGCGGCGCAGTTACAGCTGCTGCAGCTTCATTCGCTTTGATTCCAAACAACTGAGGAAACGGATCATCAAAGGAGAATCCGAGACCGAGTTCTAGTTGATGGACAAGCTGTTGTGGCTGTCCTCCCGGTCCGACAAGCGGCATTACAGGCATTGGGATTGGCAACAACATATTCAGGTCTTCACAGGAACTGTCTGCTTTGCTACTTCCAGCTTTACTACTGTCTTCAGCTTTGATGCTATTTTCTCCACCGAAACCGGTTAAAACCATTTTGACAGTAGAAGCTGCGTCTACTTTAGATTGGTCATGTTTGGCAGCCCCACCATCAACACCTGCACTAGTTGTATTGGTACAACTCCCAACATACGCCTCAACACCAACAGGCACAGTGTCATCCTCATAAGAAACGTAAGGAGGGTAAGGACTACATCCTGCAGAAACCGTTCGTTGTTTTGGTCGCTTTTTATAGCTACTCATGATGTACCTGCTTGGTCCCGCTTCTTCTCGTTGACTATAGCTTTTCAGGAGTGTCCCATCATCTGCATCATCTACTAAGCCAGGATCTCGGAAATTCCCTGCAGGAGAAGCCGGTGTCGAGTAACTCCTCATGTACAACTTCAACGGACTCTTGTTAGTGAAGCTTGACGTTTTTTCCGCTAGCTCGTCTTCTCCTCCGTTTTTCAAATCTGCGATAGAACCTAAACCCGGAACCACAGGTGAAGACTTCGGATTCGGATTGCTCTTGTTGGTTGGAGAATTCGCATTCGTGTTGTTCTTGTTTTTGTTATCAGACTTTGAGGTTGAAGTATTGTTCGAAGGACTTGTTACGACGATCTGTCGTTGATGTGTTGGAGAAGAGACGCTGGTGACGTTTGCGGCTGCTTCCCCTTCGGGTTGTAATGGACCCCCTGCCCGCATTCCTCTTGCCGCCGCATGCTGCTGCTGCGGTGTTCTTGAAGTCGATCGTGATTGTGCTCCAGAGGATGAAGAGCAGGCACCTCCCCCTCCTCCTCTGGCATGATTGGCAAGAAAGTGTTCATCCAATGGCGGTGTGCCACTGGGGGTTACTGCTCCATTACTCTCCAACTCAGACAGCATCTTTTTCGAAACGTGACTATGGGAATTCGTGTTGCTTCTGAGTAGTTCTTCTTCGTCGCCTTCGTCCAAAGTGGCCATCAAATCGAGTGGATTAGCTGCATGATGGTCGCGACTAGGACGATGGTAAGATGGAGGTGCCGACATCACCACCATTGGTGATGGGATCGTGGTCGCGTGTGTCAGAGTAGTACTAGTCGGATCCGAACTCGGTGTCACCCGTTGTGAACTCGGTGTTCCCCTCTGTGAGTTTGGCGTCACTCGTTCAGAACTAGGCGTCACACGTTGGGAACCAGGGAAGAAGCGCTGTTGCCACTGTGCTTGTGGCAATGTTGTGGATAAACATGATCCTAGATGTCCTGCTGGTCCGCCTTGTTGAAGTCCTACTTCTGCTTGATTCACCACCTTTATATTACCCGAACCAGAATAAACATTGTAGTTGTGGGGAATAATATTATTTCGGCCATTCGCAAGGATTCTCTGAACAGGCGATAGATGCTGGTTTCCTACCGACCCTGGACCTGAAGGCGGTTGATTTGGAACCACTGAAGACTGCGTAGAAGATGCCGCGACTACAAGTCCATTCCCTGTGGTGTATAGGCGACTGGCTGTAGTAGCTCCAGTCGTTCCGGGAAATGCAGGTATAGGGTAAAGCATCTGATTCTCAACAAACGTGCCATGATTTGCATTTCCTGCTGTTGTTCCATTCACACCTGCAGAAGTACTTTGACCTTGCAATCCTCCTCCCGCCGACCCGAAAGACGTCGATGCTGAGTTGCTTTGTTGCTGGAAATGAAATTGCTGTCCAACGAACGGATCCGCAAGTCCTCCGAAACTGGGTTGCATAGTTGTGAAGTTCGGTCCAAAATTGAAGTGCGGTGGCAAAGGCATCAGTAAAGGATGAGTCCCTGGGTTCACCAGAGCAGGATTTGTAGTTGTACTGTTTGTTGTTGGAGCATTAGTACTACTAGAAGTATTGGGAGGATAAGCACCTCCTCCATGATGTAGTTGTTGAGCTACACCTCCACCAAGGCCGATCAACAAGTGCTGTTGTTGATAAGCAGTCGATGTTGCTGTACCAACGGCGGGGATTAAAGTTGTTGTACTAGTTCCACTACCACTAAGATTTGTACCAAAAAGGGCTTCCCTTTGCTGGTCATGAATCGATTTTGGACTATAAGGTCCTCTGATTGCCGCCACCTCTACTGGAACGTCTTCTGATTTTGGCGGGCTCGCCTTCCTCGTGGGAGGCGCAAAAATTGAAGGTTCAGTAAGATTGTCCGTGATGATGCTTGGAGGTCCCTCAGATGATTTCTTAGATGTCGATTTTTTAGTAGAAGATGTTTTTGTTTTTCCCCATATTTCTGCTTCGAGTTCGTTATCTAAACGTTTCATTTGTTTTCCAGAAGAAGTGATAACTCCGTTCGTTGGAGTCGTTTCTAAAGATGAAGCAGTACCAGCTTTCTTGTCGAGCATCGACACCACTGAGCCTCCTGCAGCAGCCTGCTTACTATTGCTCGTATTCAGTTTCTTCACTTTCAATTCGTGTGCAGGTGTTTTACCCAACTTGGTGCAATCTTTGCTGTAGTTGCTGTTTACAGACGCCTTACTAGATCGATCTCTATGTGTAGTCCCATCTAGAGCTTGTCCATCATCATATTCATTCAGCAAATTTCGGAGGTCGGCCAAAATTTTCTGCCGATCCGAGGAATCTGCTGCTGCGGCTAACTCCTTACGGAGTGACGCAGCCGCATCGAGGTTACTCATTTTTGAAGATGAGGGAGGTTCTCGATTCTATTTCTACTAGAATGAACGAAATATAATTAGATCTGCTTAGTTCTAGTCCCAACAATGCCTTTCACAAACTAAACAAAGGCAAAGACTGTAGCAACCAGACGACGATGACCCTTGTTAGCGATTGCAATCACAAGAAACATTGACCAAACTTTATGGAGATAAACGATGTTAAGGTAAGTAGATGTAGATAGTAGGTGGATCGAAAAATTCTAATAACCAACAAAATCAATAGTACACATATTTCTAACTACTAACTTAGTACTAGTTACGCATACGCGGCTTACACTTGGCAGATCATAGAAAATAATAATAATGACAGGACTAGACCACGGTGATTCACAAAGAGACCAGCAAACTATCATCAGTACTTAATGTTTAAAAACGAACTCGCTCTCGCACGATCATAGAAAATAATTTTTTGCTGTAAGTCCTACTTGCCACTAGCGCTGTAACAAACGGAACTTACCATGTTGACTATGTGGTTACTAGATATCATTCACTCACTGTCACGACGACTCAGAGTAGTCACTTATAACGGAAGCGGAACAAACTAACAAAGCTGGATAATATCCGATTCATTGCGAAAAATCGTTTCGCGATAACAACTATTCAAGGATTCCTTTTTATGGCAAAGAAATGCGTAATTAATTAGGCTTACATAGTTGTTAGGGATTCTAACTATGGACCTATATCCGACTGTGTACTAGATACTTACATCACGGATTTTCGATTTCACGCAGCACCAAGGTGAACCCTAGCGGTGCCACGTCGGTCTTTAAGACAACAACACCCGTTTCGGGAAAACAAATTTCGCTACCAATGGGTTTTTTCATTCCTTTAAGGTTAATCAAAGACTAAATCTTCGACTAACGCAAGAAAACAGTCAGGTGCATAACACTCCTACTGACTAGACAGTGAAAAAGATACCAAGGTAGACATAGGAAGAGAGTGATATTGAAATGAAGCGAAAGACACGATAGCCATCGGCCTGTCATTTTTTGGATAGGGTACATGCGAGTGGATGACGCAAGTAGAGCCATGCAACGCAAAGAGCCTGAAAACTACGACTAAACATTCGATAGACTCCTAGACAACAAACTATGCACAACTCAGCGTAAACTGTTTGAAGCAACATCGACTCTCGTTCTCTCACTCTCAACAGATGTGTGCTTCCTTTCACACAAAAAAAAGAACTATGCGTACTTTGTTTTTTCTCGTCCTCTCAAGGAACATGCATCGGTCTAGCTGTTCTCTTGTCAGGTAGGTTCCTCTCAAAAACAGATTAAGATTTCTTAATATGGTCGAAACTTCTGTATGCGGTATTTGCTCTGCGACCGAAAAGACAAAGAAAGAAAGATAATTCCTCTGCTTTTTTACTATTTTCAAAGAACACAGCACAGAGATAATCATGCATTTCAGTTTGCTGGTCCACCAACAGCAATCTAAATCTAGAATATGTTCTCTCAACCGATGGCTTTTGTGTGCGGAAGTCTCAACAACCTACAGGCTTACGTCGACATCTGAATCTCTCTGCAAGGCTGCACCTAAAGTGCAGCTTCTGTTGCTCTTCGCCAGATTGACATTCTGACTCTGTAGAAGTCGATGACGGTCTTCAGCTGCCTAGGCTAGTACTAGTAGTTCTTTATTCAGAGATTTACTGATTCTGTGACAGAGATTCATACGAGTAGAGATCGAAACAAATGAAGCTGTGACCACAGAGCAACAACGTCTCGTTCAATCGATTCGGATCAATCAGTGAATATACGAAACAAACGACTACAAGAACCTAAGAAATCATCAGAAAAATACGGTGCTGTATCGAAACAAACTGTGGTATAGGTATACGAAAAATTGTTCCATCTATCTTCTAAGTCTAAGTTTAAGTCTATTCATCAATTCGAAACTGCATTATCGCTTAAGAGAGCCTGTCGCAAGCCTTCCTGGCAACTGTATCTTTTAACATTTGCTTTTTTGACTATCCAGTATGACTAAGGTAAAAAATCAGTTCGCTAATCAATCAAAATAGTTAGATACTATCCAAATCCAAATTCATAAAAACGTCTTCTAAATCGCTAGCAGCCTACTCCGCATTGTCCGCAGCATCTGCTTCACCAACTACCCCGCCTTCTGCTGGTGCCGCACCTGCGTCATTCTCTAGTACTGCGCCACCCTCTTGGGCCACTGGTGGTGTTTGATCCCCTGCTTGTCCTCTTCCGCTAGTACGTGGAGTTGTTTTATCTTCATCACCTTGATCAACACCACCACTACCTAAACCTATCCCAGTACCCTCTTCAGCTCTCGACAACAAGGCCGCTTCAAGCATGCTGATCCGCGTTTTCATCGATTGGGTATCGCCTAGGATCCCCTGAAGGAACTTGTTCGTCATCGAATCTGCCAGTAGATCTTGCTCTTTTCTCAAGAACCGTTTAGATTCCTCCTGCCTCACGTAGTCACGCCACTGCGCGTCTTGAGCTTCCGTTAGCTGCTGTTGCGACTTGCCTAGTGCGGTGGCCATTTCGGTGGCAAGGGATTTCGTTAGAGGGTCTCTTGTTGAGTGTCTTTTACAGTCAAACGAAAAACCGAGGATCAAATAACAAATACAGGTCATTTTTCAACTACGACGTCAAGATGAAAGATTCAATCTCAATGTACTTACTAAAAGAGTCACTCTTACTAAAACGAAAACCCCTTCATAACTGTAATTTCTCTGACACTTGCTGTTCCAAATCGCCCAATTTCAGTGACACTTTCCCCTCCTTCTGGTCCATCTCGCGTTGTGCCTGGGCTATTACTTGGTCCAAAGTCGCCTGCACTTGCTCCGCCAAATTTCCAGGTAATTTGTTGACCTTGGCGAGCATTTTTGCTGCTATCTCAGGTGGTAAGATCTGTGACTGCGTCAATTTCAGCTGTGATTCCACTTCTGCGAGACCGCTTTCAAGCTTCGCCTGCATTTCTACCCAATCGCTGTTAAGCCAGTCCTCGAACTGGCCTTGAGAATGGTACACGGAAGCGAGGGAAGCGATCTGTTGGAAAGAGGCGTCAGACAGTTGTCAGTGTGAGTCTGCTCTGCATTGATTGATGTTACTTACAGGTAATAATGGTCTAATGAAATTGTGAAATTGAGAAAGAAGATGAAGTTGCAATCTGAAATCTGAGATCTTCTTCAAAAGGGTCCTTCGGAAAAGGATAAACACCGCCGCTTCCATCGCCTCCTGCCTCTCACTCGTTTCCGTCTGTATCTTCCTCCCCAACTCTGACGCCACTTTGCTAGTTTCCGTTTGCATTTTCTGGTTTTCTAGATCCTGCACTTCCCGTAGCTCGTCTAACTCCCTAGCCAGACTGCGTCTATTATCGTCCACACTACGTCTCGTATTCGCATGCTCTCGCAAATCGCTTTCTTCCAGGATGGCCCTTGTTTCTCCGACCATCTTTATCCTCTCCATCTTCTCTACGTCGACATTTCTCTGCATGCGTTCTGCTGTTGCTTTGTTCTCACGCCGCATGCCTTCAAAATCCCTCGTCTGCTCTAGCAAGTGCATTGTCAAAAACGACTGCAGAGTTTTTTGATACGAATACTTCGTTGCGTGTTGTTTCGCTTCGACCTCAGTGCGCCATCTAATGCTATCCCGCAAATCGTCTTGCCGCTCTTCTTCCTTCCTCACCCGTTCCTGATCAAAGTCCCACCTAAACGATCTAATCTGATCTTGCAGATAGTCACACTTCTTCGTTAATAACTGCTCATTCTCCTTGATGAAGTGCTCAAATCGCTTATCCGTGGTATCGCAATAACCCTGAACGCGCATGTTCAACTCCTCAATCCGTCTCTGATTCAAGCTTTCGTGCGCCTCGAACCTCTTGGCCATGGCTTCAACGCGTTCTGCTTCTTGTTTCAGGCGGTCTGCGCGTTCCTGCTCAAACAAGGTCTGGACTTTCTGGGATAACTCGGCACGAGTGGTATCGAGCTCGCGACGAAACCTAGATTGATGAATTTTCGCTTGCGTTGAATCAGAGGACGAGGACGAGCCGACGGGTGTAGTCAACTTACAGTTATGTATTGATCCAAAATGGTGCAGAATCAAAAGAGCCACCTCCTAGTATGTCTTATTCTCAGATAGATTGATAATTTCCTCAAAAACAACTACAAAATGCAAATGAAGAGTACTTCTGTTCCCAAAATTCTCGCATATTCGTCAATTCTGTGCTTGTCGAGCTCTCGTGGTCCTTGATCTTGTTCATCATTTCTTGCGTCGATTTTTCCATGTACTTTACTTCAGAATCCAGTTTTTTCCACAAGTCTCGAATATCTCGTGACATTTGCATCGCCTGATCGTTCAAACGCGATTCTGTTCGAACTTCATGCTTCTTCACCATGCTCTCGGTGTCTGCTTTGCTTTTTTGCATGTTTTCCGTTGTCGCGCGTTCGAACTTGCTGATCCAACGCTTTTGAGCTTCGAGAGAGTCGTAGCATTTGCGATCCACAGCGAGTACACGGTCAATCAAGCTGGACTCGACAGCATCCATCTTAGCGTGTGTCTGCATACGGAACTCGACATTGTTCCTCTCCATGGCCTTTATCTCGCCGACGACGTACTCCTTTTCCTCCTCAAGCTTCTCGGAAAGGAGCGCTTTTTGCGCAAATTCGGCTTGCTGCAGGAGCCTGGTGGATTGCCCGTTTCGTGAGGTAGGACGAGCAGGCTAACAAGTGAAGAATAATTACATTGATTTCGATTGATCATTGATGTCGACTGCAAAGGCTTAAAAAAATGTCGTTTCGGTCTCACGACGAACAGGTTACGATCATGTATTTTGATGCACGGGATAAACTTATACTTTTATAGAGGTAAAAGCTAACCGGTTAGTTACCAAGTACTAACAGGAAAAGCATCACTTTACCTGGTAACAGTCCCCGTCAGCTCCGCGATGCTAGCTTTTGTCTTCGTTTCCATGTTCGTGAGCTCGCTAGTACATGCTCTGCGATTCTCTTTGTTGAGTTTATCAACGCCTTCCGTGAAGATTTTCGTCCTCTCGATTTGTTCCGAAAATTTCTCGAAATTTTCAGTTGCCAGACCCTTTATCTCGTCACAGCCTTTGAGGACTTCTTCCTGTTTAGAGTTTTGTTTGGCATGAGAAGGTTGACACGATAAATTTTTACTTTACTATCGTAACGATTTAGGGTGTGCATGTAGTAAAGACAGTTAGAAATCAGCAAGAAAGACTTGTACTAGTTATCGACTACGACTTAGCAGTACAAGAGCAGGATTCGTAATAGTACTCGAACTTTCTTCCCCAGCGTAGCTTCCACCGTCTCTTGCGTCCTTCCCAACTCCGCTAACTTCGTTTTCACATGTGCCAGCACATTAGTCAACCCCTGAAACTCTCGCTGCCATCGTTTTTCCTCTTCCTCAACTCGGACACCACGCGTCTCGCTCTTCTGAGTTTCTTGCAAAAGCACCATCTCCGTCTTAGCCACGCGACCTTCTAAGGCGTCGTTGACCTTCTTCTGATCCAGGAAGTGCGCGTCAGAAAGGTCGTTCAAATTCTGGATTTTCCTGTCGATCTGCTCAAGGAGAATGCCGCTCTTGTGCTCGATGCGGATTAGAAGAAACGGGAGAGTGATAGGCGAATAGTGGTTGGTTCTTAGTCGTGTCTTGGTTGCTCACAATTACCGCACCGACATCTACTTCGTTGAGACAACTTTCAAGTCTAAATGAAACTTCCAACAAGATTCATCAGCTGCTAGTGGGCATACCCAAACCATAAAATCTGCTGCAAGTTTGCTATGGCATTCTTCCACTCGGTCCCCATTTCGATATACGCGGACCACAATTCCTTCGCATTCTTGCCCTGTTGTTCCGTCGCCATATTGAGATTCTGGAGGAACTTTTCTTCACTGTTGACCAAATTCTGTCTGTATTCGCGATCCTTCGAAGCCATATGCGTGTTGAAAACGTCAAGCTCCAGTTTCAACTGCGCGAAAGCTGAATTGATGCTGCCCTCCGACAGTTTGAGAATGCGGGCATCGTGCTCTTCCTGTCAGGTTTCACAGCGAAAACGAATCTGAACTACCAAACCAAATACTAATACTGCACACAAAGAACAAATGATTTGTATAATCAAGTTACTTAGTAAGTACAAGTAGTACCTGCAATTTCACCTTCTTATCCTGCAGAAATTCTCTCGCCTGACTCTGCATGAAGTCTCTGAGATCCGAGTGCAATGCCTTCACATTTTCCGTCATTTCCTCCTGTAGCAACTGCCGAGCTTCCGATTCTTGACCGATCAACTGCTTCATATGCTCCATGGCGACATTGTAATTGAGCCCAGCACCACCACCTCCACCTGCGGACGCGGTGCGCACCAACTTCGACGACAGAAGGCGATCTCTTTGCTGCTTGGTCGGTGATGTCGAGGGACTGCTGCCGCCGATCTGCAGTCTTGGGGTATTTCTGAGGTCACCTCCTCCTACATCTCCGCCTGCTAGTGCACTGTTTGCCGAGTTGGCAATAATCCCACCAATCCTTTGGGAAATCGGATAAGCCTTGTGCGCATCAGGAGCATCTTCGAGGTGGAACACGTCGCCCCCTAGGATTTTTTCGATGAGAACCTGGACCTGACCAACTTTTTGGTCCATCGCGGTGATCTTGAGCTCCATATCGTTAACGATTTTTCTTTCGTTCCCTTGCTTCTCGAGTATGGCGAGTTAGATGATGGGGACTTTTAGATTACAGCACTTAGATTCAAGGTACTAGCCGAAGTCTTTGATTTATACTTATACATAAGTAGATTACAGCACCTAGATTCAATGTACTTCTAGCCGTAGTCTTTGATATATTTGACAAGACATCTTCTGGCACCCACCCACTCTTGTGACACATGATCAGGACTTCAACGTTTACAACCATCTAAAATCCTGCTTCTAGACTACTCCTACTACGACTAGTACCTCTCAGAGTCAGTACTACTACTACTGTCATAATACTCCAACCCGCTGCTCTTCAAATTGAGCAACTGGCTTTGGCTGACCTCTTGCTCTCCTCGGATATGTTCCTTGAATCGCTTGTCCCACAGCTCGAACTTCTCCCATTTCGAATCAATCCTCCGATTGACATCCTCTTCTACAGCCAAAAACTTCTTCTCCAAATGCGTTTGGAGATCCAGGAGTTGCTCCTCCAAGTCGAGGACGCGAGATTGGAGGGCTAGGTCGGTTATGGGTTTCTGGACTGCATTGCCTGCTGCGGCCATGAGGTCTCCACTGGTGACGTTTTTCCCACTATTGACATAGTTGTTCGGGGGTACGACGACTGGGGGACGTGGCCCAACACCAGCACCGTAACCATCAAAAGGGCCTTGCTGAGACTGGACCGGCAGTACGCGCTTGCCGGCAGCGCCGCGGCCGCGGGTGAAGAGATCCATTGTCCTTGGTCTTACTCCATGTTCTTTGTCTTTCTACAAAATTATCATGGGTTGGAGTGGTATAGCAGGCAAGTTTTGTAAGAGGGGGAGCATCAACATCACTCTCACAAACTTTCCAACTCGACATTCAACGTCGCTCATCAAGCGACCTCCATTCCTCGTTTCTACCTCGACCGATTACGATGTAAAGCCGACCAGTTTCGACCACGTGTCTTCATACAGCGGCGGCACGACCGACATCAGTCACAGAACGACAGAGTAAGCGAATGTAGCAGGACGACGAACGTGTCAACACGGACAGATCCTGGAAGACATCGATGACAGTGGACTACAAAAGTCGACGGCACGCGCTTTTCTCGATCATGTACAATTTCAATTCAATTCGTCTCGCGAGCTTTTTTTTTTTTTTGTAGTGCGAGCGAGTTCCGATAAATCAAAACCTACCTGCGTATTTTGCGAGCGAGTTCCAATAAATCAAATCCTACCTGCGTATTTTCCGCGTAGCTACCGGCGTAGGGGGGAGTTCTTAATCTCCTTAACAAACTACGCTACTGCCCCTACGATTCCAAAATGGTCAAGCCTAGGAGCAAAGGCAGGGATAATTACACACCTAGTACCTGCCACCCGGGGCGTTGCCCGTCTCCCCATTACGCGCCTATGATGAATGCTACGTTTGGGCGGCGGAGCGCTGTCCGCTTAGTCAAATCAAATATTTACACAATGGCCCTAGGTGGAGCTGCGCGGCAACTTATTGCTGGTGCGAACTAGGCGGATGTTTTGTTCTAAGTAAAAACATGCATGTTGATTAGATTGATGAAGGAACACTACACGCTACTAGTTGCTTAAGGTTTTTCTTCATCTTCATGCATCACTTTCTTCTTGTGGCCGGCTCCTCCCGCTATGCAGCCGATGAGAGAAAAAACAAAAAGCAAAAATTGGAGGGCTGACTCCGACCAAAGGGGCTACCTTATGCCTGATAGCCACAAACGGGCGGGAGATAAAAAATCGGTGAGGGAGAGCGATGGGACGCTCTCCCCCTTTCAATTACGTTGCATAAGTCTACCCATCTCAAAGAACTCTAACAGCGCGCAAGTTTGTATCTATATCGAAGTAGTCTCGACCTCCTTACTCACCAAGGAACAGCGCCTCCTCTAGAAATAACGACGCTCAAGTTAGTAAATCTAATTTATCAACAACTCGAAGCACCCAAGACAGAACAAGGACATTCGCTAACCCCTCTGGCGTTCCCGAAGGACCACTAGGGATTATCTCATCACTCAAAACAGATTTTTTTTTTTTTTTGTAGTGCGACGAAAGCCACAGAAGCTTCGTATCTCCTGTTGGACATAGTCTACGAAGTCACACACCGCCAGCCTTTACGACCAGCCTGCCAGCACGCCAGCTTAGACTACCTGCATATAGCAGTTCATCTTGGACTGCGGAACTGGGGAAGACCTCTACCGTATCGCCAGATGGCAGATACCAGGGAAAGTCTGTCTGAGGGTACTTAACGGTCAGAATGCCACCCATGACCTGGACTCGAGGAGAAAGCCTAGGAGAAGAAGCAGGGTAAGCACCACGGAAAAGGGTCCTGTTATCCTGCCGTCTTTGGCTTTTATCTTTCTTTTTTTTTTTCAACTTTTGGGGTCTTCAGTGCATATTTCATTTTGCCCCTTCTTCAATGCTGTCAGGATCCCCAGTCCTAAACGCTTATGGCGCCCGGTACTTACCATCTTGAACACTTCTACGCTATCCATATTTACTTCCTAATTAAGAGTCTTATCTAAACTACGCTCCTTCTCTTGACTGACTCCAAAAATCAATCGCTGTCTATGTGTATGTATAGATTACGTGTCCTACTCCTTGTTCGAAGCGATCATCCTTTTTGAAGTACACCAGATGAATTCATTTACTGTCCCGTAAGCGTTGAATCCAAGCAAATTATCAAATCTAGCACATCGTTTCCGTTTCGTAATACCAAAGCAAATTATACATCCAATAGATACTAGTACATTGTTGGTTGGTTTTTTGTATCAAAGTAGTGCCAGAATCCTCGTGACCTTATCACATTTACTGTATCGAAGTACATCAAATAACTGTCCGATTTTCATCGTAATTTAGTGAGAGTTTGATTGCGGTAATCTTTTTTTTTCTGCCATCTATACAAAGAATTCAGTGTAGCAATTCCAAGTTCTTAGATTACATTTTTCACAAGTATGTGTTATCATGCGTTTCCCAGTATATCAATATCATGTTCGCCTTCACCTGCTGAGTTTCCATTACATGGCGAATATGATGTCGGTATACACCGATTGTGCTCTCAGAGCATAAAGAGAAAATTTATTTAGGTACATAATGAAAAAAATTTACATGTCCTCATCAATACTCTCGTATACCTGCACCTTCTCAATGTCCTCCACCATGACCTCCTCCATGTCCATGCCCCTTTCCTACGGGGTGGATCGCGCCATGCTGTATACCTGTTATGTAAAGGGATAAGTCCCTCACTTCAGGCCTATGTCTTCCATCAGCGTAGATATTTCTTAACTTCACTTCCAGAGCCGACATTACCAATCGCGTCTTCTTTTTCGTATGCTTCAGGAAAAAGGTTCGGAAGATGTACTCCACCTCCGCATCTCCTATCACCGAGTTTCTATGATACTCCCCAGCTTTGTGGTGGAAGCGACGGCGAAGTCTGGCTAGAGTGCGAAGCTTGAGATGCTGTCTTGAGGGGGAAGAGAGGTGATTAGGAAGCGGCGCTGGTGCTGCGGAAAGAGTCTGAATTAATCGTCGTTGTTGTGATCCAGTAGCGCTGAGGAGGAGTCCACGACTATCTTCTCCCGACGGATCGCGTTCGTAAATCTCATCATCCGCAGGATGAAAGCGAACTCCTGCTGTTTGTACAATAGGCTTGTGTTTTGGAGACTGTGACGATTCATCAGTACCGCCAAGCACGAAGCGTGTCTTGCGAGCTGCAGTTAGGGGTTTGTCGCCATCGTAATCAACATCAGCACCGAAGCGAGGTGCATGTGCAGGAGAAGAAGGTGATATTGTGATTTGAGAAGAAGGACTCTCAACATGTTGAAGTCCTGGCGCACTAGCCGTTCCTGATGAGGGCTGTGACGCTGATCCTACCCCAGCAGAGGACCCAGGCGATGATGGTCCCGTGTGCGGTGAGGCTGATGTCTGAGAGGCAGCCCTTGAGAACGAAACATTTGCTAGCGATCTGCTTGTCCTACTCGCAGTCAACATGTTCTTGCTAGTACTTCTGTACACACTGCTCCGACTCCTCCTTGGCGCTATCGAGATACTTCTTCTAGGACTGGAGCTTCTAGCCCGATCAACAAGCGGTTCCGGGCCACCCTCACGCTCTTCTCGCAACTGACCACCTACAAAACGCAAGCTTGGGGTTTTCTGACCCATGAGATTACTAGAAGTGCATTTCCGGAGTAGCTTCTTACCTCCACCTGCACGCACGGACGAGGATGTTCCGCCGGTATGGCTTAGCTTCGGATGACTTGCTGTTGGTGTGCCTCTAGACTCTACTGCTGAAGACGTCTTATTCAAGGGAGGAGCGCCGGATGTAGTACTACTCACTGGCGTGGAGCCTATCGGAAACGATAATGTCCGATCCGATGTGCCCGAAGAGGAGTTACCGCCATAGGAGGACTGAGGAGAAGAGATGGACTCTGTTGTACCTTCTTGCTGTACTCCAGCAAGTTGTGGAGCTCCACCAAGATGTGGAAAACCCGTTCCAGCATCAACGACTGCTGCAGTACTACTACTATCATGTTTCGATCCAGCCATCATGTGCTCATGCATCTGTTGGTCGTAATGCTCGTCATACTCATCATCTTCTGAATCGTCATAGAGTTCCACGAACGCATCTCTGAGAGGGTTATTCAGGATGTCGCAGAGCATTGCCGTGAAGGTTTCCTCGTCAAAGGTGTTCTCTTGGAAGGCGAACCTCCGAGAAAGAGCAAGTAGAGTGTGGATTTCGTGTAGGCGGACACGCTCTGGGTCGTGGCAGATCAAGGACACACCCACTGCACAAAGCAAGAGCACTTCCTCATCTGGCAAGCGCAGGTGTCTCAGCAAAAGCGGCAATGCCTCCACCGGCAAGACACGATGGTCATGGTGATGTTCGTGTTGGTCGTCGTTTCCCCTGTAGTAGGAGTTTCCCCATAGTGCAGCGGAGGTAACCCGACCTCCAGCACCGATATGACCAGGACTGTCAACATCATCCTCAAACTCATCTGTCGAGGACGAACTAGAAGAATCATCCTGCGCATTGAAAACGCGAGGATACCTCACCAAAAGAGCGTCCTTGATCCTCGCAAACGCGCGAAACTGTTTTACGAGGGAGTGGGACCCGAATTCGTTGAGGGGGTCGTCGTGACCATGTCCGTGTCCATGATGTCCTCCATGTCCATGAACGATTGCATGATGTCCATGTCCCGCATGCCCCAACGACTCCATTTGTTTCGACTGCATATACAACGACTTCGGCATACTAAACTCGCGCCACGCTCTATGTAATTGACGCTTTTCCCAAGCTGGTACTGCGTTCGTGTAGGATCGTTCTAAATGTCTGCGACTTTCTTCCCCAAACGCGACCAAAGACAACGTCAAGGTGTACACACTTGCTGCCGTCTGGATTATCGGGAACTCTTGGGCCGCGCGCTCTTCGTTTTGGCTGATGTAGAGTGCTAGCGCTTCTTCATCCGGTTCCTCGCCTGTGCGAAAGACCATGATAAAACCGGTCAAGATTGGCGGCAGAATAAACAGCACTGTGAAGATGAGAATTGCAAGCGAACAGGCGTGCAAAATCACTGGGCCATACACGTAGAGCATCATTGGAAGCCACCGACGCCACCCAGATTTTACTTGCTTCAACAACATTGTAGTCGTGCTCGAAGGAGACGATCCAGCTGCAGTAACACTTCTAGCCGTACTTCCACTACTAGAATAGTAAGCGTAAAACTCGACTGGTCCTTCTTTCAACAAGGCCACGTGCTGCGTTAAAGACCGGCACTCGTAGAGAAACAGCAGGATCAAAAAAAGCAAAACTCCGATGATACAGAAAATGAGCCAGCGAGCCTGGATTAGAGAGACGTAGTCCGTCAGAGCGTGCGAATTTCGCGAACGCTGTTTCAGAACTGCTTCTCGTCTCTTTTTGAGTTTCTCTAGTTCCGCCTCTAAGGCCTGCAGTGATCCTGCATCTAGCTCCTGGTCCTCTTTATCATGTCCGGAGGAGGTGTGTCCTTGTACTGAAGATCTGGTTTGCTTGGCAGAACTAAAGAACCTCCCTGATTGTGATTCTATGTCAGTAGGCAGAATCTGGCTTGGAGATGCTGCCTCTCCCTCTGGTTGTCGTGGTGGTTGTGGCAGGCCCCTCATAGAAGACGTCATGCTTTTCTGCGATAGCAGAGCACGTCGTTTTTCACACAGCTGTGACATCTGCTGATTCAACAATTCGCACTCGCCAGTTGTTCCTCCGCTACAGTGTGCAACTACGCTAGATGAAGCACCATGTGCTCCGGTTGTAGTAGCCCTAGTAGACGAACTCGTCGCTGCTGAAAGAGATTTCTTGCTACTCTTCGAAAGAGACTTACTTTGCAAATAATAGTTGTTTTCGGCTGATGTGTTGCTCGACGAAGCACCGGTGAACGATGCTTGTGGCGAAGCGGAAGCCAAGCTCCTATCCATGGCGGCACTTGTAGACATAAATCTACTATTAGTGCTCTCGCCAAAAGCAGTTAGGAATCGACTATCGTTAGTCATGGCACTATAAAACGCAGTCTTGTTGTTCGTCTCTCTCGTCGTCCTTCCCTGTCTATTACTTGGGTCGTCCTCATTCCCGCTATCATTAATCATCGCGGTACCTGTAGGACCAACTACTCTTGAAGACGATGAAGGGCTGAAACCCGTTTGCTCTCCTGGCCACTGAGACCTTTGTCTAGTCCCAAGAGGTTCGACGGCGCTTTCTTGGCGTGTAGTGACCGCGGAACCACTTGTCATCTCGTCATCAGACATGTGTCTTGATGTTTCAAAAGCTACGCTTTTACTTCTTCTCTTAGGAGAAGTTGTACTAGTAGTGTTTTGTTGATTGTCTTTGGTACTAGGAGAGGTTCTTGTACTATTCTTCGCACTTGTTCCTTCTCCGACAACACTTGTTCCTCCAGTTTTTTGCATGAAGTTTTCATCTTCAGAATCAGATGTACTCGTGGAGACTTCCGAGGAAGCCGCGTGCTGGGGATGTGGCCGAACGTCTGGATGTTGTTGACCTGTGATCATGTTGATGTTGTTATCAAGGCGTGCAACGGAAACGACGCCTCCGGCTCCACCACCCATATAATCCTTACCAGACAGGGAGTTCAAACTGTTCTCATTCAACATCTCCTGGTGCAGATCATGACCATCCTTTGTTGTTGCTGTTCTTGTTCCGTTACCAACTGGAACTCTAAGCCCAGCTCCATTTTGTAGTTGTTCCCTAGCTGCACCTTGCCAGGACTTGTTTTTCTTTATTTCTTCCTGATCCTCCGCGTAACGTACATATAACGGAAGCCATTTCTCCGGTACGTGGTCGCGGAAACCCAAGTGCATGTCCAACATACCAAAGTACAATTTTTTGCGCCGTTCAGGCTTACGGACTCTGAACATCTCACGCCGCAGCTTCCTCAGCCAGCTCACTAGCATAGACAACAGTCCGCAGACGATGACAGCCAGACCGAAAGTGAACAAGGCGACGATGGATGATCTTACTGCGAGACCTGTACGAACGACGCGTGGCAATGTCAACGGTGAGCAAAGTCTGCGACATTGTTCTTGGACATCAGAAGAAGCAAACTGACAACGGATCAGAAAGGGCGTAGAGCAAACTGCATCATGAGAATGTCCATCATCTTGTCCATGGCCATGCTGATGTTGTCCTCCCACAGCTTGCACATTTATTCCAGGTCGGGGTCCTCCATTCCCTGAAGTAGATGAGCCTCCAGCAGCCGGTTGTTGTGCTGGTGCAGTACCACCTACGCCACCAGGTGCACTTTTTGCGGATGACAGAAATGACGTGGCGCCAGCAACAGGAGATGATGTGGGAAATGAACCCTCAGAAGATGAAGACTCCGCGAATAGTTCAAACGGAGATGTTGAGTCTGTTGTTGATGTAACAGGCTCCTCGTCGTCGGGAACCACGAAGTTGCTTGTGCACATGTTGATGTCAAGCATAGTTGACAAAGAGCAGAGGCCGAGGAGGTTCGCTACACCAGGCGTAGCTCCGCTGTTGTAACTCTCTGATGAATGTTCTTCTTGTATTTCCGTGTGGTCAACACGGTCATGTGCTTCATCTGGAACATCATCAAGGACATATACCACACTGGGACCATGATCACTAGTAAACCTCGCGTCTTCTCCTGATGTCATCTCCCCGTCTACTTCGTCTCCTTCATCCGCGACGCGGTCTGCAGCAAACTCATTCTGAATCAAAGCCTTCGTTATCTGACTCCTTACTCCGAAAATTGGCGAAAATGCTCTTCTCACAAATGAGCCACTGCCCAACAGATACCCTTGCTTCTCTTCGACATGAGCTGCTCGCAACTGGGAAAATGAAGACGCGCTGAAACTGAAGAAGCCGGCGTCTGCAATATTCGTGGCGCCAATTTTTGCTGCCTCTGTCGGGCGGTCCAAGGGCAGCTCACGCTGAACATACTGCTCAGCAGAAGAGAATAAAGTAGCATCCTCGCCTTGATTGCTACTTCCCCTCGCATCGTTGTCCAGAAACTCAAAGCGGTCATCCACTTTAGAATTCCGATTCGCATTTCCGAGTTGAGCAGACCAAGCATCGGTAGACGAACCTTCGCCGTCGTCTGGTGCGTGCAACACCTTTTTACCGGAGTCAGAAAAGTGCAGCTCGATTCCAGGAGCATTGTTTCGAGAAGAAAAATCTATCTCACCAGGTTCTCCTCCGTATCCACCACCGAGAGACACAAGTGGAGCAGCCATGGCGTCATCGTCGTCCAGGTTGTCTACGAATTCCTGCACGAAGGTGCTTGCGGCTCTACCAGCACTGGCGACCGTGGTAGATGAACCAGAACCAGAACGGAACGAAGTAGACCCATAAAAATTTTGCCACCTGCCAGCCCTCACTTTCTGTCCTACTTCGTGTGCGTAGGACTCGAAGACCTCAGGGGAGAATTTTCGCATCGGGTACTCGATGTAGTCTAGTTCGTAGCTGAGGGCTAGCATCCAGAAAAACAGCGCAAAGAACCAGAGCGGAAAGTGGAGCAACTGCGAGATCGCAGCTGGCACGCAGTTCGCTAAGTAACGGTGGAACTCGAACCGCTGATACGCTAGGTTCTGTAGGTAAGGATGGGGGTTGGCGCCACAGGGAGGTTGAAATAGCGAAATCTTGAACAAGTGCATCTCGATCACCTCGTCGTCCGTGAAGAAATAGCCGTCTTTCAACCCTGCTTTGGTATTGGCCGTGTAGGAGACTAAAGCGACATCGTCTTCGGTTGGATCCTCCTCGAAAACGCCAGAGGAAACCTCACTTGCATCGTCTGAGTCGCTGCCACTAGTAGAGGCTGCATCTCTAGTACCAGATGGATCATCTTGTTCGAGAAGAGAAACGGAGTGATCAGAAGGTCTTCGTGTCCCATCTTCGTGTCCTACGTTCAAACTGCTTCTCTGAATATTGCTGCCGCCATCGAAGAAACTCGGGCCGTTTTTCATGGTTTTCCTATTTTGAGCTGCTAGATGTTGGCGGTGTTTATCATGGTGGTGTTGATCTTTATCATGGCCATCAGGAGAACTACTTCTACGTCGTAAAGGCGGTACATCCAAGGTTGGCTTCTTACGACAGCAGCGGCATCGTCTATCATACAAGCAACGCCAGAAGTGTCGCAAACTTCTGCGCGTGCAACAAGCTGAGCGGAGTTTGTGGCCTTCATCCTCTGAGTTAGAAGCTGAGGTGTCTGAAGCAGACGTGGAGGACCCTCCATCACCAGGATGCACAACTTCTGTATGCTCGTCACTAGAAGATTCGTCTCCCCATGAAGCCTCATCATCAGAAGCTACATCAACCTGGTTTGATGCATCATTGGTAGTAGTTGCACCTTGGTTCAACAAAGCAGAAGAAGAAGCCACAAACGGATTCGCCTGTTGCATCGACCGCCCACTGCTCGTTTGCCCCCACTGCTCCTCCTCTTGAATCATGTTCGCGGTTGTCCGTCTGACGGATAACGTTCCAGTTGAAGGGCGAATCTTGCTGAAGTGTCGACCAACTTCGACTGGGTCGCCAATTTGCTGTTAGAGCTGTCCGTAATTCATCTTTCAACTGCAACATCCTTGAAAAGTTAGTATGGGAAAGTTGTATTCCCTTAGGATTATAGATACTTACTCTTCCATTTACGTTTCAAGGATGCGCCGTCCAAAGAAGATGTATGATGAGGTGCAGCCTTAATGGTGGCTAGTTCGTGGCGGCGCTGACATCACATGATGTTCCTCAATATCGTCCTGCCAACCACGCATCAAAGACTTCATCTTGCGAAGCGTCTCTTTCACTTGGCCATCCCCATTTTGTTCATCATTCCTGTTCGTAGAAGTTGTTGGTGGATCTTCTTTACTACTTCCCTGTTTTGTTGAGCGACCGGTTTGCTTCATCGTAGAGGTAGCGGCCATGCTAGCCTCAGGTGTAGGATTTTCGGCAGAATTCGCAAATGCTTCCGGAAGGCCACCCCTTGTGGGTTCTTTAGGTTGTCCTCTAAAAGTCAATTGCTCATCTTCGTGTTGTCCAGAAGAGCTTTGCTTTCTACTTGCAGGCGACGCACCGCCACTCTTCGATCCACCATCACCGTCGTCATCATCATCGTCGTCGGCATCTTCACCTGCGTCATCTTCGACATCACGAATAGCGTACGTTGGCGGGCGCACAAGAAGCCGTCGCTCTAGAGCTTTGCACCGATCTACCTCGTACGAAATAGCGAAACGGAGATACACTGCCACAACCAAGAACGTCAACACTGTGAAAAACACCGTCTCTTCCGCCAACTCAAAAAAATGAAAAAATCCACTGTGATGCTCCGGATGAGCTCCTCCATGTTCTTGGCTGACATGACCATGAGCACCCAACGGTCCTGGAATATGGGCCAAATCCGGTGCGTGCTCATGCAAAACAGGCCTTCCGAAGAGGTAGCGGTCGATCAACGGCGACAACTTCGGGAAAGTGAACTCTAATAACGACAACAATTTCCCAACCACAGCAACCAACACGAGCTCCGACAACAGCCGATGCCAGATCCTGGTCATGTGCCACTTGGCCACTGTATGCTCCAAACCGTGAATGACAAGCTCCAAAGTAACGATAGCCAGCAAGGCAGCTGCTAGAGCTAAGATCTTGACCCTTAGATCTTGCAGAAGGTGGTGCATAGCGTGGAAGCGCTGAAATTTGATCAACTCGTGGTAGACTGGACCGTGAAGCAGTAATAGGACGTCGCGTAGTTCATCGCAGAACAGACCTTCGAAATCCAAACCACCTCCAGCGTTTCCATTCCATTCCTGATGAAGTCTTCGGAGATAGTGCAACTTGACGTAGATTCTCTGCAGCCAACGTCGTTCAGGTGGCATTAGATTTGTATTGGTGGAAAACTCCGCGTGTCCTCCACCGCCATAGGGAAACCGGCCAGCCTCGACTTCCGAGACACGACTTTGCGGTAACCGAGAACGAATAATCGTAGCCAAATGCGTCAGGCATTGACCATTTGACTCAGTTGTGAGCGGCACGGATCTGGTCCCAGTAGAGGCCGCATCCTTGCCTTCGTCGTGACCTCCTCCGCCTTGCCCTTGTAATGCGAGTTGTTCAGCTTTTTCAGTAAACGTAGAAGGCGCCGTCGTCGAAGATTCCTCTTGTTCTAATTCGATAAAGGACGCTTGACCCCTGAAATCTATTTGCTGTGCAGCATTCGCATTTCCGGCACGTCGCTGTTGCTGAGGATTGGCACGTCGCTGTTGCTGAGCCTTGCCTTGGTTACCTCCACCACCTCCTTGGACAGCTCCACTACCAGCACCTCCATGGAGCTGTCCATGTCCTCCACTTCCATCCAGTTTTAACAAGTGTTCGTATTCTGCCAAGGTTAGAGTCTGCTAGATTGCATCTCGGCCCCCTCATCTTGGCCCCATTTTTTTATACCTTGTAATATTCATGAGAAAATTACAAGGGAACAAAAGGGTACCGAGATGCCGAGAAAGATGGATACTAAATGTTGACCTTAACAAGGAGCCCATTTTTCCTAGTGCAAACCAGTCGATATTTTCCGTCTGAGCCGGACATTTGCCGCCAGTACAACCGCATGGGGGTAGAGACGAATCTTCTAATTGATCTAGTAATCCTACTCCACCATTCTGGAAAATCAATGTCGAGTACAACCCTGCGACAAAAGCTCGGCAACTCGGACGTCCCGAAATATATTCCAGTGAGAAAACATCACGCAACAAGTGACTCATCTCATTGCCGAGGGTGCGTCGAAGCAAATTCTGTTGTTCGGGTGATGAAATCCATACACAAGAACCTCTTGACGAGGCAGAAGCAGGAGAAGGTGACTCATCTTTGTTCCCAGTGGGTTTTGGGTCGTTGGCAAGAATAGTAGCCTTTTTAGCCCCAGCACGGCTGGCTTTAGGAACAGGCACTGCTTTACCACTTGCGACACTTCTGTTTGCTCCGTTGCATTCCGCTTGCGACTTCAAAGGTACACACGTCTGAGCAAACTCCTTTCGCAGTGCGAAACAATAGCCACTATTCTCTTTTCTTCCACCAGTTGCAATACCTCCAGGTCGCGCAACCACATTCTGCAATAGCCTCATAGTCAATAGATTTTTCGTTTTCAGGTCCATGGCTTCTGTGCCTCGGATAGGATCGAAGTTAGAATGCGATAAATCAGGACGTTCAGGGATCAAGGTATGGTCGTTCACCTCTCGCCACATCGTATTTGGTATAGCATCTTCCTTTACGGCAATTGGAGAAGCAGAACCTTGTTGAGCTTGATGAGCATTTTCTTGAGAACCCTGCTGAGCTTGTTGAGAATGCCCATGACCTGCCGCCATCGCGGCCTCCTTATTCCAGTTCATGCTCATTGTTTGCCCTTCCATCGCCACTGTGACAATCGCTGAAAGCTTTGCCGTCAGCGTTAGTTCCTCAAACATAGCCGTGTCGACGTGGGAATCCGTGCCCGCATCACGGAATGCTGACATGAACATGTCATTTTTCGCGTTAGTGCCTATTATTCGGTTCGCATTTGCTGCTTCAGTTAGTGCCATTTGCTTGAAAAACCTTTCCGCATCCTTGTCCTTGCCATATAAGCGTTTTTCAATAAGTTCTTTGTGTTCTTCATAAAGCACAAAGGACAGGGGCTCCTCAATCGCGCTGCCGACGATGACCCAGTAGGTGAAATACGCGGTGTAACCAATGAGCGCCAAAAAGCCGAAGACAAAGAGGATCACACACCAGCGATAATGACTCCAGACGGAGCCGGGAGAGCAGCACCGCGAAGTAGAACGACACATCTTCTACTCCTTGAGTTGATTCTTCTACTGCAAAGATTGAGAAGATTCATTCATTCATTCATTCACTCACTCATTCATTTACCTGTTCTGGAGGTATCTTTTGACGCATAAGCGAGAAGGATAAAGAACGTCTATTGGTGGGAGGGAAAGAATAAATCAAAGGAAGGTCTGCTTGCTGCAGTTACGGGATGAAATGATGAATATCCATATGGATTCTTTAGACTTGACTGTCATTTCTGTGCGTTCACTCCGAATCTAACTGCGATCATCACTAGACGTAAAAAAACCGATCATTTTTACACGTTCACTCCACAGAAGTAATACTTACCATTACCTGTCCTCTTGTTAATACCTTGACAGAGTTTCTGGCTGATAAAGATTTTTCTCAAATTAACTTAACAGATAGCGTCAACTTTTCTCATTCAGACTTGAAGGACGGATCTCTCTCAAACACTTCGGCCAAACTCCTGCGTCGGTACAGAGCACTGAAATACGAAGACAGATTCTATTTGGTTGCTTGCTCTCAGTTGCTGAGACAGTATAATTGATTCACCTCCCTGCTTCTGTGTTAGAAAGACAGGAGCATCCGATTACAATAAAAATGACGATTAATGAAGACCTTTCTGTGTATTCCTTTCATGCCCGTTGGATAAGGACTTCGCCGAGTCATCAAATCATCGGCATGCCCACATTTTGTCTACCGTAGGATAGGAATTGACTCGCCGTCCACAGGGAGAACCTGTATGCTTCAGGTTCAAGGTTGAGGGTCCACGGACTCGCGGCCAGGCCGCACCGGCAGGAACGACTTGAATCAATAATACCCTAAGAAAGCTCGTTGGCCAAAAAAAAACAGTTGCAACTAATCGAGGATAGCCTTAAAAAACACACTTGCAGCATAGCCTTGCCGGTGATACGATAGCCAATGAACGATGTCGATCATAAAGCTAATTGCTTAACTGACGATTCCCGAACCGAATAATTACATGCCCGTCTTCAATCACTTCAAATATCCTCGATCACGAGCGTTAGTGTAGATCAGGGTGGCCTGCATATGGACTTCGAGCGATATCCCATTGAAATGCGATTTTTGACAGATTGGTAGATGTGATTCCACTTATGCCAACATGTTACTTATTGCTTCGAAGAAATCATAGTCAAGTGGTTGCAACCATTTTCAACATGCGATTCATTTTACAAATGTGACTTAAATACACGAAGACAGCCGGATTCATTTCCTTATAATCATGAGCCTTTATTACGATGAACATCTCAACCAAATCAATTTTCACTTACGAAATCTACTTTTTCTTAGTTTCTCTTGCTCTTTCTTTCTTACTTACTTTCAATCATCAAAAAATACAAAAAAGCGGACCCGTACGACGTCTTGGCTATTGACAATCCAGAACTACTTAGGCGCCAAGACATGCACAAAGTTACTCACCGACACCCCGACGAGCCATCCCCCACCGCCCTCTGCTTTTTGTCTGGCTTTTTCTGCTTCCGCTTTTTCTCCTGGAATTTGGGTGCTCTCTTGCGCGGCCGCTTTTTCCCCTTCCCTCTCCTCGTGTTGTCTGAGAGCCTCGGCACGCCGATGCGTGACCCTCGAGGCCCCAGGGAGAGACTTTAGACCTCCAGGGTCCCAAGCTTCTACCTTTCCTCTGACTGTTTGCGCAGAGTGCCTTTCCTCTGACTGTTTTGCACACTTAGCCGAGGCGAGTCCCTTCAATATTCTAAACCCACTGCGCGTTTGAATAACAATCTTCGGACGTTACAAATCTTTGTTGTTGCATGATAAACTGTAAGACTTCTGGCACTTTCTTAGTGCTTGCTTCTTACATTTTTTCACTTCAGTGCCCCTGCTGCTATCGTCCGTGACTTTTGCCTAAGAAGCGATGTCAAGTTTCAATTTCTTTCCATTTACATTTTTACCTTGTTGCAATTACATCGTCTCGACTTGAGTTGTGACCTATAATCAATTCATTTCCCAAAAAAAAGCCGCTTATTAAATTCACGACAACACCCCAGTCGTACGCAATAACTATCGATTACCAAAAAAATGTGAGGTAGGTGTTCTTATCATAGACAATCCTTCTCTTTCACGTGAATGATAAAAATAATGCCTTGACTTTCCAATTACTTTTAGTTTTACTTACTTACTCTGAATGGTTTCGATTTTCGACATATTTTTTCAAGAATCCGTCATACAAATATTTCCTATCAACATGCTTCGCTCTCTGCGGAATCAAATTCTTTGATGTCCCTCTATTTCATTTCTTATAAACATTTTCCCATGCTATCAAACCTTTATGCTACCGCCGTTCGTGTACTAGTTCAATCCTTAAATACAATTTTGGTTTTCTAACAAGTTTTTTGTGCTCCCAATTTCTCTTCTTCTTAGGTCTCTACTTCTTTTTGGTTGTGGTTCATCAGGTTCTCGAAGAGTAATTCAGGTTCACTGTTTACTTGCTTGTTGTTTCTCCCCCCTTTTTCTCTCTTATCCCGCCTAGTGCTCATTTCGGGAACTTCTTACGCATGCGTCGTCGGCGCTCCCTCGGCGACACGTCATCCTTCCACTTTCGCTCCACTCCGAGTGCCAGCCAGCGTTTTCACCAATAAATCCGCGAAAACAGCCTTGGACCGCTCTTTTTCCTGAAAGTCCGCCACGCGTTGTTCCATATCGGCAAGCCACAAGTTGAACTGGTTGATCAATGGTGTCGCGCCTGTTGTGCCTTGTTCCTGGGTCACGCCATAATGTTGATAGTACTTCTTCCACACAGCATATGCACGAGCCAAGAGCCACATATGGCGGATCACCTCTTTCGCTGTAGCCTTGGCGGAGGTGGAAGCGATCGAAGTGGAAGACACACTTCGGAAGCTGGCAACTGGGACGACCGGAGAAGTCGGAGCCTTCCCTGCTTTCGTTTCGGCCTCTGCCTGCCCTGCACTTCCCACATCAGCAGCGTACTTCTTCGTCCACACAGCGGTCATCTTCCCATGAACAAAGCCTTGATATTCCTCTTCCATCGCTTCGATCAAGGTCATCGTGGCCTCTCTGGTTTTTTTCGCGCCACCCTTGATCTTGTAAGCAGTTTTCTTTGCAGCATTGGGGAACAAGCTCTCCACAACTTCCTTCGCGGCCTTGTTCATATCTGCGGAGGACAAAGACAGCGCTGAGGGAACACGATAACCGTAGAAGCCTTTTTTTCCATCATTGTGAACCTCCACGTATTTAGCTGCACCTCCATCTCCTTCTCGAGCAGGAGTAGAACCCACGCCCATCTCAGCTTGGAAAAAGGAAGTATCTTTCCCAGGCAAAGAACTTTCAAGTCTTTCGTCGAAGCCAGAAGTTGTCTCGAGGAAGCCGCCAGGTAGCGGCGGAGCAGGGGCAAACGACCCTGCTGGTGCGGCTTGCTGTTGCTCATCCCCTTTTTTTTCGCCAAATAATGGATCTTCATATCCGTGTGGGTGACGAGGGTCGCTCTTTATCTGTCGCGGATCTTCGAGACGGTTTTTCCCAAGACGATTCATCATCAGCGGCGACTCGAAGTATCCCGGTCCAATTTGCCCGTTAGTCATCGCTTCCGGCAAAAACTTGGACGCATCATGACAATTTTCCACAGCTGCGGACTGCTCCTCAGTGTTAGAAGTCACAAAAAAACTCATCTTGTTGACAGGTAAAAAGCATTTTCTCGAGTACTTAATTTTGTTGAGACCACAAGGAAGATGACCATGAAGACCATCATTTTGGGACAAGATGGATTTCAATGTGTGAACTTCCTTTTAATGTAGTGTAATTGTTCTAGACGATAGTGGATTAGTTAATCTTTATTAGATCCATAACTAACACTAATCTAATACACCCGAACATTTCCTAAGTTTTGGAGAAGGGGAAAAAGGTAAAGGAGGAAGGAGGGGGAGAGGAAGGGTAATGATCGGAGGTAGTAATCGTCTTCCTTAATGGGGATAACAAACGGCTGATCGTTCGCATCACCCGACGGGACCTGAAACCCGACAACTCGTCGCATACGCTTGGAAAACACCAGGTGTTCACGCGAGAAAAACACCGGAAAAAAATTGCCCCGAAAATCGCGCTTCTGCACCTCAACCCCTATGGGAAGGGCACCTGGCCGCCTAACTCTCGGAATGGTTGCCATCGGAGTCGGACTGTCGCCACCCTTTGCCATCTCAATCTCAGCATCGGTCAACTGCAGCATCTCGCGAACCCGATCGATATACTGTGCACGGCTCAAACCCTTTCCCCATACTGCAAACGGCCGCGCCAAAGGTTCACGACCTAGTTGGGGTAACGCAGGAGTTGCATCATCGAAGACTGCTTCAATGGTCGGATCAATCATGGTAGTATCCAAGTTAGTGGCTTCGTAGAAAGCAGCGATAGAATTCTCTGGAGGACACGAAATCACCACTTCGGCTTCCACCTGGATGCTCATCGAATCGCCCAAGCGAAGGCCGCGCACCTGCGTTTGGCAATCCTCTTCGTCATAACACAATTTCGCGGCGCCAACTTTTTGCAACAAGTCCCATGCTTGTCTCCAGCCAAAATTAGAGTAATTCATCCCAGTTTATTCCTGTCTTTCAGTTCATCTTCCCTGTCCAGGAGTCGATCCCTCGTATAATAACATGTCATCCCTGCTTATATATACTATCATGGTCTCCCTTGCATTTGGGTACAACACGTACATACGGCTGAGGGATGATCCCGATAGAGGCTGTAGAAAATCTTCCCACAGCAAGAACCGAGATTAAAGATCCAATGATATTGTTGAGGGACGAAAGCCTTAACAGATAGATCGAATGGGAGGTGTCCCTGCGGTGGGGGTGGCTGGATGTCCCGGTGGTCGTGATTGTACTTTTCCCGGAAATTTTCGTAGATCTCGTCGCGGATCACCAGCACTTTCGGGAGATAACGGTGAGCCTCTCGCGTCGGAAACAAGGCGTCCCAGGTGTCTTCTAGCCCACCTTGCCCATCCTGCAGGTGGGTTAGATTCGATTAGATGGGTACGACAGCGACTTCTCCGTATCTGCCTCTACTACGAGGACAGCAGAGTTTACGCAAGTAGATTACGAGCATACTTACTGGGGAAGAACAAATAATCATTCAATTTGGAGGTACAAAAAAAATCCTCAATTGTTCGTTACAGTACTATAAGTTATACTAGAACCTGATAAATTTCTCCACTACGTGGTCATTCGAAAGTCGTAATACATCGTATGGCTGGATATACTTTTACTTACTTCACCACTGCAAACACATTACTTTTGAAGACTGATATCATTAGAGAGAATGAGGAAACGAACTGTGTACATAATTTGCAGTAAGAACTAGAAACGTCATGAGGATCGAATACATAGATAAAGATAGATCTGATAGAAGTACCAGATTCTCCGAAATTTGACGCAGAGCATCGCCTCCATCCTGCGCACCAAGCGCTTCACGATCGCCACCCTGAGGATTCGTGTAAGCACTCAAATCGGGGGCACCGAAATATTCTGCGCTCTCAAAAATTTTCTTATCCGCTTCATCGCGCTTGTCTTCTCCGAACAGGCTTCTTTCGTAGTCGACCATGTCAACTGAAAACGTGAGCAGTTGGTAGTTTGTCGTTGTCATACTTATGGCTTATCCTGATCAGCAACGAGTCGTCTTGAGTAGCAATAGGAGTGACAATTTATATAAATACGGAACAGTTTATAAGGCTTCCCAACATAGCTGAGCTGGGCACGCTGGGCACACTGGGTCGCTGGGCGACCCAAATGTGCCAGATCTGCCGAATTGTGCCCCCAGCGTGACGCTGGGCGTCTCCAATTGCGGGGCGCCCTTCGGGCGCCGGCTTAAGAACCCCACCGGGAGTGCTAGTCTGGCGTAGGCCAAGCCAGCGACGCTGGCAAGTTTACGTTTGTCCACAAGAGCGGCGCAGCATTGCACGCATCGAGCAAAAAAAAGTTTAGTAATAGCATGGGAGGAGGTTACTTAGTCACTTTTTCAGATGTTTTTAGCTTAAAAGCGTCTACTTACTACAGTAGCCACTTTCACATCATCATTTTTGTCTGCTCAAATCCCAGAAGTGCGCACAACTCCTAGGATTGTAGAGAGTTCCAATATCGTCTGCTTCATCGCATAGACAATAACAGTACTGTAGAAGTTACACATATCATTTCTAGTACCTCTCAGTGGTCTGTTATATATCAGTTTGAGAGAAATATACAACACTGTTGTAATCACGTAAAAACGTTACCTCTCAATTTCCAGTCTTTCATGTCATTGCCTCCACCCAAGCCAACGTCAGGCCTTTGGGCAGTTTTTACCTACCTAGCTGATTGACAACTGAAGGCCAAAGCCTGGCACTCTCGTCGGTATGTCAGAGTAGTCTATATATAAGGTTTGCCGGCTCGCATGGCATGGAGTGCACGGATCGCATGGAGTTGCATGGAGCTAAAAAGGGCGCCTCTTGCGTCCCTTATGGGTCGTCGCTCCATGAGCTCCATGCTACTCCATGCACCACGCGTGCTATAAACTGCTCTGGCTATGTTATGTGTACGCCGCTAATTCCATTCTTGTTAATGACTGTAGGAACGGAGTCTGAAATTGTGTTACCCTGCTATCATGTAAATACTTAATATACTTCCTAAAAAATTGTAAGTGAAATACCTGTCACTCTGGTTTGCCGAGCTTGCGCATCCCACATGTGAAACAGCAATCGGATCAACTCTGCGTGATAAGCAGGCATGCTCATTCTGTCTGACGGCGAGAGCGAAACAAGCTGCTTCATCTGGGTATTGTCCCATTGACCAGGGTAACTGTCTTCGTCCATGTCGCCATCCATGTGAATCCTCTCCTCATCGTCGTCGTCATCCTCCGGAGAATCTTCTATAGGAAAATCAACATGACGACGGCGATCGGCGACGAGGAGCAATGTTAGAAGAGCTAGAATGGTTCTATCTCCAGCCATATCTAGATCTTCTACCTAGTACTATCATCAGATTACAGTTGTAGGAACAGCTTAGCTATGAATTCCAGTGGAGCCCTAAGCGAGCCCAGTGGAATTCATAGCTAAGCTAGCTTGATCTACTCAAGAACAAGAACAAGAAACAAAGTAGTTGGTAAAAAGATGAAGTGCTTTTCTCTACAAAATCACCGAGTACAAAATCACCTATGTTGCCTTAACGGAGCAGGAGGCGGCGCAAGAGCGAACCCCATCGCTTTGGGTGATGCAAGAATTGCTTTCTTGGCTGGGGGCGTCTCGGGATCTGCTAGAGCACCAGCGGCTGCAACATGCGGTGCCACAGGTGATGTAACCACTGGTTGCTTGGCTGGGGGCGTCTCAAAATCTAGAACTGGTTGCTTGGCTGGGGGCGTCGCAGGCGGCTCAGCTACCACTTGGGGCGTCGCAGGCGGCTCAGCTATCACTGGGGGCGTCGCAGGCGGCTCAGCTACCATTTCAAAGAAAGATTCCGCAACTCCATCAGGCAGAGGTGATGCAGGCACTCCGAGTGCAGCGATTGACGCCAAAGGAGCCTCAGCAATGTCAAGGCCTGCAGCAGGTTTCCCTTTCGGTACAGGAAGCGCAGGAGGAAGCTCGGTGAGAGAGAGAAGTTAGAGGGTTTGACTACAACATTGCATCCGTTAGACTCAGAACATCCCCGACTTCTGTCTCAGTGGGGAATGAAAGAGTCAGGGATGCTAGAAGTGCAGGATGCTAGTGCGGGATGCTACTGCAGGATGCTATAATGAATGGGGTGGAGGAAATGATAATGATCTAATCTTGTGAAGTACTAAAACTTTTCATTTCATCAAATCCTTAAGGAAGTACCGATGATGGCGCTTTCTCCATGATTTGTCCATTTGTTGAGGAAATCCATTCTTTGAATGCGCCATCATCACCACATGCGCCATCATCACCACCCCCAAACATCGACTTCGCCAAGGGAAAAGATGAAAAGCCAGCGCCAGTGCTTGCAATGAATGCACCCATGGCATCTCCAAGATCGATGGTAGAAGGAAGCACAAAAGAGTCACCTGCAGGAGCGGCAACATCAGGAGAACCTATATCGGCGGCAACAGTCAGAAAAGAAGAAAGACCGCCTCCTGGAAAAGCACCGACGGGTTTACCCTTGGGCGTCGAGAAACCAGGCAAGGCAGGCAGCTCTGGATGACCGCCTCCTGGAAAAGCACCGCCGAGTTTACCCTTGGGCGTCGAGAAACCAGGCAAGGCAGGCAGCTCTGGATGATCGCCATGAGGAGAATCTGCAGCACCCCCACCTGCCCCGAGGGGAAAAGGGACGCTGATTTTCTTTTTGTTCCCCTTTTTAGGTGTCGAAAAGATACCACCAGCACCACCCCCACCAGCAGCCGCTGCAGCAGGCAAAGGCAAAGGTGGAACTTCAGCAGGCATACCACCATCAGCAGCAGGCATACCACCAGCGTTCGCGGCTTTAGCTTTTACCTTGGCGCCAGACGCTCGAGATCGAAGTGGCAAATTTGTCATTCCACGTTTTCTCCAAATCTTCCGGGTTTGCGGTCTCGCACGCACCAAAGGCTCCCAAGCCTTTTTAAATGCATTCACCTTGCTATCCAAATCTACCTTCTGTTCCGCATGAAGTTTAGAGCTGGAGCTACACGATTCTTTGATAAATTTTTTTGATTGATCACGTGCCTACCATTCGAGAAATAAAGTCGCTAAATACTAGTCATAGGAGTAGCAGTGATGTACCCATTCACGCGGTGTACCTATACAAGATCTTCGAGGTAAGCTAGTAGAGAAAAAATCCAATGAATCAATCCAATCTGTCAAATCAAATCTCTATCAATCTTCACGCCTGTACGAGATATGCTAAGTAGAGAAATCCAATGAATGAATCCCATCTGTCAAGCTTATTATATCTTTACACTGCTTCAAGGGATTATGCAGGTCCGTGTCCATAACAAGTCCGGCTGCGCGCTCTGCGTACCAAGTCGGGTCCAGAATGACACGACGAGCAAGCTTCAGTAAAGGTTCCATTACCCTGACCATTTGGTTCATGAGTTCGACTGGGTAATAAACGCTTTTCAGCTCTTTTCCTGGTGCATACTTATACTTGCCTGTACGAGACCCATCCTGGTTCATGACCGGTTGCAGTGGGGACTCCGTGTATCTGTTGTTGTTGTCGTCGTATATCATTAATAATGAGTTATAATATAAGCGTGGGATAAGTGCCAGTGGCTCATTAATGCCTTATTGTTCCTGATGAAGATTAGAAGATCTGATCTTCTCTATCGATCAACTTATTGTCCTTGATGCTGGGTGGATTCGTACTAAAAAAAGTAAAAAAGCACTGAAAAAATAGGAGTGCGCCGCGCCAGTGGGTGTAAGTAAGTAGATTCTTACCCGAACATGAGAAAAATCTAGTATACTGAGAAGGAACATCAACATCAAGAACAAATAAGTAATAAATAGTACCGAATATGATTGGCGTATCCTAACGAATTTTCGACGGTCCAAAGATCACCCTTACCTCCCAGATGATAGTGGCAAAATTTTCCTCCTTCGCCGGCCTTCATTAGAGCTCACGCAAAATGTCATGTGTGTCCCTGTCGCGGTTCAACATAACCAGCCAAGAGACATTATGGAATAGCCATCTTCTGAGTAACGATTGGTCGAGCACCAGGCTAGTGTCTTGGTGATATTCTTCTTCTTGGAGCTGTTCTCTCCTTGTCTTCTTGGAGCTGTTGAAGACGATCAAGGAGAACTGTTTTTGTCCCCTTATGGGACAACAATCAATTGGTCTGATTAATTCAACTGTAGCTGACCAGCTTCTGATTAATATCAATGTAAGGGCTCCTGACAGCTTTTCCAAGATCTTCAGATAATCTGAGGATGGGCAATTGCTAGGGTAAGCGGCCTTAACTTCAGGAACAACATGTCCACAATGTTGTACTTCGCTTTGCGGTACACAGCGTCTCCAGCATATGTAGCCAATCTTCGCGATTCAGTCAACAAGGTATACTGTGGTGGTTTGTAAAATAAGAAGAGTGATGAATTGTTTAGATTGTAGCCGCTTTCATTAGTCAGTCATTAATCCACTTCATTAGTTAGTCATTGTAAAATGAATATTTGGATACTGTGGTGGAGATTCGACGTGGGTCTATGCCTGGCGGTTCTATTTCAGCCTCTAGTCCAAGGAAGAAGATCCAACCCTATTAAAAACTAAAACGCACAGCTACAGTGAAGATAATGCTGAAGTGCTTGGTACTCGAATATGTTGCTCCATACGAAAATAAACTACTTACACGAACTTGAATCGTATCATCAGGTGATGACTGCATCTAAGACTTAGAGAGGTGTATATGGAAATAAACGCCATCAACATGTATGTCAGTCACAGTCCGTCGAGCTCTATCTAAAAAAAGAAACGAATGAAAAAATGAAGAAAAAGGGACTACCTATCTACTGGTGGATGTAAATTCATACCGCATCTCAAAGAAGCGTAAAGAAATTTATCATCTACATGAAAATAATAAACGCCATCAAGAAGATGAAAATCTTAATACTCCTTCTGGCAGCGGCGAAAGATTCAGGAGAGGGGAGACGAAACGGTGGCCCATCACAACTTTTTGCGATTTGAGGTCCCCAACATTCTGCGCCCGATAAGGTTTGTCTCCCAACATCGAGGCTTTGATTAGAAATTCTTGTTGTATTAACTTAAAAAATTCGGGGATGCCTACTTAATAATAACGACTAATAAGAAGGATTAATACTAAGCAGTCAATTTAGGGATGTGACTCCGTATGATCGGTATCGTCCCCATTCAATTTTTCTTTTTCATACGAGTTGTATATGCTTCTGCCCCCCGGCACTATAAGTTCTCTTTCAATATCAATACTAGAGGTTTGCAGGCCTATCGCTAGTAATAACTGTAGTAAATGAGACCCTCTGACTTGGTCCTATGTATGGATGTGAACGAGCCGCTCAACCCTTCTGCACAACCTTGCTCCGAAGATAGAAAGAGCTTTAGCATCAATGAGTTGTCTGTGTCTATCTGTATTAACGTGCCTCGATCATCGCAGAATCATTCAAGCGAAACTGTGCTCTAGTCATCAAGTTATAAACATATGGTCCAGGGCTCGGGGCTACGGTGCCCCCCCTAGCGCAGGGGGAGCCGGTAGCCCCCAAACCTTTTGGGAGCCGTCTGCCGGGACTGGAAGGCTCCCAGAGAAGTCGCGAGAGACCCGGAGGGCCCTTGCAAGTACCCTGCAGACTGCCGACGTCCTTCGCCGCCGCAGCAGCGCGCCGGGCGTGGAAGGCTTCCGGAGGCGGCAAAACGCGCAAGGCTGGACCCCCTGAGCCGTGTGGCCTGTACCCTCCGGGCCCTGCGTCATCGGCCTGCTTGCTCTTGAGACCTTCGGCGGCCTCCTCCCCCAGAGGCCTCCAGCCTGCGAGGGTCAGCAGAGGCCAGGCGGCCCCTTAGGAACATGCAGAGAGGCGCAAGGAGACGCCCGCGCCTAGTCTTGCCGCCTTCCACCACTAGAATCCGCGAAAATCAGCGCGGAAAAGAGCGCGCAGGCGTCACCCCAGGGCGATCCACAGGGGGGGGGACCGTGCAGCCCGACTGAGTCATATAAATATATCAACAGAAGCCTTAATGACAAGTGATTCAGTTGTCCTGTTGCCACGTTCCACAGGCCTAGAGGCCCATGTTGGTTCATGAAATGCACGTAGGCTCTGTTCCCGGGTTTGATAGCTTCACACATGTCGACAATACTGGGAATCTGCTTGTTCCAGCGATCTTTGTACCAAGCTTGGACGGCGCGAGAGAGCTCGAGGTGCGGTTCCGTCAATTCATCAGGGTACAGTTTCCCATCTCCAAACGGGATACGAGCATCATCTTCGTCATCGTCATCGTCATCTTCACCTTCATCATCATCGCTCTCAGCAGCCGCGTCAAAGGCTGCACCCAAAGCTAAAACTGCGTCATCAGCGGCGTCAAAGGGGGCCACCAAATGGTCAACTGGAGCTCCTAACCCCGCAAGAAAATCGTCTGCACCATCGACAACGTGAGCAATCCCTTCGACCTTCCCTATGTTAGAGGTAGGTTTTTGGTGCTCGCGGGTTCCCCCGCTTGTTATGCCTTTCTCATCCTAAGGGAGAGAGGCATAAAAAGCGGTAAGAAAAGCACCTTAAAGGTGTACCCTTAACTATGGGACTCAGTCCACCTCCAATCGGACTGATCTCATCGTGGTCCTCCACGGCTGGTGATGCATCAACAACAACATCATCCATATCAAAAGCAAAGAACAAGTTGGCCGCAAGGTCCTTTTTTGACGCATCAGGCTTCGGAGTTGAGGCATCTGCAGGGGCGGGAGCAGCGTCGCCAGCAGCGGGGGAGCCAGCACCAGCGCCAGCTGCACCATCTCCAGCACCAACGCCAGCAGCAGGAGCCATCTTTTGTTTCTGCAACAGCTTCATAGCCATGGCTTCCTCCATCGCCATGACGCACAGAGAAAAACGCATCATCTTGCACTACGATAAGTAGTTAGTTACTCCGAAGAAGATTAAGATATGCGTTAAAGTACACGTACTTAGTACAATTTTTCAAAGAAACGAAGAGTGGTAAAACTTGAGTGGTAAAACTTGGAGAGAAAACGGAGTGGAAGTTGAAATGTTATGGGGGACACTCAACAACTTATTCGCGATTTAAGCTTCTTAAGAGTTCGCAAACTGTTTGTTTTGGTAGGATGTGGATGGAAGAGAGAGGACCATGTTAGCGACTACGTTTAAGTACAGTAGCACTCAATATGAAAGTAAGTAGGAAACAGTCAGTCAAAGTAACAGATGAATATCAATCATTGAAGATGACAGCCACTGTTTTACTCCCTACTCTCGCTCAACAGCAAGTTGGACAGAAGCATGAGCATCACAAACTCTACTTTTCTTCTGCTCTTGACAGATGAGTGAAAATTTTTGTCGTTCTATTCAAGCAGCGTCCTTCTCACTCTCTCATCGTGCTCCAAAACAGAAGTGATGGCGTAGAAGACAGAAGCTCTCCCTCTCGCATGATCTCACAAGTGCTGGCTACCTCGCATGATCACACAAGGAAGTGATTGCAAGCTCGCTTCTGACACCCGACAGATATTCTCAGTCAAATCACAACAGAGATATGCAACTCACGCGGCGTAGTAGAGCTCTATTTGCAAATTTTCTCAGACAGAGACGTTATCTTATGCTTTCGAGGAACACGAATGACAGAGAGATAAACAAGCAAGCTAGTCCTGTTTGTTCGAGACTTTCTGTAAGAAGTCAAATCAATGATGACGTTTCATGTTGCTTTATGGTTGGTAGGTTCTTCGAACAAAATTGAACAAAAATTTTTACGCACCACACAAAAACCGACGCTGCCATCGGCATGCTCCGATCCCTGCTCACGCAGTTGTGGCAAGTTATGCATGTGTACTTTTCCCCATCCTCCCAGACCTCCTTGGCTCGTACGACCTTAATTCACTATCACTTTTCACGACGTATCGATCTAAGAAGATGAAATAGAAAGCCAAAGATTATTGCCAAACAAAGGACGGTCCACTAGCCAGTGTGAATATTTATCGTCTTACTTTTCTCTCTTTCAGGATAACATGACAAAAACCCTCACAGCATCATAACGCAGAAATTGTTGGCTTTCCCACTTCTGAAGAAAGGCAAAAATCCCACGAGTGTCCCTCAAACCAGGATCCTCGAAGGCCCTTGCAGCTCTCATCAACCACGCAAATCGGCCACGAGGGTCGAACTGGGTCGGAACTACCGGAATCTCCACGTGTCTTAGAGTAGGTAGTGGAATGAAAGCAGAGAGAGAAGCTGATGGAATTGCTAGTCGTAGCCTAAGACCACTGTGCACTGTGTGCTCAAAAACAAATAAAACGATGTTGAAGACTTGAAAAAAGATATCACGCAAAAGACCTTCCAGAAAAAGCTAGATGAAGTGCTCTATTTTTCCACTGCATATTGTAACCAGCATACTGTCATCATATTTTGCCTTAACTTTCTCATCTCCAATACCTGGCGACGAAACGACAGGCACACGCGGGCACAGGTTGCTGATCTTTTCTGTTCTTAGAACAAGGGGCTTTGGGTTGTAGTGCAAGATAGAAATGATAACTAACTGCAACTGTGGATCGTGATTGACATGAAGAAGCTGAACAAATGCCTCAAATTGCTTTATAATTGTATGATTTCAACATAGCGCCATAACCCTCTTCCACCTTCAGAAAGTACTCGTAGTCCGTCTATCTCATCCTTTGGCTGTAAGACTCCACCTGGCACGCGCGCGCCGCTAAGCCTGCGCTGCTTTCGTGACTCGACTATCTGTAAGGCAAATCGGTCACGAATCGGAACTTTCCGCAGGTCAAGAAAGGTTTCACGATCACCCTCCCCACTTCCACCTTGTTCCGCTCTTTTCTTTTCCGCTTCTCGCCTTTCACGCGTTGTCTGTGGCAAGGCAGAGGCATCCTCCTGCTCTGCCATTAAATTACGTGCAAACTTAGGTAGCTGCTGTCTATACCTTGTCCGCAACTTCTCAGCTTCAGCTACACAGCGACAAGGACTACGGAATTGTCCATCTACTGATGCGTCGCTCTCCGCTAAATGTACTGGCACACCGGCACCAGGATCCACAGAGGGCTCGCGCAAGTCAGACATGCGCTGCACACAGTAATCCCAATATCGACCTGGACTCTTGATCAATATCGCTGCTGTGCTAGGAGGCTCATCACCCTCGCCAACCTGAGCATCGTCAAGAGCTCCTCCTCCACCTTCTATAATACCGTCACCACCTGGAGTATTCCTAAGATCTTTGTACAGATTGTGATCTGCCAGTGTAGGATCTGTCTCGAGAAGTCTTTTTTGAGTTCCGGATGGAGGCCGAACGACGCACCAGGCAAAATCCGTTCCCTGCATAGGTCGACAGCGACTCTGGCAAGGCATCCCGAGAATGGAGTGGTTAGAGAAGCCAGAGGAGAAGGACGAGTTCATGTTCAACATGGTCACCTCCCTTGTTCAAAATCCTGCAATTAGACAGTTTGTCCATATTAGAAGATGTCTCTGACTCTCTGTTGACCAACACCATAGACAAAACCTGAGTCAGAGCAGGATGAAGGATGAAGAAGCACCATAAACTTCTCCCCGCTCGAAGCGGACGCCCCGTCAATTCCCACATTGCCTCCATCAGCAGTCGGTTTTGCTGCTACTTGGTCAAAAAACGGCAACATGGCCGGATCCAGCAGCTTCAAACTACGACCGGCCAAGATACTCGACGTGCCACCTGATGCAGATGGCGCACCAGCGGCTGACTCAGACCCGGAACTAGAAAGAGGCATGCGCCGCAAAATACGACCTAGCTGATCTATCTTGTCCAATAGCTGTGTTTGAATCACACGAGTTAGCTTGCCAGCATTATAGCTGATCCGCTCGACTGCACGACGACCGGGAAGGGATTTTAGGACCGGGATTAGATTCTTGTCTTGCTTGTTCGAAGTAGAAGATGAGGAGTTTTTCTTTTCATCTCCAACATTTCTTGCACTTTCTTTCAGTTGTTGATCTCCATCACCGTCACCAGAGGGCGCAACACCTCCTCCCCCAACACTCACATCATTTCCTCTTCTAGCATTCTTCCTCTTCAACGGCACAACCTGATCACTATCCGCCATCTCATGTCTATACAGCGTCTCCACAGCACGTTTAATCGGCTCAAACGCAGTCTCCAAGTCCTCCCGTATCGTTTTTCGCGCTTGAATTGCGATTTTACGGGCTTGCCGCACATCTCCCATGAACTCGGAACGATTGGTTTCGCTGGCTGCATTTCGCATCCATTGCTCAGAGCGATTTTGTTGGAAATACTCTGCGATGAGGCGGCCTAAGTGCTGAGGAGATCCCCCACCACGGCCACCACCGAGGCCTGGCACAACAGCAAATGACGTCGTGAAATCTTGGTTCATAATCATGATTTCTAAGAAAGTGATGCTAACAGTGTGTGGTAGTAGTTTCTGATATCTAATCAGGTTCGTTTTTCTGAGTGATCGATGTATGGGAAGATGTTCTAAATGTGTGATGATGAGGCGATAGTTAAACACCAGACAAATGAAATGTGAAAACTTGGCACGGATGCGGCGAAGTCGAGGTTCAAAATAGGATTTTTCCTCGAAAACAACGGTATGCGAAAGGACTGCATGCGCGAGTCGAACGATGCGACAGAAGTCGCCGAGTCAACCCGGTGGAAGGCACTGAGCAGCAGTATGGACGGAATGTTGCCCAGGTCAGTATTCCGAAACTGTCGACGGGACTACTTAATGCCAAGCTTCTCTTCCGAGGAAGGGCCCGGTATTAATTTGGAGAAAATATGAATCTTTCTTGAAGATTCAGAATCTTTCACACTTTAATATTACTATGTTGTCAACGTCAATTTCGGCATCAAGTTGCACTCCTTACTTGTTGTGCTGTTGACGCATTGAAAAACTTCTGCGGTAGTTCTTTCATATTAGGTAGGCTAGCTCTTCGGTCTACCCGCATCCGCCAACAAGTCGTAGAGTGAATGTGGGGTCAACATTACAGTGACCAGGTTGGACACACACAAAGCACACAGCATCACCACCGAATTCTGGCCCTGAGGATGGAGGTGATCGCGATGACGATGAGAAGATGTGGATATTAAAGATGAAGAAAGTTATGGAGTATAATATATCGCTTCAATGGAGAGTTGTATCGAAATTGATCATTTTATGAGGAGTTAATGATGATGATATATGCACCCAGTATTTGTTTACGGGTGTACTTCATCAATCCTGAGGCTTCTTTATGAGTTTTCTTCATCAATCTTAGAGGCTCTAACTCTGTAAGTGTTGTATTTCCATTCTTTGTAATACCTGCTGAGTGAGTTCGAAGATCAGGAACGCCACGGACAGCGTTCTGGTAACGCTGCTGGTAAAACACGCTGCACCGACTACAGCCAAAACGTGTGTGTTCACGAGACTGTGCAACGCTGAAGGAGATGTTTGAGCGCCTCCCATGTATGTCGTCGAATAGATCCCTTGCTCCAGCACTGCGCTAACAGTACGGCCATAAAGCCTTCCCAAGACCGCTCCAGCAACAAAGCAAGGTACGAACATGCCCATCGGAATCGGAAGAAGTAAGCAGGTGCAAACGCCTAGTGTCTTATGATTAGAGGAGTGCTTAAGTACAACTTTTATTTTATGTACCTGTTTTTAACGCATAGGCATACTTCGAAACACCAAGGCACTAATCATCTTTTTTTTTACCAATCCAGCTCCATAATCAAGCAGAGCAGCAACACCAGTGCCGTTGAACTCACATCACCAAGGTTCAGGCCTAGGAAGAGCTTCGTAAGCAAATCTCGGTCCGAAAGGTCTACATTCGGATATGTCTCAGCAATCACGCGCGTTATCACTACCAGCACCGCCGCGAAGACGCACATCAAGAGTTTCTTTCTCCTGCTGTCGGAGGATGAGGAGGCTGAGGAGGAGGATGAAGAAGTGTAGTTTGTGCTAGTCATATTTCCCGGAGAAGTAGTTGGAGAACCTGACGTTGAGAATATCCCTGAAGATTTGAGCACACCCCGTAATCGCAGAACCCATTTTAGAAGCGTCAAGTGCGCAAAAGCTGCCAATCCACACACAACAGCGAGACCAAAACAGGCTGTCGCTTCAGATGCACCATGTGAAAAAGTTGGGAGGAGTCGAACTTTCTGAATCCCCTGATCTTCCTCGAACAGGGAGATCGTTGAAAACCCCGCGAGCATGCGAAAGGCGATGCAGGTACCGACTACACAGGTAAAGGAGAACCAGATAGTGTCGCCGCCAGCAATTGGTACTGAGCTCACCTCGAAAGCGAAGAAAATCGCAGAAAAAGGAACGCCAAACACTGACATTACACCAGCAGCTGTCGCACCTAGCAATGTCAAGCCCATCTGCTCTTCTAAAACCTTGCGGTCCTTATTGATTGTTGTAGTTTGGAAAGCTTCCCTTCTCTTGACAAAAAGAGTAGAGGCGATGATGGCTGAAATATGCACCAGAGGGCCAAGGCGACCAACTGGTAGTTCTGCAGCCAAAACAAGAAGCAAACCTGCAGCGCGCCGCAAACCTACGTCGGCAGAAAAATAGGATCGCAAAAGCAGAAGTCTAGAAGAAGGTCTACTAGAACTCCCTTCCTTCAGCTGCGTCTTGTGCTCATCCCCCTGCATTGCCACATCCTTCAGACCTCTAAGACTGGTGCCCCCGTCCACCATCTGGCAGCTGTTACAAGAATTATAAACCTTGTCGCCTTGTTGTTCTCCGAGAGACTTATTCTGACCCTCTGCTTCCATCTGATTTTTCCCATCCCCATGAGCAGAGGCTCCAAGTAAAGCAGCACGTAAGAGAGGGATACCGGTACCCTGTGCAAAGGGGTAATCCCAACATAGGTGTATCGCAAGAGCAACATACAAACTTCTCAGCCAAATCCTGAGTAGGGAGACCAACCATGACGACGTCGTGACAGGAGTCGCTGGGATACTCGAACTCGAAGATCCTGTCATAGCTAGTTCAAGTGTCGTAGCTAGTTCAAGCGTCGTTGTGGACGTTTCGAACGAAGTGTCATCACATAGTGCTTCATTAAGCAAACCCCTTTTGTTCCTACAGGCAGCTCCACCTTTTCCTACAGGCAGCTCTGATGGCGTTGCAATAAACGACGCAGGAACGGCTCCTCCCTGTTTTACAACTCCAGAACCTCGTAGACCTCCTCGAGATGAAGATGAAGTTCTGGTTGTACTAATTGCGCGATCCACTGAGGCCAGAATAGCATCTTCGGCACTGCGAACTAGCTGCAATGAAATCTCAAAACTATACGCAAAAAGTCCGACTGCGAACCCCACACAACAAAGCAGACACCAAAACTCCAAAACAGCGTGTCTGCGTCCTCCGGAACCTAGTCCTAGCGACGAAAAGGTAAAGATCATTTCAACACCACATTCTCTACTAGTGGATGTAGAACCAGGCTTGCCAGTATCTCCTGGACCACGCTCGAGCAGAATTTCCGTCTCATCCTCGCCGAAAGATTGAGACGGAGTTGTAGCAGGAGAACTAGCTGCATCTCCATATCTGGTGTATGCCGATCTACTTGTGCTGGAAGCAGACATCTTCTAGTTTTAAGTGTTTTCTTAAAAATTCGCTCTTCGGGTTCATTGAAAGGACTTGAGACACCTATAATGTTTTTTGTTGGTCCGATGACGCTCCACTCATGGTGATACAATACAATATAATGCAATGCAATGCAATCTCGCACAGAGTTCAGTGCAGACTGTTTCAGACAGATTTCAGTTCTGACAGCAAGACGCTAAATTCCGTCAATTATCAACGTAGTCGCAGGAATCTTCAAACGAGAAATGATAAGAATGTGCGAAAAGTCAAATCTTGTCTGACTGACTTCTACTTAGAAAAAAACTTAGGAATTGGGTGTGAGCCTGTCACTGCTACCGAGCAATCAACAGATTAGAGACCGACTCTTGCTTCGTGTAGTACGTGAGCAGCAGACCACCAGACCGACAATTCAGACGCAGATACACAGACTCATCTGTCGAGAGCCAGATATTCATTGTTAGGACGGTGACATTTGGAAGCTCAGGTTCAATCCTTACTTTGCTCCTCTGCGAAGCAACCGATAAAACGCTTTGACTTTCGTGGAGGCGCCACGAAGTCGAATAGCGGGTCGGCACGCTGTTATCGTGAATCTACAGGACAAATAGCTGTATGTACATTCATCAATCTTCATAGCCTCGCCCGGGATAGATCCTGGTGAGCATGCATGGGGATGGGTGTCGAGCATCATTTGGTTTACAGCCTCACTTCCTACTACTTCGAATTATAAGCAAGAACTAAGATAGAAAAAGAACTCGGTGGATACTTGTACAACAATCTTGAGAGGGGAGCAATACCTTTCCTACACTATAATAAGGTCTGAGACTGGCCAGGTTCTCAGCTCACTTGCCAGAGGCCAAACTTTTGACCAAAGGCCAAACTTTTAAAAAAATCTCAAATCTTTTACCAAAACCCAAACTTTTGAAAAAGCCCAAACTTTTTGCCAACGCCCAAACTTTTGAAAAGTCCCAAACTTTTTGCCAAAGCCCAAACTTTTGCAAAGCCCCAAACTTTTCCCAAAAGCTCAAACTTTTCGCCAAGCCCCAAACTTTTGCCAAATGCCAAAACCTTTCCCAAGTCCCAAACTTTGCCCAAAAGCTCAAACTTTTCCCACGTCCTAAACTTTGCCCAAAAGCTCAAACTTTTGCCAAAGCCGAGCCCAAACTTTGCC